AGGAAGGAGAGAGCTGGCCAGTGGCAGAGGCTGGTGGGGCAGAGCACAATTCATAGTGTTGGTGTTGACCTTTAAAGCCCTAAATGGCCTCGGTCCAGTATATCTGAAGGAGCGTCTCCACCCCCATCGTTCAGCCTGGACACTGAGGTCCAGCACCGAGGGCCTTCTGGCGGTTCCCTCACTGCGAGAAGCCCAGTTACAGGGAACCAGGCAGAGTGCCTTCTCGGTAGTGGCGCCCGCCCTGTGGAACGCCCTCCCACCAGATGTCAAAGAGAACAACAACTACCAGACTTTTAGAAGACATCTGAAGGCAGCCCTGTTTAGGGAAGATTTTAGTGTTTGCTGTATTACAGTATTTTAATATTTTTTTGGCAGCCACCCAGAGTGGCTGGGGAAGCCCAGCCAGATGGGTGGGGTATAAATAATAAATTATTATTAATAATAATATTATTATTATGACTAGATAATGCTGCTGGCCATGGCAAATCCAAGCCAGAGTTTGGTACTCTTTGAATAAATGAATGGAATCTTGCGGCTCTCAGCACACTGAATTTTATTTTCTTTGCAAGATCTTCAGTTTGTGGCACAATCTTTGGCCAAATACCCATTTTTACTACACCAAAGATAGGTAGTGTGTACTTCAGAAGCTGCTCTAGGCCTTAGGCTCCTTGCACAGGGCTCCAGCCTGCATCATCAGCCTGCACCTTCTGGAAAATGCTTTGGGGAATAAAATGCACAATCCACCAGCTTAACCTCTAAGCCCCTGCCTGGTCCAAATAAGCTTTAAAATAGGAGGCTAAGCTTCTAAAAATTGGATGTGGGTAAACCACAGATTGGATCTTCTCCTACACTGTATATGGTTATTTTTAGCTTCGAGATCAAATGGTAGTTTGCTTTTAGGAGCGTGCACTCACAGGCATCAGGGGAGAAGAAGAAGAAAAATGAAAGCCCGAACCCTTTTATACCCCGCAGTTCTCTGACAGCCACATGAACAGGCTCTCTTGAAAGTGCCTTTCATGCTCACCTCAGGAGCTGGTGCCCTTCTTGGCACAACACAGTAGCGAGACTTGCCTTTTATTTGCTCCTACGTTGGCATTTTTACAGTAACCTGCCCTTTGCTTCCCCTTTGGGATGCTGGACAAAAAGAGAGGAGAGGCAGATTTGTGTGTGTGTGTGTGTGTGTGTGTGTGTGTGTGTGTGTGTGTGTGTGTTTTAAAAAATTAAATATAATCGGAGATTGAATGGAAACATAATAGGAAAGGGAGCAAGCAACATTCAATTCCAGCCCAGCAGGGATGTAAAACAAAGAAGAAAGGGCATTGTCACCAGGGAACGGACAAGAGCCAGACGTGAATGCCTTGGTCGCAGGGGATGGGCTGAGCAGGAAGACAGGCTCCTTTTGTTTTCTCCAAACAAAGCTTCCCTGTGTTCCCAAATATCTTCAGGGCCAGCCCTAATAATAGGCAAACGGAGGTGGCTGCCTCAGGCGGCAGATGCAGAGGGGTGGGAAGAGGCAGCAAGATGCCTCTGAATACCAGTCTCTGGGAAATCCCAAATGAGGAAGGGCCATAGCGCTCAGGTCTCTTTGGCCTCTGGGCTCCTTTGGGAAGAAGGGCTGGGTAGGAATTTAATAAATCTGGTTGGTCACTGTGAGAAAGCCTCTCCTCCTTACAGAGGGGAGGAGTTGTGAGCAGGAGCCGTTTCCTGCATTGGCAGGGGGCGTTCCAGCCCCTGCCCAGCTGGCTTGGCTGCCATGCCATGCCCCCAGGTAGCCAACCAATCAGGTTGGCTTGGGCTTGGGGCAGGGTTTTGCCGCTCAAACGTGGCCGCAGCAGCACTTTGCTTTCATTTCGCTGCTGGTTTTCATCGGATCACCCACCCACCTTCCCTTTAGTTCATTGCTTGGTTCTTGACATTGCTATGGACCTGTGGTTGGTCGCCTTGGTTGTCCAAGGGGCCTGGTGGGAATTTTTATCCAACTGGCAAATTGGCACCGGCCACTTGGTTTTTCACCTACCTCGTAGCAAATCATCACAACTTTTAGGTATTGGCGGTTAGGCATTGGAATATGTTTGTGTATTGGAGGGCAGGGTGTGGCCATCGCCTACCCCTCCAGATTATGGGTATTCCAGTAAAGGAATCCGGCAGTCGTGGATCCTGTCTGACGCCCTTGCTGGTGGCTAGGGCCATGGCACGACCCCCGGTGACATCAGGGGGAGCTTTCAGTTGTATTTGCATCAACAGGCTCCTCCCACTGGTGGTTAACCCTTGATAGACTCACCCCTCCCTGAGGGGTGGAGTCACGCTCTGTTGTTTAATCCAATGCCTAAGCCAATACCTCTCACATGCTGTAATCAATAAAGTTGTGGCCTTTTTTAGCCCATTAACCTAATATACTGTGTCCATGTGTCTTTCTTATCCCCAAGTGGGTGGCGGGTCCTTGAATCACAACAGGATGCTGGACTAAATGGGTCTTTGGCCTGACCCAGTAGCGCTCTCATTACGTTCTCGTGATGTGGAACTGTATGAACTGGCCTGGACCCTGAGATCATCATTTGATGCCCTTCTACGTGTGCTCTTTCCACGAGAGGCCCAGAAGGCAGCAACGTGAGGAAAGGCCTTTTCTGCAGGGGCTCCCTGTCACTGGAATGCTCTCCTTGAGGAGGTTCTGCTGGTGCTTTCATTACCTACCCAGGCAAAAAGCATTCTCTATAACCAGGCCTTGAACTGATTAAATAGTCTACGGCCTTTTAAATGTGTTTGCAGAAGGGGGGTTTATTGGTTCGTTTCTGTTTGATTGTATATTTTGTCTTCTCAGTTTGTGTTTTTATGTTGTGGACCACCCTGTGATCTTTGGATGAAGGGCTTTATATAAATTTAATAAATAACAATAAATAACTCTCAAACCAGTTAGAAGCTCTGAGCAAAAGACTCAGTTTTGGGGAATATAGGAAATTCTGTTCTCAACATAAGAATTCAGCAATATTGGTGAGATCTAGAGCTCAGTTATGTTGTTGTTGTTGTTTAGTCGTTTAGTCGTGTCCGACTCTTCGTGACCCCATGGACCGGAGCATGCCAGGCACTCCTGTCTTCCACTGCCTCCCGCAGTTTGGTCAAAATCATGTTGGTAGCTTTGAGAACACTGTCCAACCATCTCGTCCTCTGTCGTCCCCTTCTCCTTGTGCCCTCCATCTTTCCCAACATCAGGGTCTTTTCCAGGGAGTCTTCTCTTCTCGTGAGGTGGCCAATGTCTTGGAGCCTCAGCTTCAGGATCTGTCCTTCCAGTGAGCACTCAGTGCTGATTTCCTTAAGAATGGATACGTTTGATCTTCTTGCAGTCCATGGGACTCTCAAGGGTCTCCTCCAGCACCATAATTCAAAAGCATCAATTCTTCTGAAATCAGCCTTTATATTTCTTATTAAAAGCCCAATTGCTATTTGAAATCTCCTTAAGGGGACTGTTGGAATTCACCCAAGTTTACCTGTTGTTCTGACAAGAATGCTGGCAATTGTGCAAGCCGAGGCTATTTTTCTCCCTTCCACGCAAGCAGAGTAAACACTTCAAAAGTACATTTAGTGCCGACAAGAAATGCCAGACTGACAGCTGAGGAGACTGACGACGTCTGTTGCACCATGTGATAGATGCCTCTCTGAGAGAGGCGTTCCAACATTCCTTTGCCAACGTGACTCAGTTGTGATTTACAGAAAGCCTTTCTGTGACGGATGAAGGGAGTTGGCCCTCTGTGAGGTTTGCTTCAAGAACTCTGCTCCTATTCCAAACTGTACAGCAAACTTCAGTGGATGCTCCTTGCACTGGGATGCCCCAAGATGGGTTCTAAATTAGTCCTTGTGCTGCACAGAATAGGGATGGGGAGGAGAATTTGATTCCTTTTGCTTTTAAAGGTGAGTTTACCTAATTCACACTTCCTGAAACAACAAGCAAATTGAAAAACAAGGCATCCTTCAAAACTGGCATGTGTCTGGATTTTGCAATGCAGTTCCCCAGCTAAAAATGCATATACTAAGGTACAGTTTGCATATATATGCATGTATCAGTGAAAATATGACAGAAAATGATTTTATTAGGGAAATTGTTTTGCAAAAAATGTGTACGATAGGCAAAATTGTGTATAAGAATGTGGCCTTTCTCCTGGGCATAGTCGGCCAATCGGTGTTAAAAAGGGACAGAACTTTCTTTATGTATGCTACAACAGCAGCAAGAATACACATCGCAAAGCATTGGAAGACACAAGATTTACCCACACTGGAGGAATGGCAGATGAAATTAATGGACTATATGGAATTGGCAGAAATGACTGGCAGAATCCGTGACCAGGGAGAAGAGTTGGTGGAAGAAGATTGGAAGAAATTTAAAGATTATTTACAGAAATACTGTAAAATTAATGAATGTTAGAATGATGTTGGATTGAAGTTAAGTGGTTTCTAGCTGTATAGGTACAAAAGAATATGGAAAAAATGGTTTTTAATATGTAAAAATCTAACGTTACAATATATCAAGACTAAGGATTAGGATTAAAAAGGAGGGAAAGGAATTGTTGGATTAACAAATTGAATTGGAATACAAAAGAGGGAGATATGAGGAGGTCCGGGAAACAAGTAAACGTAAAAGAAGTGAGGAAAAGATGGAATTGTTTTTAAGTGTTTTTTCTTTTTTTTCTACTTTGTATTTTTCCTTTTTATTGTTAATTTTCTTTATTAATGTGATTTTTTTTCCCCTTTGAAACTTTAATAAATATTATTTTAAAAAAAGAATGTGCATGCTAGGAGAAATTTGCGGACAAAAATGCTGACAATTTCTCATGAGAACTTTCTTTATTAATTGCCAACTAATGTGGAGAACTCAGCTTAAGATTGGAAAAATGAGGCAATGAGAGAAACCAAAACTGAATCTAAACACAGCAGCTTCCTCTTGCAATGGACTCCAGCACCCTTCTTTGTATCAATGCTCAGCTGTGGGAAATGCACTTCCAAAAATCAATTTATCTTTTTTCAAAAGCAGCATAAACTGAAAACAAGACGAGGAGAGATGCTATAAAGGAGAAATCTGATTGAATAAAACAGGTGAGTATCATATAATGTGGCAAGCAGCGTTGTTGAGACTGTGTCTCCAGGGACTCCAGTTCTCCCAAGTTGGCAGATTATGGTACCATTTAGCAATTATTATATAATTGTTCCTCTGGAGGGAAGAGCAGAGGATTCCTTGCATTCACTGAGAGCTGGTAACAGTTGGATTCTGCTGCAGATTTCTTGTATCACCCCAGCACTGTAAAGCAGCAAACGGGAATCTGTCCCCCTCCAGATGTTGTTGGAATCTAACTCCCATCATCCCTAAGTGCAGATGTTAAGAAGACATTATTCCCCATTCCACCCTGTAGTCATCACATGGAGCACCGCTTCCGTTCCACTGCAAATCCACCCCCAAAGTAAGTTATTTATCTCCTGTCTGCTGCGGTGAAATTAAGTTACGCAAATTACACTATCATTATGTTATCCCACCCCATTGATTTAAAGGCAAATCAATTTCTCTGGCATTCCTAGTCTCAGCCACCATGACCAATGGTGAGGAATGATGGCAGGAGTCAACCAAGAGTATCTGGAGGACCACAGCTTCCCTACCCATCCTCTACAGTGTAGACACTGTAAGTTTTCTTATACAATGTTGACATTATTAGTGCTAGATGCATGATCTCTGCTATCTCAAATTGTGTGTTTTTTCCTTAATCCTGCTCACTTGCTATTCTTGGCTGGGGAGGGTGTGGCGCTATGCTTGGCTTGGCGGCTCACCATGAGTTGTACACCATTTCATAGCATCTCCTTTTGGGGTAAAGAAACCATGCATCGTATCATGCAGATATTTTTTGCTGACTGGTAAAATGCTCAGAGCATGATAATCTCAAGAGTATACATTTCCTGTCCCCAACGTTATTACTATTGTTCTTGTTGCCTGACAGCAACTATCTCCCGCTATGGTTACATTTCCAATTCTATTAGAAGCCAACATCCTGCTTGTTTGTGGACATCATCATAAAATACATTATGCACAGAGAGATGATTATGCTACAGTATAACACATGATTCATTTTTGCAAGCTTTTGCTATCAGAGGTGGGGGGTGGGGTGGGGTGGAATGCAATTGCGCTGCCAAGGAATAAAGACATACATCTTGCCCGCAGATTAATGGATATATATTGAACACCAAAATTGGATGTAGACTGATGAAAGGATTGACTTGCATTTAATCACCTAGTGCCTTAGCAGCGAGCTCTTTTAGTAATTAAAGTGCTCTGTTTTCCCCTCTAAAGTGTTACACATTTCAACTCCAGAACAAAAAGCCATTAAAAAAGACATCCCCCCCCCCCCCAAATAAACCCTTCAGTGTCAAGGATATTTTTGATTTTTTTCACTAGTATGATCTTTTTCTCTCTTACTTCAGCATTTCTTCCATATTTGAGCCAAACAGGAACCTTCAAATCCACTTTAAGTGATATACGGGGGAAAGCCATAACCATCTTGCCTTGCATTCAGAATGTCCAAGACCCAATCCTGCTTTGCTTTAAATTTTAGGGTTCAGGAGATCCTGGACTGGGACACCGGAATGCCTCTGTAGACAACCAAAGTCCAAAACAACCTTCCTCAATCTGTTGCTTTCCAGTTGTTTTGGACTACAATTCCTATTGACCATGGCCACCGGCCAGGCTCTCTCTCTGGCTGATGGCAGTTGTAGTCTGAAAGATCTGGAGAGCATGGGTTGGCTTAGATCAAGGATGGAGAGCCTCAGGCTTGTGGGCCAAATTTAAACCTCTTTACCTGGCCTGCTGGACTCTTCTCATGCCACAACCTCTTTCCCCAGGCAATGCCCCTCACTGATCCTGCTTCAGAAACACCCGGAGTATTTTTGCCTGGTTAGAATCCATCCCTGAACTCTGATAATGACTCTCACTAGCCTGGATGAAGGATAGAGAAGGTGTGAATCTGTGTAGAAACTATCCTACCATGCAAAGGTACAATTTGGATTAGTTGTTCCACCTGCCACTGAAAGGAAGGTGTCCCTCAACCTGGAAAAGTTCCCCCAGGCCTGGGCTTGACAGACCAATGATCTAACATGATATAACACAGCTTTCTTGGTTCGTAAATGCAATGGCAATTCTCTCAGGCCTTTGTGTTTTTTGCATTCTATAGATAGTTTATTTGGTCACTCTCCTAAGGCTCTGGAGGACCCAATTCTGGTCCTGCTTGTGGTCTTCTAATGGGCATCTTATCAGCCACTATGAGATGGGCTATTTTCCTGATCCAGCCAGCTCATTTTACGTATATTATTATGCTCTGAAGTACAATATTCAAAACAAATTTAAATCAGTTCTATGATTCTATGATTGCTGGAACCTCCCACTCTTTCTCTCAGTTGCCGCTGCTTTACTTTTTTCTCCCCTCCATACTAAGCTAGCTGCATCTGCTACCTCTTTTTGTTTACAAATATACACACCAAATTTGTCAATTATTTTGAGTGGCATAAGAACAAGTTGGAGGGAATGAAGACCTGGCATAAGCAGGCAAATCAATTAATTGATCTCTGCTGAATCTGGATAATTCAGTTTCCAAGTTTGTTAAAGAATGTCAGAAACTTTAAACTAATTTTGGTAGAGACTCAGCTGTCTCCACTGATTAAATCATAGGTGATGGGGGTGAATTTCAATGAGGAGAAAAAACCTTCAAATGTGCATTTCTTTCAAAAATTGCATTATATATGCTTGACCTTTAGGTCTCAGTATATCTCCACACACACACACACACACACACACACACACACACACACACTTACTTACTTACTTACTTACTTTCAAAAAGGCAATATATTTTGAACATGCCACTCCAAATTTTCCAGTGTCTGCTTTTGATTGTTGTAAACACTGACTGAGTATGCAAATTATTTCATGCATTTTTTCCCCTGAATGTCCTCCAAACAGGACAGGGTCATAAACAAGGGGTGATTCCTATTTCAGCCTTTGAAATATTGTATTGCAGTAATTGCATAAGGCTGCAATGCTATATATACACTAGGGATGAGCTTAAATCTGTCAATTTTAGTTTTTTCAGTTTCTCATTTTTTCCAGTTTTAAATTCAGTTCTCCACATTTCCACCTCAGTTTGTGATTTTATTTCATTTAACAAATCCTCATGAACATTCAGAAGCATTTTCCTAATATGCACATATCTATTTGCATGTAATTCTTTCTGATAAGCACATTTTTGCAAAACAATTTCCTCTTATATAATGCCTTTTGTGTGCTATTTTCACTATTATATGCATTTAAACACATGCTTTACCCCAGTATATGCATTTGTATACAGTTACTTTAGCACCACAAAATTCAGACAAGTCTCCTAGGAAGAGGATTCCACAGGTGAAGTGCCACTACTGAAAAGGTCCACTCATCATCTGGTGCCTTCCAGATGTTCTGGACTACAATTCCCATCATCATCAGCCAGGATGGTCAATGATCAGAAATGATGGGAGTTGTAGTCCAAAATATCTGGAGGACGCCAGGCTGGCAAAGGATGATCTAATTCAACTTTTCCCATGGTCAGCCAGAAGTCCACAACTCAGGCAGGAGCATGATGCCCATGGCTTGTTTCTCTGAAGCAACTGGTAAGAAGAGGGACTTTCCCTCATAACGTGGACATCTGATTCACTTCAAAGCACCTGCGACTTTCTTATGCACGAATACATTTACAGAAATCTATTGACTCACCCTCTCTGGAAGAGATCCACATTATGGAATTTGTGCAGCTCCACAGAAAAGTCGACAGTTCCCTGGACCTCCGACATGATGTTTTCAGGTCATCACCTAAAGAGCAGGTGAGAAAGGGAGAAGTTGGTTGAGCAGATGGGAAAAGATGGAGATGCACAGCAGAAGTTTATCAAAAGCCTATATTAATAATAATAATAATAATAATAATAATAATAATAATAATAAATTATTATTTATATCCCGCCCTCCCCAGCCGAAGCCGGGCTCAGGGCGGCTAACAACAATAAAATAATACAACATTCTAAAATCATTTCATTATAAAATTAATTCAAATCAAATTAATGGCAACCATTGGGCTAGAGTTCTGTGAAGATTGGCAAAGGAGTGGGTCAGACTGTGCCTTGGCCAAAGGCCTGGTGGAACAGCTCTGTCTTGCAAGCCCTGTGGAAAGATGTCAAGTCCCGCAGGGCCCTAGTCTCTTGTGACAGAGCGTTCCACCAGATCGGAGCCACAGCTGAAAAAGCCCTGACTCTGGTTGAGGCCAGCCTAACCTCTCTGTGGCCTGGGACCTCCAAGGTGTTTTTGTTTGAAGACCGTAAGTTCCTCTGTGGGACATACCAGGAGAGGTGGTCCCGTAGGTACGAGGCTTTAAAGGTTAAAACCAGCACCTTAAAAATGGGCCTTATGGCCAGGAAATGCCTGCCAAAGATGGATCAAATCACCTGTACAAGCAATATTAAATTCGTCCCCTTCACATATTGTGCAGCTTTGCATTTCATGTATTTAAAGGTGGGCATGGGGTGAGCAAGTGGAAAACTCACCGGCCTTGTGCAGAGGTTCATCTGAGTGGTGATCTGATCCACCTAAGCTGTAATCAAACATGGTGAATCTGCGAGTCACCTGGTGTGGCCCCCTGTGCGTCTGACCTACGCTTGAAGACCCATGCTTTAAAATGTCAATAGAATTGTAGAGTTAGAAGGGACCACAAGAGTATCTAGTCCAATCCTCTGCCATGCAAGAACCACAGCTCAAGAATACCTGACCTTAGTTTGAAAGCCTCTAATGATAAGTATTGGGGACGCGGGTGGCGCTGTGGGTTAAACCACAGAGCCTAGGACTTGCCGATCAGAAGGTTGGCGGTTCGAATCCCTGCAATGTGGTGAGCTCCCATTGCTTGGTCCCTGCTCCTGCCAACCTAGCAGTTCCAAAGCACGTCAAAGTGCAAGTAGATAAATAGGTACCGCTCCGGCGGGTAGGTAAAAGGCATTTCCGTGTGCTGCTATGGTTCGCCAGAAGCGGCTTAGTCATGCTGGCCACATGACCTGGAGGCTGTACGCCGGCTCCCTCGGTCAATAAAGCGAGATGAGCACCGCAACACCAGAGTCAGCTACGACGGGACCTAATGGCCAGGGGTCCCTTTAACTTCACCTAATGATAAGTATTAAACTCCTAAAAACCACACCAAAAGGGATAGATACATGGTAGACGCCCTGTGTGTGTAGTTTGGCCCAGCTACCAAGCATTAGTGAGATCAAATGATGGTATGTGCAAGCCTTGCAAATTCCACCAACACATGACAAGAACCAGAGAACGAAACGAGAAACACACAGAATCGTTTGCATTAAGAACACCACCAGACATTACAAACGACAAAGAGCAAACCTGTTTACTGACCTGACTGCTGCTCAATCTTCCCAGTGTTATTCTTCAGCAAAAAAAAAACCCCAGCCTCACTATTTTGGTTACACTTGCCTGCTTCTGTTACCAAATCCTTTCCCAAATAATCATCAGGGGCAATGCCACAGCAAAACAAAACACCCCATGGAATGACACCATGGCTCAAAAACAGGAGAACGAGAGAAAGAATTTGCTGTGTTGCTTAGAAAATATGCAAGGCTTCATAATATATTTGTCAGGCACTGTGTTGCATTAGATTTCCAGCTACGAAGCTGGGATTTGTTTGCCGGTGGAAAAATAATAATAGAACCTTTAGAAAGAAAGAAGAAAAGCCGTCCCCCTCTCCGTTCTGCTTATGAAATATTGTCCCACAGAACGGAATATTTCTCACTCTTTCTCCCTCGCTCTCCCGCTAGCACAAAAATCAATGAAGTCAGATTCGGAGAGGACCAAAATAATGATATGCTGCTTCAGAAATAAAGGGCAACTGTGAGTCATGAGCAAAGACATGCTCGCTTACAATAAAGTGTTTGAAAAAGTGAGCTGAGCAGAGAGATAAGGCATGTTATTTATTTATTTCGTACACACACACACAGTTCTCAAACATGAACTTCCACAGCCCAGCAGCTTGGGCTTTTCCCTTTCTGGAAGTTATTTGTGGCTCATAGGTAAAGGGACCCCTGACAATTAAGTCCAGTCACAAATGACTGGGGTTGCGGCTCTCATCTCGCTTTAAAGGCCGAGGGAGCCGGCATTTGTCCACTTCCGCAGACAGTTTTCCCGGGTCATGTGGCCAGCATGACTAAGCCGCTTCTGGTGAAACCACAGCAGTGAATGGAAATGCCGTTTACCTTCCCACCAGAGCGGTACCTGTTTATCTACTTGCACTACATGCTTTCGAACTGATAGGTTTGCAGGAGCTGGGACAGAGCAATGGGAGCTCACACTGTCACAGGGATTCGAACCGCCAACCTTTCGATCGGCAAGCCCAAGTGGCACAGTGGTTTAACCCACAGCGCCACCCGCGCCCCTTAGGGTGTCCTTATTTTCATCAGAGAAATGTTGGAGGGTATGGAGTCATGTGACCCCTGAGCCAAGGAGGTAAGTAACTATGCAACCTTTAGAAGACAGCTGAAGGAAGCTCTGTATAGGGAAGTTTTTTTTAAAAAAATGTTTAATGTTTTATTATGTTTTTATATATGCTGGAAGCTGCCCAGAGTGGCTGGAGCAACCCAGTCAGATGGGTGAGGTATTATTATTATTATTATTATTATTATTATTATTATTATATATGACATCCCTGTTTTCATTGGAGAAATGCTGGAGCGGTGCAAAAAAAAGCAGCATCCCATTCCCTCCAATATTTAGCATCTGATGGTATATTGCCATTGACCGTGGATATTCTACTTTGGATTTATCAGCAGCTATGAGCCACAAGGTCTAAACCACTGAGCCTAGGGCTTGCCAATCAAAAGGTCAGCAGTTCAAATCCCCACAACGAGGTGCACTCCCATTGCTCACTCCCAGATCCTGTCAACCTAGCAGTTTGAAAGCACGCCAAAAAGTGCAAGTAGATAAATAGGTACCACTCCGGTGGGAAGGTAAACTGTGTTTCCGTGTGCTGCTCGGTGTTCCATTGTGCCAGAAGCGGCTTAGTCATGCTGGCCACATGACCTGGAAAAACTGTCCAGAGAGCAGACAAACACCAGCTCCCTCGGCCTGTAAAGCGAGATGAGTGCCGCAACCCTAGAGTCATTTCCAACTGGACTTAACTGTTAGGGGTCCCTTTACCTTTACCTTTAAGGAAAAGCAAGACATTCCAGGATCAATTCAGAAACCGGGACCGCTTCTGTAAATCCGGGAGTGTCCCTGGGAAATGGGGACACCTGGAGGGTCTCATATCTGCATCCAATGAAGTCACTGTATTCTGCATAATGGTCGAGCTGGTCCAGACCTGCAGCTCCATGGCAGAGGAAAGGTGGAGCATGAAAGTGTGCAATAAATCCAATAAACAACCTTTACATGTTGCCTTTTGCAAGCTAACTGGCCGCTGATTTGGGTCTCGCCCTGCCAAGACCAGAATCCAATTTTCATTGAAAGAAACCCAAAGCCACAGCTGGATGTAAGCAATTTACCACTTTTATTGCTCATAAGAGGCTGTGGAACCTGGCTGATCCCTGTGCTGGTGGCTTATTTTTAGCCCAAGCAATCACCGAGGTTAGCAAACATTTATTTCACCCTATTGTTGAGCTGCTCATTTTCTGTTCTCCATCGGAAGAAGGCAAGGCCTGCATGACATGAGTAATTTCTTTAACTCGCAGCTATGATTAATGTTTCCCCAGGTTCCAGAATACTGCAAGGCTTGCCACAGCTGAGAGATCTTGAATAGGGAGATCAAAAATGCTAAGGGCTTTAGACAATTCCTCTTTCCCCAGTTTGGGCACTGTTGGCGGTGTAGATGGTGAACTGCCACCAAAGAGATCCTAGGTTCTTGTGGATAGTGGCAGAGCTCCTGACCAGCCAAAACTATACTGTGCTTCTGTCATGACACCAAGCTGGGAGGGGTAGCTAATGACACAGAAGACAGTATCAGAATTCAAAATGACCTTAACCTAACAAAATGAATTTCAACAGGACAAATGTAAGGTTGTGTACTTAGGCAGGAAGAACCAGATGCACAAATATAGAATGGGGGGCACCTGGCTTACTAGTAGTACATGTGAAAAGGATCTAGGGGTCTTGGTGGACCACAAGCTTAACATGAGGCAACAGTGTGATGCAGCAGCAAAACAAGCTAATGCTGTTCTAGGCTGCATCAGCCGAAGTATAGTGTCCACATCAAGGGAAGCAATGGTACCACTCTTTTCTGCCTTGGTGAGACTACATCTGGAATACTGTGTCCAGTTCTGGGAACCTCTGTTTAAGAAGGATATTGACAAGCTGGAATGTGTGCAGAGCAGGGCAACCAAGATGATCAAGGGACTGGAAACTAAGCCTTAAGAGGTGGGCTTGAAGGAGCTGTGTATGTTTAGCCTGGAAAAGAGGAGACTGAGAGGAGCTATGATAGCTATCTTAAGGGCTGTCACATGGAAGAGGGAACATACTTGTTTTCTCCTGCTCTGGAGGGTAGAACTGGAACCAATGGCTTTAAGATTCTATATCAACACAACAGGGAACTCCTTGTAAGATCCTTCTCTGATATGGCTGAAGGTGATCTATTCAGTACAGTAACACTTCTACTAATGAGGACGCAGTCCACACTCTTATTTAGTTATTTAGTACATTTATATGCCACCTTTTATTTTCTCAAGGAGCTCAAGGTGGTGTACATGGTTCTACCCCTCCCCATTTCATCCTCACAGCAACCCTGTGAGGTAGGCTAGGCTGACAGACGGCGACTGGCGCAAGGTCACCCAATGAGCTTCAAGGCTGAGTAGGGATTCGAACCCTAGTCTCGAAGGTCATGATGGTCCAATGCCCCAACCATTACGCCATGTGTGGGTAGGGACTGTCTTGTTTTGATTATCTGCAAGTTGCTCTGGCAGCCTTTATGGCTGAAGATTGAGGTACAAATGCTCTAAATTACAAACAACCAAACAAGAACAGAGCAGGAAGAGCAAACAGTCAATTGCACATTGTAAATTTCCAGGGGGATATTTACAGAGGCCTTTTACAGGTGGCATAGGAAGCAGAGACAGACAAACTTTCACCCACTGACATTAGCTGTGGGTAGCTGTTTCTTTCTATATCCTATCCCGTTTCCCCTAATATAGTCCATTTTTAAATGTTTTTTCCATTAGTATATGCATTCCTATATACACTTTATTCTAATATATGCATTTCTTGGTATGCATTATTTGTCTGCAGAACTGCATCGCAAAATTCATTTCGAAGGATGGCAGCGTTCCTGTTCTCATACCGTTTTGGAAATTGCAAACCAGGTAGGTTCGCCTTTATGGGCAAAATGAAATCGACTTCTCCCCCACCCCTGGAGCTGGTAATAATAGCTGCACTCCCAACAGCAGTCAACCTCCCTTTCCCCTTCGTTAAATTTTGCAGTTCCCCCTGCTTCACCAAGACAGGTAGCAAAGCATTATTTCGACATGTTTCATTTTATCTGCTGCGCCATCTGTTTGTGGGGGGAAGGAGTTAGGAATAGTTTCAGGTAAAAGCACACTGGGGACTTGGTTATGGGGAAAATGAAATTGTGTTAGCTGGAACAGGTCCCAGGCTCTAGAGCTGGGATGTGCTGTGGTTAAATACACCAGGGTCTCTCTTCATTTCCATAGTGCAGTGATTAGGAGGCATAGGGCAGGTGAGTTATCATGTGCTCTCTAGGGCTGTATTCACATGGCATTTATTCAATTCCACTGGCATCCCCCTAACTGTTAATTTCCACATTATATTTGAGCTCTCACACAACGTAAATGCCACTATAGTTCCGAAACTATAGTGGAACATAATGCATATTAAGCACTCATTTCTGTATTATTTGCAAAGAGCTGTTTTCTGGAAGCAAATAGCATGGAAATGAGCACTAAACTCGTGCTATAAAGGTAAAAGGTAAAAGACCTATAAAGGTAAAAGGTAAAAGACAGTTAAGGCCAATCAAAGGCGACTATGGGGTTACGGCGCACATCTCGCTTCAGACCGAGGGAGCTGACGTTTGTCCGAAACAGCTTTCCGCGTCATGTGGCCAGCAGGACTAGACCGCTTTTGGCACAATAGAACACCGTGACGGAAATCAGAGCGCACGGAAATGTCGTTTACCTTCCCGCCACAGCGGTATCTATTTATCTACTTGCACTGGTGTGCTTTCTAATTGCTAGGTTGGCAGGAGCTGGGACAGAGCAATGGGAGCTCACCCTGTCGTGGGGATTCAAACCACCAACCTTCTGATTGCCAAGCCCAAGAGGCTCAGTGGTTTAGACCACAGCGCCACCTGCGCTACAGAGCTGGAAGGCACCCCACAGTAATCTAGTCAAACTTCCTGCAATGCAACAACCACAGCTAAAGAATCTCTGGCAGATGGATTTTAAACCTTTGTTTAAAATTCTCCAATGAAGTTCCAGAAGTTGCTTTGACATCACACGAAAGCTCAAATATAATGTGGAATTTAATAGTTGGGGGAAAGTCATGAAAGCAGACTAAACTAAAGTCAAACTTATGGAATACGCAGAAATGGCAAAATTCATGGGAATACTCAGAGACAATGACAATAAAAACTTTTTTAAAACTGGGAACCGTACATGCTGTATTTACAGAAATACTGGAAAGAAATGGACTTACTAGCAGGGTTCGAGTAAACACTTACAACTAAGAAAACAAGTATAAAGGTTATGAGAGAATAATATGGAAATTAATGAAATGTAAGATGTGATTTGAAGAAAATCTGGTTTAAGAATGATATGAATATAAGAGTATTTAGCTAAAAGACGAAAAGTAAGATAGAATAATTAAGCAGAAGTAGCAAATTGTTAGGGATGTGGGTGGTGCTGTGGGTTAAACCACACAGCCGAGGACTTGCCGCTCAGAAGGTCGGCGGTTCGAATCCGTGCAACAGGGTGAGCTGCCGTTGCTCTGTCCCAGCTCCTGCCAACCTAGCAATTCAAAAGCACGTAAAAGTGCAAGTAGATAAATAGGTACCACTCTGGCAGGAAGTAAATGGCATTTCCGTGCGCTGCTCTGGTTTGCCAGAAGCGGCTTAGTCATGCTGTCCACATAACCCAGAAGCTGTACGCCGGCTCCCTCGGCCAATAAAGCGAGATGAGCGCCGCAACCCCAGAGTCGGCCATGACTGGACCTAATGGTCAGGGGTCCCTTTACCTTTACCTAGCAAATTGTTAAAGAACCAGAAGGGGAAGTTGAGGGAAGTCACAGGGTGGTGGTGGGGAGTTTTTTTTTGTTTTTTAAAAATATGATAAATGTGTTGAAGATTAAATTGTAAAATCAAATAAAAAATTTATAAAGAAAGCAGACTAAACTTCTCCTTGAATGCTAGGTGTTTTGGAGCTCTATCCAGAAGTGTGGACACACAAATAGACAGAAGCTCTCCGTGACATAACGAAAGGACAGGAAGCGAAGGAGAAGTGAACCCAAGTCATTTAGCAAAGCAGGGGAGGCTCCAAACTTGAAAGTGAATTGACCACTACAAACAGCAGCACATTCCAACCTCCCAGCTGTAAGCACAAATGAAATGTTTCCCATGTAAGCAATCAATTTGCTTCGTGTGCCACATCGGTAAACTGAAACAAACACGGACACCAGCAACCCTGGGAAGGAGGGATTTCCACAAGAATATCTATTTGCAGCAAAGCACAAAACCCATCACGAGGAACAGCATCTCTCTTGTGGTGCCAGAAGTGACTCAAGCTTCTAGAGATAACAGCATTTTCTTATACATGGGCAAGTCGGATGCCCCCTGCATTGGACTAGATGAACCTTGGGTTCCTTCTATGATTCTATGAAAATACAAAGAATGGGATTAGAATTTGCTTCTGATGCACTTTTTGAAAGAAGTGCCAGCACCAAGGGTTGGCAACATTAAGCACCTGCTGAGGACTGAATCCTCAGGGTCCAGGTCTAATCTCTGTGGAGCCTCCTTACTCTCCTGCTCCTCTCCTCTGAGAGCCAGTGTGGTGTAGTGGTTAAGAGTGGTAGACTCATAATCTGGTGAACTGGGTTCGTGTTTCTGCTCCTCCACATGCAGCTGCTCGGTGACCTTGGGCTAGTCACACTTCTCTAAAGTCTCTCAGCCTCACTCACCTCGCAGAGTGTTTGTTGTGGAGGAGGAAGGGAAAGGAGAATGTTAGCTGCTTTGAGACTCCTTCGGGTAGTGATAAAGCGGGGTATCAAATCCAAACTCTTCTTCTTCTTCTCTTCCTTGTGACTGCTACCTGTGCAACCATCCTCTCCAGGTGAGCAGCCAGGCAGAGGAGCAAGGAGAAAGAGCAGGAACATGCTCTGCACACCCTGTCTCTCTATGGACATAAGAAGAACCCTTCTGGATCTAGGAGATGTCCCAATTAGTCCCAATTAGTCCAAAATACTGTTCTCAGAGTGCTCAGTCAGATGCCTCTGGGGTTCCTAGTGAATAGCATATAGTTGCATCAAAGTAGGATTCTCAGCACCTAAATATAGAAGCCTGTTGCCTCTGGCAGTAAAACAGAGGTATCATGGCTAGTAGCTGCTCATTTCGCTGAACATCTGAGCTCCGATTTCAGTGGGGCACTGCCTGCAGAACATTCAGGAGCCTCAGAGAAGGGGCACATTCGGTCAGATCTCCTTCTCTGAATGTGCCTTCCCCCCTCTGTAATGCGAGAGATCCTGTGGAATCCTGTGGTCCCTGGAACAACTTCCCAGGCAATGTAGGACAGCAGCCTTAGACTTGCACTATCAGAAGTAATGCATAAATTGAAACGCAACCATGTTTCAGAATTCCCACTTCTCCAGCTGAGAATTGTATATAAAAATGCATATCCCAGGCATTAAAAAATTGTATGTTACTGAAAATAGCATATTAGAAGAAATCACTTTGCAAAAGATTTTGGGCATATTAGGCAATGTGGAGAATATAACTTTGGACTGGACAAATGAGAGATTGAGAGAAACAGATATTGACAGGTTCACCCATCCTCACACAGGACATCATAATTCAGAGGAAGATACAAGAGTATGGAGGACACATCAAAGAAGAAAACTGCTTTCAGCCTCTCATGCCTCATGTCTGACCATCTTGTAGAATATTCACAATAAACACACGAGATGTAACCGGCTGTGTTCTTAGATAAAGAAGGTATACTATTCATTGTATCCAATTGTAAATTTCAACAGAAGTAACTCATAAAGTTCAACAAACGAACAAAGCAGAAGACCCAGTGGATCAGATCATTCTCTAGTCAGTTCATTCACAAGGTCAATCCATGTAATGGTGTCTATTCCACCTGTCTGTTCATAAAGTCCAAACAATTCACATGAAAAGTTGTTACAGTTCCCCAAAATCCTTTCACAGAGTCTAGACAAGGATTTCATGTTGATTCTTTGGACTTATTGAGGATGCTTTATGTGACCATAGGTTTGTTTGTTTGTTGTTGTCATCTTGTAGAATAGGCATGGGGAACCTGTGGCCCTTCAGCTATTTCCCATCAGTTCCAGCCAGTATGACCAATAATCCAGAATACTGCGAGTCTGTCTGGAGGGTCTGCCAGTTGTGAACTGCCCTGTGGTCTTCAGAAGAAGGGCTGTCTACAAATTTAATAAGCAACAACAACAATGAATGCAACAAATAGATACATTTTCCCAATACACCACAGGGCGGGTCCAGATAAGCAGCAGAATGTGTGCTTGCATGCATAGAGTCAACCCACAACATCTCCGTTGTAATAGGATCTCAAGGAACAGGTCTGAGCATCGACAAAGTTGTTGCTTGCCAATAGCAGCTAGTGTCCTGGGGCAGAGTCACTTTCCACATACCAGAGTTACTGCAACTTACCTGAATGAAGCTGGGGGGGGGGCACAGCGGCTGTGCTGATGAAGCGGGGAACAGCAAAGTCAGGCTATGTCAGCACTGGTCTTGGGCAGGTGGCTAGGCAGACCAGTGGGCTGATTTGGGTGGCGCTGTGGTCTAAACCACTGAGCCTCTTGGGCTTGCCGATCGGAAGGTCGGCAGTTCGAATCCGTGCAACAGGGTGAGCTGCCGTTGCTCTGTCCCAGCTCCTGAAAACCTAGCAGTTCGAAAGCACACCAGTGCAAGTAGATAAATAGGGACCACTGCGGTGGGAAGGTAAATGGCGTTTCCGTGCGCTCTGGTTTCCGTCACAGTATGCCATTGCACCAGAAGCAGTTTATTCATGCTGGCTACATAACCCAGAAAGCTGTATGTGGACAAATGCCAGCTACCTCGGCCTGAAGCGAGATGAGCGCCGCAACCCCAGAGTCGCCTTTAACTGGACTTAATCTTCCAGGGATCATTTGCCTTTACCTTACCTTCAGTTTCCAGTACCTTCTCGGAAGAAAAGCAGCAGCGATAGATTCGGATCACTGCCGTTGGCTCTGAGTCACTGGGGAAAGCGCTACAGGAAGCTCCATAGATGCTTACAGCTTAGCATTTATGAAGCAATTTGCAGTGTTCAAACATGTATGCAGCCTTGAGATGCTTGGAGGAGAGGTGGAACCCAAATAACAAATGAATATTTATAGGAGAGACCTGCAAGCAAGCATACCCAGCAACATTTGAAGAAGATTTTACAATCTCCAACCGTGAATATTGAGGGTGGTCCAGCAACACTTCCTTGTGTGTATGCTAGCTCCCTTACATAGCAGAGGGACGATCGCACAGCCTAAGCATTGAAAGGATCAAGTTGCACACGGCTGATGGCAATAAAACACTCATGGAAGCAGTAAAGCTCAATCAAGCATTGTTTACTTGAAAGGCAATGTCATTCTTCATGTTAGAAGACTATTTACAACTTTAAGGTAAATGTAAAGGGACCCCTCACAGTTAAGTCCGGTCACGAACGACTCTGGGGTTGCGGCGCTCACCTCGCCTTACAGGCTGAGGGAGCCAGCGTTTGTCCGCTTCCACAGACCGTTTTCCCAGGTCATGTGGCCATCATGACTAAGCCGCTTCTGGCAAAGCCAGAGCAGTGCACAGAAACACTGTTTACCTTCCCGCCGGAGCTGTATCTATTTATCTACTTGCATTGCGTGCTTTTGAACTGCTAGGTAGGCAGGAGCTGGGACCGAACAACAGGAACTCACCCCGTCGTGGGGATCTGAACCACTGACATTCCAATTGGCAAGTCCAATCGGATTAAACCACAGCACACCCCACATCCCCTTTTACAACTTTTACAACTTTACTACCACACGAATAGTAAGGCACACTTCCGTTCTACATGCTGCCTGCACTCAGCTCAGTGGTCTCTCCCCTGCAGGAATTGCGCAAATCTACAGATATGTGCTCCTCAGCTATTTATTGCTGATGTAGACTAAACAATCTTGCACTTAGATGCTTCAAGAATCTTCTCATGGTTTCTGGAAACGAATGGATCTTTCTCACTTACCCTAACATCATTTACTATAAGAGCTTGCAGAGGAGGAAGGAATGGAAACTTGTGCATCCTTAGCTTTATTTAAAGGGGGAAAAAGCACTTGATATTTATGAAAAGGATGGGAAAAACTAGGTGTGAGGATGTAGCATGGATGAATGCAAAAAATAAATTAATAGAGGGAGCCATTGAATAGCATAGAGTCTTAGACCCACACATTAAATTCATATGGCTGTAATCCTGTAGGCTCTTTGAAGCTGGATAATGGGAGCCGTTTTGACAGATTCTGCCTTTCAGATCTGACAGCTGCTTTGGCATGTTTGCATATGCCTTATTTCAATACCACACAGTGCTCAAAACAAGCACCAAGGGTATCTCTTTTGTGGCATTTCCTCAGCCAGGATGGAACAGACTTCCTTTTTGGAGCAGAACCTCAGATTGCTGAAATGGAGTTATATGTTGGTCACATCTGCAATGTACATTTTGAGCACAATTTCAAGCGCATGGTGTGTCCCCTGGGAATTGTAGTTCACCCCTCTCACAGGACTACAGTTCACAGGACCCTCGTGTTGTGTGCTTTCAATGGGTGCTGCTTTAAGTGGATGGCATGGATGTGCCCACAGAACATCTCAAGAGAGAAAGACCATCTTGAACCCTATTTCCCTTCTTGGGTTTAAAGATCTGCAGAGGAGTGCCTCTTGGTAGTTCCTACACCCGCAGAGGTGCAGAGAATGGTTGGAGGCAACCTATTCTTTCTTATGTCGTGGAACCCCATGTCGTTTACATGGGATTTCTAAGCAGTCACATCTTCAGAAACTAACCAGACCCAGCTTTCTTAGCTTCAGCAAGATGGTGGCCTCAGGTGCTTCCTACAGATCATACACTGGAACTAAGTTAGCCCAGCCAGCGAGCAAGAGTTCTGCCAAAGGGAACGTATGGCTCTCCAGAAGTCTGTTAATCCTAGGAACTAAGACACTCTATGTTGAGAGTTTCTGGAGGACAGCAGAATGTGTTGGCCAGTGGCTGGCCAGGACCGCATGTCCTTCAAGATAGCTTTTGCTGCCTTTTAATGCTGCAACATTTAAAATGTGATGTTCCCTCCCCACAGGGTTGTGCCTAACATCTTCATTGAACAATTTTCCCAGTATGCACATCTTAACTGGTATTTCATTTTGTGGGACCCCACTTCTGTAATTGACTTTATACTGTTTCATTCCACGTGGAGTGGCTTTACGAGTGCTGCAACTGCATTATTCATAAAATCATAGAAGTGTAGATTTGGAGAGGATCCTAAGGGTCATCTAGTCCAAATCCCTGGAATGCAGGAATCTCATTTGAAGCATCCATGACAGACGGCGATCCAACCTCTGTTTACAACCTCCAATGAAAGAGAGCCCACAACCTCCCAAGGAAGTCCATTCCCTGTAGAACATCACTTAATGTCAGAAAGTTCTTCCTGATGTTTAGTCAGAATCTCCCTCTCTCCCTCCCCCCACCTTGTAACTTGTAGCTGTTAGTTTGAGTCCTACCCCCCAGAACTGGAGAAAACAACCTTGCCCCATCTTCCAGGTGATACCCCTTGTGATATTTGAAGATGGCTATCATATCTCCTCGCAGTCTCTTTTCCAGGCTACACATACCCAGTTCCCTCAACTGTTCCTCATAAGGCTTGGTTTTCAGACCTTTGATCACCTTGGTCCTTTGCACATGCTACAGCTTCCAATATCTTTGTGAAATTGTGGCACCCAGAACTGGACACAGGACTCCAGGTGTGACCTATTGTTGTATCTTTTTTATATAATACTATGTTCTGTTGTTGTATCCCAGCCCTTGGACCTTATGGCAAAGAGCCAGGAAAAAAGAAGAAGCCAACAACAACTTACAAGCAAACAAGTAAATACATGTTGGCCCCAATCCACTTTGAGCTTGTTAACACCAGTGCTCTGAAAGCTGCTGCCATTCTGTAGTATAATCCTAGTATAATGTCTTCCTTGTGACTCAGTCCTCTCACCACCCCCTCCCCCAGGACTTTATTTTATTTTATTCTGATCATTTTATTCTTTTTGCCAGCCGGCGCTTCCAACCAAACTCCCAAGGTCAGCTTCACATTGCGAAGCATCTTAACATTTCAGGGTGCATCGCTTTCTCTCCGAACATTTCATCCAGCCTACCTCGATCTGTGCAAACGGCACGTGAGATAAAAGGGCAGATAGAATGAAGTACACATTATGCAAAACACACGTGCGCACACTTGTCTCCCGGTACCTCGGATGACCTCTAGCCCGTGGTAATTAACGGAATTAATGTCTGCTGCAGGAATATAAAACATGCGAAACGGCAAAGGGCTGGAACAAAGCCCAGCAGAAGGCTTATACAAAGAGGATGTTCTGATCCTTGCAGTCAACAATTCTCCTCTGACGTGTATGTATATATAAAACAGGGATTGTGGGTGGGTGGGGAAAGCTGCCATAGCTTCAGTGTTTGAGCTGTTTTTGGCTTCCCTCTGGAGCCCAATTATTGGGGGAGGGGAGTAAATATTTAAGCCACGAGTTGGGAACCTCAGGCCTGTGGGCCAAATTTCAACCCTCCAAGCTTGCCATCTGGCTCTCATGACTCGTACCAGGTCACACCGTTTGCGGACCCTGCTCTGCACCCTCATGGATTGTTTTTGTCTGGTTGGAATGTGTCACTGAACTCTGTCAAGGCCTCTTGCTAGCCTAGATGAAAGAAAAGGGCTGTGTGAGTGTGTAGCAACTCTGCAGAGATAACATTTGCATGCCCATTTTTGCCTCCAGCCTTGCCCACCTCTGGCCCCTGGAAAGCTGCCTAGATAGGAATGTGGCCTTCAGGCTGCTAAATGTTCCTCACCCTTGATCTATGCTATGCATATGGGAATTTCCATCACATAAAGCGCATCTGAGTGCTCCTTACCTCCTGCCAAAAGACCTAGTAGCTAATTTCTCTGAAATTTGGTAGGCTTAATCTACCCTGAAGGGGCTCCTGTGCCAGTAAATTTCATCCACTTTGGCCAAAAGGGGAGAAGTTATAGCCATTTTTAGACTCCCCATTATAGTGAATACCAGGGGGAAGGCTGTTAAGTGAAGGAGAAGCTGGAAGTGGGTAGATGCCTGAAAAACTTCAGGCTGTAGTAACACCCACCCACACCCCTGACCTGGATTGATTATGGCAACAGTCTTAGATTTATAAAGATCAGGGTCATTGCCATCCTAAGAGAACAAGCGAGACATTCATGGTAAGCTCTGGCACCTCTTTTCTAGAAAAATAGCACTGATGAAGATCCAAGCTGTAGTAATTGCCCCACCTGGAATGATTATGGCAATGACCTCAGATTTACAAAGCTTTGAGCTGTAGTAGCCCCCCAGTCAGGATTGGTTATGGAAATGGCTTCAGAGCTATAAAGCTTGAAGCTGTAGTGACTCATCGTTGAGGGTTGGTTATTACAAAGGCCTCAGATTTGTAAAGCTTTGAGCCATTGTAAACCACCAAGCTGGAGATTTATAAACTTTTAGGGTGTAGTAACTCCCCAGTGCCCGAATTGGTGGTGGTGCTGGCCTCAAATTTGGCTCACCATGAGGGAAATTCTCAGACATTCTAACTGTTACAGAAATTCTCAGCAGTGCTAAAACACATGCCTAAAAAAAGAAGATAAACTATCTGGGGGAAGAATGAGAAACCTGTCAAATGTGTTTAAGCAGCATCAACATTTACAATTTTAAATGCTCGTGTTGTAGGCAAGATGTAGAAACTGGAATATGGCTACAAATGGAAAGACTCCAAGACTATGGCTAGAAGCTTAAATGCAATTATCAGAGAGGAGGCCCCAGAGAACATGGTAAGACTTGCTGGTATGACCAGGCTGTCCAGATCACTCTATACTAAGGCTGAACTAAACCAGAGATGGGGAATCTGTGGCTTCCCAGACTCCAATTCTCATCAGTCCCAGCCAGCAAGGCCAATAGTCAAGGATAAAGGGAACTAGAATCCAACAACTGCAGGGCCACATGTCCCATATCCCTGAACTTAACATTGAAAGTTTTTAAGCAGAAGTTTGATGGCCACGTTTCGGGGATATTGGAATTTCCTTACACTTCCAATTAGCTGATAGCTCCTCCATATGCCCTGTTCCAAGAGACATTCAGAGCAGGGGGACGCATCCATCCATCCATCCATCCATCCATCCTAGGGCTGTGCACTGGATTTGGCTGAAGCCCACATCCAAACAGAGTCAGTGGGATCTGGGCTTGGGCTGTGATGGTTCAAGACAGACCCAGGTTGCCTCAGGTCAGTCTGGGCTGTCCGGAGTAATCTGGAATTGGCAGGTGTCAGTGCAGCAAGGCTGCAGGGAAGACACTTCTTGTTGCTGGAGACTTTTTAATTCCCTTTTCCATACCAGCACAACTGATCTCCATATCTACTCCATCAAAGGGGGCAATGAAACACATGGAAATAAGTCCGCTCCAGATACTAACGATTATCCGTTCCAGGGTTTCAGAGCTGGTTTATCACATCCAAGTGGGTGTGTTGGACAATGAATGTACAGACAATCAGGGAAGGCACTTCGGAAGCAGCACCCAGCAGGATTGAACCCTCCTGCTCTTGGACTCAGCAGCTCCTTCCCCCACACCACTGTATGTTTAACTGGGGTTTTAACTACCACCCCAATCTATTCAGAGAGACCCAAGTCTGATGTTCTTTGGGTTGGCGAGGGTTGGGGACAATCTGGGCCTCCAGTTGGTGGCAAAGGGAAAGTGTGTACAGCTCTAACACAGACAGACCAAGTTTTCTTTTTGAATTGGAGGGAAGAAGCATGGTGGAATATTGAAGAGGGGGAGTGCAAATCTTGTAACCTTCTAAAAGAGCAGCTAAGGGGGCAATCTCAAAGACAGGGGCAGCCCTCCATTCAAGCACTGGAGTGGGTTCCTTTGAAGGTGCTTAGACCTGACTTTTACACAATCTAAAGCTGACTTTGAACAGTGTCAGAATAAAAGATGCTTCCAGTTTTAATTCAGGGCAAAGCTGGTCTGACCATTGCTAGAATTTAGCAGGCAGGCTTCAAGATCCTACCAATCCCACTGGAAAGGGAATATAAATTTGCATCCGAAGCTTTAATTGCCTGAGATGCCACATTTTTTCCTTCATTTAAGAATGACTCATGCAAGAACCATTTTCTCAGCATAATCAATTTTGGCACAGTATTTCATTTTATTCTGAACCAGGAGCGAATGTGTGTTTTTCTAAAAAAAATGAAACATGCACCAATGAGATCCTGTTATGCAGAATGATGGACTCTCACTGAAGGCTATGGGCCATTTTGGAAGAGAGCAGAAACAGAGACACAAAACAGTTGTGCTGTTGGTATGAGACCACTTTATAAGAATAAATCAGTCGGTCTAAGTCCAGGTGGGCTTGCTTTTCACATGCATTTTCACCCACTGTAAAAAAACAGCCTCCAATCAGTATTTATTGGGGGGGTGCGCCAGAAATTGGTGAAAAACTTCCCCAGAGACCCAGGGCTAGTTCTAGGAATACATTACAGGTGGGTAGATTTTGATGGAACGTTAAGAGAAATTCCCAGTTAGGGGTGGTGAGCTCTCTCTCTTTGCCAGTCTTCAAGCAGTGGCTGGGAATCCCCATTCGTTGGGAATACTTGAGCTATGAGTGTCCTGCATCAAGCAGGGAGTTCGGCTACATGGTCTACAAGGCCTCTGCCAACATCATTACTCTATTATTATATAGGGTCAGCAACTGATGAAGTATTGGAGATGGAGCCACAACACTACCTACTCGGTTTGTGGCCACTGTCCTGCACTCCTTCCCTGCCTTAGAACTCAGCAAGCATGATGATGGTGACAAAAGTAGAGGGTGGTGACAAAAGTTGAGTTATTTGGCTCTGCCTGTCATGTGCTCTGGTGCCACTCACTGTTAGTCTCCCTGCACTCCACCCTATCGGTACAAATGGGCACCAGCCACCACTGCTGTATAGAGGGAGCTGCAGATACCTATTAGAAGAGAAGAAGAAGAGTTTGGATTTGATATCCCGCTTTGTTGTTTTTTAGTCGTTTAGTCGTGTCCGACTCTTCGTAACCCCATGGACCAGAGCACGCCAGGCAGTCCTGTCTTCCACTGCCTCCCACAGTTTGGTCAGACTTATGTTTGTAGCTTTGAGAACACTGTCCAACGATCTCGTCCTCTGTCGTCCCCTTCTCCTTGTGCCCTCAATCTTTCCCAACATCAGGGTCTTTTCCAGGGAGTCTTCTCTTCTCATGAGGTGGCCAAAGTATTGGAGCCTCAGCTTCACTATCTGCTCTTCCAGTGAGCACTCAGGGCTGATTTCCTTCAGAATGGATAGGTTTGATCTTCTTGCAGTCCATGGGACTCTCAAGAGTCTCCTCCAGCACCATAATTCAAAAGCATCAATTCTTCGGCGATCAGCCTTCTTTATGGTCCAGCTCTCAGTTCCATACATCACTACTGGGAAAACCATGGCTTTAATTATACGGACCTTTGTTGGCAAGGGGATGTCTCTGCTTTTTATGATGCTGTCTAGGTTTGCCATCGCCTTTCTCCCAAGGAGAAGGCGTCTTTTAATTTCGTGACTGCTGTCACCCGCTTTATCACTACCCAAAGGAGTCTCAAAGCGGCTAACATTCTCCTTTCCCTTCTTTCCCCACAACAAACACTCTGTGAGGTGAGTGGGGCTGAGAGACTTCAAAGAAGTGTGACTAGCCCAAGGTCACCCAGCAGCTGCATGTGGAGGAGCGGAGACGTGAACCTGGTTCACCAGATTACGAGACTACCGCTCTTAACCACTACACCACACTGGCTCCTGTTTATGCAAGCGTCACTTTGTGGAGGTGATTTTAATTGGGGAAATGGCACCAGAGGAAAAGGTTAAATACCCCATCCTCCAGTTCAGTCAAACTGACAGGCCCTCTCCCCTCACTGTGCATTCGAGTTTAAAATCAGTTCAATCACGGACCCCCTGCATAGTTTGTAGTTTGGTCCTTCAATGGCTTTGGGCTTTCTATCTCTTGTGACCCAGCTTTAGCCTTAGCTGGCAAATGAGATGTTAGCTCAATAGCCAGCCCATGTTGACTGCAGGGCAAAGGGATCTTGTTAAGAATTTCTTACCCCACCAGCATTCTCCAGAGCAAGAGAATTTAGCAGCTGGTGTCTCAGTTGGAGACACACAATTATAATTTATGCATGCACTGCTAGACTCTGACACCAAGAAGTTATGCATCCCAAGAGCAGCAAATGTGGTTAAGCGCAGGATCACTGCCTAAAGCAAAGTTTCAATTTTTTATTGGGTCCCAGCAGAGAGAAGCAGCCAATAAACGTGGAACAAAGAAGAAGAAGAAAAAGTGGGGTGGGGGGTTAAGACTCAGAACTTTTTTAGGAGGTGTCCCCCCATGCATAATGATATACACAATGAAAGGCGATAGCTCAATCAGTAGAGCATAAGACTCTTGGAGTCAGAGTTGTGGTTTTGAGACCCATGTTGGGTGAAACATTCCTGCATTGCAGGGGGCTGGACTGATGACCCTTGTGGTCCCTTACAAATCTATGATTCTATAATTCTATGAAAATAGCTACATAAAGAGAGCCTTCATCAGATATTGCAATCACATCTTCTCTGTGACTTTCTTCACACACTGCCAGGGTAAAATTTGGAAACCAGGTGCATGTGAATGGGATCAGTTGTATGGGTTTTCAGGTGCGCAAATACTCAACACAATACCAGGGGTAACACTTGAACTTGGGACCATTCAATGAAGTTGAATGATGGGAATGTCAAGACAGACAAAACAAAGCACTGCTTCAAAGAGCACACAATCGAACTGTGGAATTTGCTTCCAGAAGATGTACAGTGGTAACTCGAGTTAAGAACTTAATTCGTTCTGGAGGTCCGTTCTTAACCTGAAACTGTTCTTAACCTGTGGTACCACTTAAGCTAATGCGGCCTCCTGCTGCTGCTGCCGCACGATTTCTGTTCTCATCCTGAAGCAAAGTTCTTAACCCGAGGTACTATTTCTGGGTTAGCGGAGTCTGTAACCTGAAGCGTATGTAACCTGAGGTACCATTGGTTTATGTGAGAGTGGAACATAATCTGGCCACTGCATTTTGAAACAATTGAGGTTTTCGAGTCATCTTCAAGGGAAGCCCCATGCTGAGCACATTGCAATAATATGCTTACCATATAATGCTAAATGTCAAAATAGGCTTCTAAGAAGTTTGCAAGGACAAAGGACAGTTACACAACCATTAGAATATAAACCTCTACAGTGGTACCTCTGGTTACGGACTTAATTCGTTCCGGAGGTCCGTTCTTAACCTGAAACTGTTCTTAACCTGAAGCACCACTTTTGCTAATGGGGCCTCCTGCTGCCTCTGCGCTGCCGCTGCACGATTTCTGTTCTCATCCTGAAGCAAAGTTCTTAACCCGAGGTACTATTTCTGGGTTAGCGGAGTCTGTAACCTGAAGCGTATGTAACCTGAGGTACCACTGTACTAACGACTGCCGACTTGGAAGGCTTTAAAAGTGGATTAGACAATTCAGGGAGGATAAAGACCATCCATAGGACAACACTCTCACAACTTGGGAACAGACAACGTAGAGACGTAGAATTTGTTTGAATAAATATGACAACATTTGGAATGAGTTTATACAGAATGTAGAATAGTAATATCTACTTATGTATTAGGATAACAACATTATATCAATTTATATAAGAAAGAATGGCAGTATATTACATTACATTTCATAGACTCATAGAATCTTAGAGTTGGAAGGTACCTCAAAGATCATCTAGTCCAACCCCCTGCAATGCAGGAATCTCAGCTACAGCATCCATGACAGAGGGCCATCCAACCTCTGATTTATTTCTAACAATCTGTTTAAAAACCTCCAAGGAAGGAGAGTCCACAACCTCTCAAGGGAGTCACTGCTGAACAGCTCTTACTGTCAGAATGTTTTTTCCTGAATGTTTAGTCGGAATCTCCTTTCTTGCAACTTGAAGCCTTTTGAGTCCTACCCTCCAGAGAAGGAGAAAACAAGCATGCTCTCTCCTCCACGTGACAGTCCTTAAGATATTTGAAGATGGTTATCATATCTCCTCTCAGTCTCCACTTTTCCAGGCTAAACATACCCAGCTCCGTCAACCATTCCTTGGTTTCCAGACCCTTGATCATCTTGGTTGCCCTTCTCTGCATGTGTTCCAGCTTGTCAGTATCCTTCTTAAATTGTGGTGCCCAGAATTGGACACAGTATTCCAAGTGTGGTCTAACTCAGGCAGAAGAGAGTGATGGTATTATTTCCCTTGATCTGGATACTATACTTCTGTTGATGCAGCCTAGAAGACTATTAGCTTATTTTGCAGCTGCATCACACTGTACTGTTCTTGGGGGACTCCCTGGTCCTGAATGGGGTAAATGTGCCCCTGAAGGACCAGGTGCGCAGCTTGGGAATCATTTTGGACTCATAGCTGTCCATGGAGGCACAGGTCAATTCTGTATCTAGGGCAGCTGTCTACCAGCTCCATTTGGTACGCAGGCTGAGACCCTACCTGCCCGTGGACTGTCTCGCCAGAGTGGTGCATGGTCTAGTTATCTCCCGCTTGGACTACTGCAATGCACTCTACGTGGGGCTACCTTTGAAGGTGACCTGGAAACTACAACTAATCCAGAATGCAGCAGCTAGACTGGTGGCCGCCAAGATCATATAACACCCGTCCTGAAAGACCTACATTGGCTCTCAATACATTTCTGAGCACATTTCAAAGTGTTGGTGTTGACCTTTAAAGCCCTGAATGGCCTCAGCCCAGTATACCTGAAGGAGCATCTCCACCTCCATCATTCAGCCTGGACACTGAGGTCCAGCGCCAAGGGCCTTCTGGCAGTTCCCTCACTGCGAGAAGCAAAGCTACATAGAGCCAGGCAGAGGGCCTTCTCGATAGTGGCGCCCGTCCTGTGGAACGTCCTCCCACCAGATGTCAAAAAGATAAACAACTACCTGACATTTAGAAGACATCTGAAGGCAGCCCTGTTTAGGGAAGTTTTTAATGTGTGACATTTTAATGTATTTTTCATCTTTGTTGGAAGCCGCCCAGAGTGGCTGGGGAAACCCAGCCAGATGGGCGGGGTACAAATAAATAATAATAATAATAATAATAATAATAATAATTATCCACCAATATGCCAAGATCCTTTCCACATGTGTTGTTAGTAAGCCAGGTGTCCCCCATCCTATATTTGTGCATCTGCTTCTTCCTGCCTAAGTTCAGAACCTTACATTTGTCCCTATTGAAATTCATTTTGTTAGCTTGGGGCCAGTTCTCCAATCTGTTAAGGTCATTTTGAATTCTGTCTTCTGAGGCATTAGCTACCTCTCCCCCCACCCACACTTTGTTCTTTACTCCCCTCCTCCCCCACTTTTCCTCTCTGTGTCATTTTCAATAAAATATTAATATTGAGGAGGAGGAGGAGGAGGAGGAGAAGAAGAAGAAGAAGAAGAAGCCATCTATTGCTACTAGCAAAAATAACTATGATTCTCCCGCCACTATCATAAGGAACATGCCTCTGAAGACCAGTTGCAAAAAATCCCAAGTGGTCAAGGGAGCAAGTGGGCAAGTGTTACTCTTATGTCCTGCTTGCAGGGTTCCCATGGGCATCTAGTTGACCACCATAAAAACAAAATTCTGGACTAAGAAGGCCATTGGGGCTCTTATTATGTTCACATGTGCTTACAGCACTGAGAGCTATACTGTGGGGTGATATTTTAAGGGGCCCAAGGTTAGAACTGTGGGATGTAATCCACAGGGAGCAGTCAAATACAACATTCCTTGTTTTCCTAGAGTGGACATGCAAGGGGATGTTTGTCCAGCCAGTCGAAACTTCCTGTTTCCTCCTGGGCTGGAGCATCCTTCCTTGCATGTGATTAGAGGTGGGCGTGACCTTACCTGTCCAGGTAAAAAAAAGGACAAGTCACGCAGCACTCTCTCTTCTTGACTTCCTTCTTCGTTGCACCAGCTTTTTATCATTATTATTATTTGGCTGGGACTGCTATGCTAGCTTCCAGCTAGCATAAGCACTGGATTATTCCCCCATATGGGGTAGATCCACATGTACATATTTGTAACTAAGTCTACCTTCAGGGATCCAACTGTGAACTGATGTGAGTAAACTTCTTTTATTGACTTTAAATAAGATTGTTGTGTCTTTATTCTTTTAAGAGGGATTAAAGGGGGTGGTGCTGTGGGTTAAACCACATAGCCTAGGACTTGCCGATCAGAAGGTTGGCGGTTCGAATCCCCGCGACAGGGTGAGTTCCCGTTGCACAGTCCCTCCTCCTGCCAACCTAGCAGTTCGAAAGCACGTCAAAGTGCAAGTAGATAAATAGGTACCACTGCAGCGGGAAGGTAAATGGCGTTTCCATGCGCTGCTCTGGTTCACCAGAAGCGGCTTCGTCATGCTGGCCACATGACCCGGAAGCTGTACGCCAGCTCCCTCGGCCAATAAAGCGAGAGGAGTGCCGCAACCCCAGAGTCAGTCATGACTGGACCTAATGGTCAGGCTTCCCTTTACCTTTTCCCAGGAACTATACAACTCAATCTGAGACAGACTGAATTGTATAATAGTGAGAGGCTTACACAAGCCTGCAACTAGCTATCTGCTGTGCATGTAAAAAGGGGAATGTAAACTCTGCTAAGTAAAGGAACTTGCTGATGCAAGTTAGGAAGGATATTAATAAACAATATATCCTCTCCTGCCACCCTGAACATTCCCACAAGAACGGTAAACTAAGTGCCCTAAGTTGGTTGGGGTGTGTGTGTCTGTGTGTGTGTGTGTGTGTGTGTGAGAGAGAGAGAGAGAGAGAGAGAGAGAGAGAATGAGAAATAAAGAACAATGGCACACAGTATTTATAAAACCACATTGTGAACACTCTCCTTTGTCTTCCTTGCTTGTCCCTCTGTTTTCTCCTCTGACAAAAACACAGGCATCAAACAATTATTCACGCTTTATAGGCAATGGGGTGCAGTGGCTGCCAACGTTTCCAGCCAAACCTGGAGCTGCCTTCGCAGCCTGCAGCAGACACCTATTTCAGCAATGCAACAAATTTCAGTCAAAATCTGGCTTCCACATTGCAGATGCCCGCAGGAAAAAAAAATAAAAATAAAAATAAATGATTTATCAAACTGATGGTGGATGCTGGCCTCTGTTGTCTTATGGCAGCAGCATTCATAGCTTGAGCTATATAGTATTGCAATTAACACATTTTTCTATTTGAAGCTGTAAATTTCACACGTTGAATGCCAGACTTTAACAGGAAAAGTGACATTTCTCCCCCTCTTTTAGGCTGGCACAAAAACAACGGATGTGGTGTGGGGGAGGAAGCCTCATTAGAGCATAAATATAGCTTTCTTCCTCCACCTGGTCCTCCTTTTCTTCAGGGAAGGAGAATAGCTCAGTGGTGGAGCCTTCGTGCCTTGTAACAAGAAGCTTTTGGGTTCAATACCTGGTGTCTCCAGGTAGAGTCCGGATCGACTCTTGCTTGAAACCCAAGATATCTGCTTCTAGTCAGAATAGAACAATTTCGTGCCCATCAGAGGGTCTTGAGCTAATTCTTCTTCAACACACACACACACACACACACACACACACACACACACACTGCTGCCCCAGATAATTGGTTGCATTCTTAAATGGGGCAAGTGCCATTTCCCACTAAAGACATAACACCACATCTGGTTGTTAATTCTCAATAAGTCTCCTCTTTGGGACAGCTAATACACAAATGTGGAGGGGCGTCATTTTAAAAATGAGATTTTCCAGCTCAAAATGAGATTTTCATGACGACGCTGGGTTTAGAAGAAGCTAGTAACAGAGGAGAGTGTGCATCTCAGCTGAAATCAGTGAGGGAGTGGAGAGAAAATGAAGCCAATGGAAATGAAGGCAAACCAAAAATAGTGTGCTTTTAAAACAAAACAAAAAATGAAGAATAGAAAGAATATTTTCCATTCTGCAGCCCTAATTAGAACAGGCTTATTAACCTTTCATTATAGACCCATTCAGACATGTGGATAGGAAGAGCAGGTTGGCATGTGTTGACCCTGGCACCCTCAACTACATGTTCTTTTTTTTGTAAAAAAAAAGATATATTTTTATTATTTTTCTCCTTAAACAATATTTTCAATAACACAATAACAAACACAAAAGCTTTCTGACTTCCCTCCTTCCCTTCAGCAGGTTTTCCACTTTCAAGTCCTATTGCAATTTAGCTCTTTAACTTCTATTGTCCACATTGTAGGATTTATTTCAGTCCTGCTAGTGCCTTCAAGTTTTTGCAATTGTTATTCAAATATACAATAAATTTACTCGCAGTCCCTTTGAATTTTTTGATCGCTCTGGTCTGGAATCCTGGTGGTCAGTCTGGCCAATTCTGCAAAGTCCATCATCTTCACCTGCCATTCTGCAATCGTTGGAACCCACCCTCAACTACATGTTCAGTTGAAAATGTGAACATCAACAAAATGTAGTGGGAATGTCAAAATAGACCTGCGCAGACCTAGGATCAAAGCTATATAACTTACAGAGTGAACTTGGGCTCTTCCCTCTCAGCCTAACCCCAAAGGTAGCCAACATAGTGGATCAAAAAATATGTACCAAAATGTGCTTTGTGATAAAATTCATGCAAAACCCCCTGCATTTTGTATGTTTGGGGGCACATTCAAAAAATAAAGCGAATTTCAATGCATTTTTCTTTTTTAAGAGAAGGCTGCAGATTGAAGCAGAATTAAACTTATGGATGAACATGTGTGAAAATGATGTGGAATGGAAATAGCCGGAATCTATTCCCCCTGTATTCATATGTATTCATTCATGAGTTTCATTCTTACAGCAATTTGAGCCATTGTCAGATACAGTATTTCCTTGAACATGAGTTGCTGAGAATCACAAGTTGGTAGAGTGTTGCTGCGTTCAGATTGTTCATGGGTTCCCATGCATAGCTGCTTGGTCACTGTGAAGTCTGGATGCTGGACTGGGCCTTTGGCCTGATCCTGCAGAATTTTTCTTGGGTTCTTATGAGTTGAGGTCATTGTACAATCAAACACTATTACCTCAATTGGCAGAACACCATCTCCACCAAGTGACCTCCATGGACCATGACCTGGAGAATACAGGACTGTATCTGAGTCCAACCACCCATCTTTGAACCAAAGGAAGCATCTCTAGCTCCACACGAGGAAAGGTTATTTCCTCATTTGACTTTGGATGTCAAGGTAAAGCAAAGAATCCATGAGGAATGGTGGATGAAAGCTGTGCATCTTAAGATAGCATTTCATCTCTGTGTTGAGCCTCTGTGATAAATCACTGATATGTCGTAAGTCACAAAAAGAGCATCGTTGCAGAAGTGATTTTGCCATCCTAACAGGGGAGCCAGGGAATGGCTGTGGGCCAGCAATCTAATTGAAGAGAGGCAGAGAGTACAAATGGACCACGGGAGAAGAATCAATTTTAATGTAATTCCATTTACTAATCAAAACGGGAGTAAGGGATTATGTTGGCAAGCAGACGTCTGCACATACTTGTCAGAGCTAATTGATAAAGAGGGCTTTGTATTAATTAAGATACAAAGTGCACAATCTTGGGTCTAATTTTAGCTCAAAATGATCACTCTGTTGATAGGGAATGTGTTAGAAGCTTTAATGTCCCCCATGTATTACTTTGGTTACAGCTTTATTAATCTAAGTAGGCTCGATTTCCAGTTCCACATTGGATTCCCTATAGTGATGGTCGTGAAGCTTCCTACCAAAGGCACAGCTGGTCCATCCAGTTTGGTGCTATAGACAAAAATGCAGGCATGTGTGCACACGAACACCCTTCTTCAGGAACATCATGTTAGCAGCTATTGTATCATCCTTGGCGGGTTACAAATGCCAGTGTCATGTTCAGACCATTAGGCAAAGGAGGCCAGGGTTCAAATCTTACCTTAGACATAAAGCTTACAAAGTGAACATGAACCAATCATTATCTCTCAGCTGAGCCTACCTCACAGGGTTGTTGGCTTGTGCCCCTCTCCAGTCTGCTGGCTTTGCTAAACTTCTCAGCAAGATTATAAGTGGCTTTTCACCTACCATCTTGAAAATAGACTTAATAGAAGAAAACATTCCCTAGTTCACATTGTTTTAATAACTGTTTAATAACTATTATTATACAGTGGTACCTCGGGTTAAGAACTTAATTCGTTCCGGAGGTCCGTTCTTAACCTGAAACTGTTCTTAACCTGTGGTACCACTTAAGCTAATGAGGCCTCCCGCTGCTGCTGCCGCACGATTTCTGTTCTCATCCTGAAGCAAAGTTCTTAACCTGAGGTACTATTTCTGAGTTAGCAAAGTCTGTAAACTGAAGCATCTGTAAACTGAAGCATCTGTAACCTGAGGTACCACTGTATTGCATTGTTTATTTAAATAATTTTTGCTCGTAATTAAAGCAGGAAGGAGGAATTGCCTTTCTGAACATTATTCACAGAGTCCATTCTTCATTCTTGATAAAAACCAAGGTATCTGGCTGTCTAATAAAAGAACATTCTCCACATATAGGCTCCCCCCCCATCAAAGCATTCATTATCATTATCCTTCCGTTACATAATACCAGAAGGGCTGTCTCATACAAGACGGTAAAGTCTTGTTCTCTGGATTATATTTAATGGACTTCAATAACAGGTAGGGATGAGCAAGGAATCTGATTAAGCTGACATTTAAAGGCAAATCTACCTATGTCAAACATTCCAGAACAATACTGAAACCAAAATGCAGCCATCCTGCAAAATCCACATTACTCTGAATTTTGCACCACAGTTTTCCAGCCACGAAAAGAGCAAAAAATGCAAATACTAAGGCAAAGCTTGCATAATGATTGGTGTATTAGTGAAAATAGCATATAAAATACATTACATTAGGGAAAACTGATTTGCAATAATATACCCATAATACATGTATGCATCAAAATGTGAATATCAGGAGAAATTTGCACTAAAAGGCAGACAAATTTTGATGAGCACTTTAAAAAAATGCAGCCTGATGTGGACATGTGGAGAACTGAATGTAAAAGGTGGGGGAAATGAGAAACTAGAAGAAATCAATTCCTATCCCCACTCACAACCACTCCAGGGCTCAAGAACTACTTGCAAGATTCCTCCTCTTCCGTCTCAGTGTTGCACTTTGTAGAACTCAAGAGGGAAAATGATGGGGGCAAAGCTAGAATTACTTGGTTCTGCCTGTTATTGACTCTGGCTCCAACTACTATTTGAGATCCCCATCTTCTACCCTCCCAGTCACAGTGGGGACCAGCCCCCACTAAGAACAACAGGCCAGAACTAGCCTCGTCTGTTCTGAAACAAAGGCCATGACTTTGGGAACCTGCCTAGAAACCCAACAAGGAACAAGATTTCCTGGGATGTCCATGCTTCCATCTTATGCTAAACATGTGTGACTGAAGCTATACATCACGAAGACATCACAGACTCCAGAAACCTTCATCTCAAGGCAAACAAATTCAAGGGATCTGCTGGCACCCCTGAAATATCTTACCTCCGAAATCTCTTGGGTTATGCATAACACCATCATACACACTTCCCTAAGTGTAAAGCCCAATGGGACCTACTTCTACAAAGACACATATAGGTTTGTCTCTCTACAGCCACAGTCGGTGCTGTAATTCTCCAATGGTTTGACTTCCCCCTGAAGGTTCTTCCCCTCTTCCATTGTCTCCCGAGATAAATGGATGCCAACCAACCACAGGATTGTACTTTTAATGTGCTTAACTTTGCGTAAACTGCACCCCATGTTTCCCAGTGATTTTATGTATACTCTGTTGCAGGTTGCAATAGCTTCTTGTGATTATTAGCTGCCTGGGACTTCTTTTGAGCAGGAAGTGCGACACGAAACTGTGTTCTGGTACGAGTGTTGTAGTGCTGACCCTTGCACCACTTATGTTCCCAGGCACAAAGTGCAATGCATGCACACATTGTATGAGCTGTGCAGGGGGAGCAAATAACCAGCATACAGTGTTGTAAGTGCATTATCCTTAATCTGGAGCCTCTGAGAGGGGTCAAAAGGTAGCTCAAAGTCACACAAAGTGCATCCTGTGATCTTAACACCCCGATGTTCTCTCTCTCTCTCAGTGGCGTCATCTAGAAATATTAATCTGGTAAATCCTTTTGGCTGCTTTTATCTGCACATGCCTAAACCTTTAAAGCGAATAAACAATGGGAAAAAGAGCTAGGGATATTTTAAGGGGAATGTCTCATATCAGACACAGAGGAAGGAAGGAAGGAAGGAAGGAAGGAAGGAAGGAAGGAAGGAAGGAAGGAAGCCTAGCAGATTGTAATTGTCCTCTAGTTTCTCAAATAAGTTATTCATATGTGGCTGCTACTCTCCCAGAAATCAGTTATCATTACTGATATTTTACATCCTTATTCCAGGAAACTAAGGACAGCATGCATGCTTCCCTTCCCTCCACAACAGCCCTGCAAGGAAGGTTAGGTGGCAGAAGACTCCACAGAGGTCCATCAGATGCCTCCATGAACTCCACAAGCAGGGTTTACACACAATAGCCCTTTCCCAGCATTGTTCTCCAGCAGCTGGTGTCTATTAGTATACATGACCTCTGAGCACGGAGACACCATTTATCTGCTATGCCTAAAAACCTCCACTGCTCCCTTAATTTGTCCAATTCAAGACCATCCAATCTAGTGATATTTGTATAATTCCTGCAGTGTGCTAGGCAATTGTACAGAGCTTATCGTAGCATCGTCCTCATGGGAATGGAGGAACCTGCTTTTAACTGAGTCCAACCACTGGTTCTTCTAGCTCAGTACTGTCTACAGTGATTGGCAATGACTCTTAGCCCTGCCTGGAGATGCTGTCAGGATTTAACCTTGGACATTCTTCATACAAAGTTACCATTGAGTTACAGCCATCCCCTCCCCTTAATGGCTTCCATTCAAAGAAGCACATTTAAGTCCCGTATTTTTTAAACGGATGACTTCAGAACATGTTAAATGCTTTCCCACTGAAATCAATAGAGAGGGTTTAACACTTTGGATAGATCATGCCTTATGAATGGCTTTACGCATTATACTCAAGCTTCATCGGCTGCCTACACAGCCTCTCCTACAGTTGCCTGACTGCTACTTCTTTCATTCTTCTGATGTAATTCTAATCCTCTTCAGGCATCATACTTAAAGGAGAGCGTGTGAGTGGGGCTGCAGCAAGAAACCTCTCTTCCTGTCTTCCGCGTGTGCACCACAGACGTCTGAAGTAGGGGGGTCTTCACATGCACATGTTCTAGGTTCCCGGCCACAGTTTCCAGGTTCCAGATCACACTTTCTAGATTCCAGAAATCCATGGAAATCCTTACATGACCATCCTCCAGTCATTTGTTCAGTGTCAGCTGATGAAAGAGTGAGGGTGCTAACTTTGCATGTTCCTGCTCCCTCCCCTTAACACAAAGTGTAATGCCTAGAGAGAGATTTCTTAGTTGTTCTGTGATGCATCCCCAGTGTTACTCCATTACTGCCATCCGGAAGAGCACTCTTGCTCTACAGCACAAAAAAAGTGGCACAAAAAAACCAACAGCCCTGTAACATTTGTGGTATAAAAAAGTTACATCAAGGAAAGACAATGTGGTACCCTCCAGATATTGTTGAACTACAGTGGTACCTCGGGTTAAGAACTTAATTCGTTCCGGAGGTCCATTCTTAACCTGAAACTGTTCTTAACCTGAAGCACCACTTTATCTAATGGGGCCTCCCGTTGCAGCCGCACCGCCAGAGCACGATTTCTGCTCTCATTCTGAAGCAAAGTTCTTAACTCGAGGTACTATTTCTGGGTTAGCGGAGTCTGTAACCTGAAGCATCTGTAACCTGAAGCGTATGTAACCCGAGGTACCACTGTACAGCTTCTGTCAGTCCTAGCCAGCAAGGTCAATGTTCAGGGATGATGGGAGGTGTAGTCCAACATAATATGGAGGGCACCATGTTGGCTACCTCTGAGCTACAGGATTTCAGCAGGAAGTTACATGAAATGTGCTGGTCGGAAATGAAGCAGTATGACTGCCCTGAAACTCATGCAAGCACAAATAGTATTAAAAGTGGGATTGTGTCTAACTGCCCCAATAGCACCATGAACACAATTCGCCATAATTGAACAATTAAAAGGACAAGGAGGGGGCAGACGGTAGGCTGGGACTTTTTCAGTCCATCTGCTGTAAAGCCCTGCTTGCAAATTTCAGAAAACAAAGTACTTTTCAGCTCTGCTACTTTCTATGCAGAGAACACCTGCTGGGAATGGCCGGAGTTAATCAGCAGAAGATCTCTCCCTCTTAAGGGACGTACATCGTTCCTGCTAGCGCTACTGGTGATTATTCTGAAAATTATGCCTAAAAGAAGTGCTTTGAAATCTGTTCTACAGTTTTTACTTTCACAGCTGCACTTGGAGGGAGCTTTCAAACAGCTTGCCCCTCACTTAACGAGACTTGTGGGGCCAAATCAGACTCAACACAGGAATGCTGAGATTTTTAGAAGCTACCAGCAGTCACAGGGAAGGCCCATTTGGAGTGAGGCTTTGTGCCACCAAAGGAGGAGGTTTTTTACCCTTTCCCCCTGTACCACTTTCTCCAGATTAAACTTTAATTTATATGCCAACACCACCCGGCACACACATAAAAAACCAACTACATACAGCACAAATAGCTGATGGGGATGAAGGATTTTAATTCTGGAAACATTCCAAGGAGGAACGCTAAACTCTTCCACTGCTACAGCCTCAATCAGATATGGTTGGTGCATTGGTTGAGGTCCATGGTGCTGCAAATGATCACCTCCAATTTCCATTGAAGAAGCTTTCTAATTCTCTGGTTCAGACAGTGAGAACCCCCCCCCCCCCCGAGCCCGAGCAACACATTCCTTTCTATGCAAACTTCGGTAGGCCACATGGCAATGGTGGGCCAAGTCCAAGACAAAAATGGACAGCACAAGGAATGTAAAATTTACCTTTGTCTAATAAACCGGTTTACATACACAGACACATAGCACTGTGTATGGGAAGCAAAAGTCATTACAGGGGTACCTTGGGTTACAGACGCTTCAGGTTACAGACACTTCAGGTTACAGACTCCTCTAACCCAGAAATAGTACCTCGGGTTAAGAACTTTATCTCAGGATGAGAACAGAAATTGCACGGCAGTGGCATGGTGGCAGCGGAAGGCCCCCATTAGCTAAAGTGGTACCTCAGATTAAGAACAGTTTCAGGTTAAGAATGGACCTCCAGAATGAATTAAGTTCTTAACCTGAGGTACCACTGTATCAGAGTTGAAAGGCACATTCCAGCCATGCAAGAACCCTCAAGGAAGATGCAAAACAAGACCAATGGGTGTGTGATCTGGGGAGAAATGGTATGTCTAGGGAGGAGAAACGCCTTGAGGAGAGTTGTGAGACAGAGAGGTCCTTGGCCCTGAGGTCACCCATCCCTGCTGTCAAGGGCAGTCTCCACCAAGGAAGGCGCACAGCAGATAGTTAACTCTTTATTGGCAAAGCTAACACAGTTATTCTACAGCTCCAAATAACCACACACACCAGTCCAGCATCTAGGCAGCTAGTTCCAGGATCTGGGCTCTATGCAGCAGTTGCTGGAAATGGGGGCCACTCCCCCTCCACCATATTATGTACCTTCCCCAATGGGCTGCATGCATGCAGACAGAGACTGCACCTGCATGGAAACCTCCCCTGCTCATTCCTCTTCAGTCCCCTCCTGGTACTGGGAGAAAGTGGTGCAGGAGAGGACAGGGAAGTACTTGGCCATTCAGTTGCCTGACCTACCTCCCCCCTCTCTTTCTGACCCATCCTGCACTCCACCCTCCAGCTCTGAAGCTTCTCCTGCCTGTGACTCTTGCCTCCTGACTGATGCTGCTCCCCACAAATCACTGCCCACCAGTCCTGAGCCAGACTTCAGCCCCCCTTCCCCAAGCACACACTCACTCATCAGTGACCTTTCAGACCCTGACAGTCCCTGACACCTGACTTAGTTCATCATGTCTAGTGAACTTAGCTTCATTCATCTCAAATGCCGTATTACACATGAAGAAATGACCCTGAAATATTGTGCTGGGCCCGGGGGTAACCCGTGATACGTGGTCCAGGACCGGTCCAGAATCCAAAGGTTCTGCTAGGAGTCAGTCCAACAGGGCCAAGGCAGGATACCAGGCAAGGACAGGTACAGGATCTCAGGCAGGATCTAGCATACAGCAATGTTGCTCCCGCAATCTGGGGTGGGGTCTGACAGCCTTTTATCTTTGTCGGGGTAGCAACCGGTCCTGATCGCCCAGCGACTCACCTCCCTGTTTTGCCTGAAGGCGAGCACTCCTCCTGCGAGTACTCAGGTCTCTTCTTCTCTCAGACCTTAGTCTCTGAAGCTCGGGAGACGTTGGTGGGTTACTAGACCCAGAGGCCGCCTCAGCCTCCCCTGACCAAGCTGGTAGTGGAGCAGCTGTAAGCAATGGCCCAGCTGAAGGCAACAAGGTAATCCCCGCATCTGGAGCCAGGGTAGGCTCAGGCCCCTGACTCGGCCCAGCTGGTGTTTCTTGCAGGAGAACCTGTGCAGACTGGGACTCTTTAGGATCAGGCCCCAGACTTGGTTCAGAAGATGCCTGAGGCAAAGGATCCGGTGCAGATTGAGACTCCTCTGGTTCCGAGTCAGAGCCCGAGTCCCAGGCCATCACAAATATGCTGCATTTGGCATAGCTGTTCCTTGAGCAAACATTGTTTTTTCTCAGCAGCTACATAAATGAATGCAACATTTAATTACTCCCTTGGAAATACCACTTGGAAAATTGAAGAAGATGGTTCCTCTAGATTTTCTGTAAAGCTTACAAAGCTAATAATTAATTATTAAATGGCAATGTTGTATTTCTGAAAAATCCTCTCTCCCTCCGTATCTCCAAATGGTTTACATATGAAGCAGCCAGTTCTTAATCACTTCAAAAGGAACCTAGTAGGCTCATTTAACCAATTTCTTTCTAAATTCTCTCTAGTGGTTACCGGGTTTTGAAAATCATGCCCTCATAGACTTGGTTGGCGCCAACAAGTTCACCCATAAAATCTGGAGTCCTCCACTCCACAAACAGATTGAAATTGCATACAGGTCTGATGAGGAGAGGCAAAAGCTGGTGGAAGAGTTAGATGAAAGGTGGTGAGCCCATGGCCCATGAAGCCATGTGATTTGGCCCATGAATTCACTTCTAGCAGCCTGCCAAAGTCAGGCATCTGTTCTTACCTTGGAAAAGTGGCTCTTTTCTCTCTGGTGCAACACCATTGCGAAAAGGTCTTAGATGTTCAGGAAACATCCGCATGTGAAACAGATGTGCTACCTCTGCACTTTGCTGAAACAATTTTGGAGCCCACCTAAATGATAGCAAGGAGGAAGCTGCTCATATCTCCATACCATGGGACCTCTACCCAAAAGACCCTGTTCACACCCACCAGACTAACCTTTCTCCTTAGAAGGCATATGAAGGCAGCAGGAGCTGCTAATGTGGAGCTGTCCAGATACTGTGGAGACTACAATTCCCATATTCCCAAACCATTGGCCATGCTCCTTTGGGCTGATGGGAGTTGGTGTTCAACTGTGCCTGGAAACAGCCATGCTGTCTCTCCCTGGAGTGCAGCCTCTGTCACTGATTTCAAATCTATGGGAGGTTTGCATGGGCGCAGATTTATTCCGTGCTTCACGAAACCTATTTCCAAGCCTTTAATGGCTTTAAAGGTCATGACTCACACCTTAAATTGTTTAGCTTATTTGACTAAATTGTGCTACATAACCTACAAGACATCCCACTTGTATACCCATTGCTATAAATGCCAACCCTTTCCTGTCTTGCACATTATTTGTCGTAGCAAGTGCTAAATAATGCAGCTCCTAGTTTAAGGGAAAATGGAGTGCTGTTGGTGGCTCACATTAATAACATAGCTACCAAATCGAACACTGAAATTTATTTAAGCTGATATTACAGGCGAGCACTCCTCCTGCAAGTACTCAGGTCTCTTCTTCTCTCAGATCTTAGTCTTTGAAGCTCGGGAGACGTTGGTGGGTTACTAGACCCAGAGGCCGCCTCAGCCTCCCCTGACCAAGCTGGTAGTGGAGCAGCTGTAAGCAATGGCCCAGCTGAAGGCAACAAGGTAATCCCCACATCTGGAGCCAGGGTAGGCTCAGGCCCCTGACTCGGCCCAGCTGGTGTTTCTTGCAGTGTTTCTTACCTGCTTTTCCTTCTCTCTCAATCTACGCTGTTAAATTTCCAGAAGCAAAGCTGGCTCCAGGATGTTTTTACTTAAGTTTTCTAGGTTTTCATAGAGTGATGATATTGCATTTCTTTGTGGAAAGCCTATGTGTTATATTTTATGAAAGAGCGGATTGTAAATGTTCAAATAGAAACGATAAATAAATAAAAGAGGCTTCCATTCATCGGCCTCAGTCTCAAGGATTTGAGAATACCTTTTGGTTATGAGGCAGCCAAGGCTAGCATCTGTACCTCTCCCCATCTCCCCCAGCATTCTTCAGCCTCCCCAGCTGCCCAAACTTCTGAAAGGGCCCCAAGGCCTTTTACATTCCCATCATTATGGCAAACTGCATTTTACTTTATACACTGTGGCCATTACTACTGAATATATTACATAGGAGCAGTAGTGTAGCAGGGGTTACCAGTGCCTGGCAAGGGAAACAAATGGAGCACACATGCACATTCAACTGCCTAATGGCATCCACGTCACCCAGCAGATTGCAGCCGCAGAGATAAGAAAAGAAGATACGTTCTACTTTGAGTAGAGGTCACTTCCTGGTTCACATGGAGAAGCCGTTTTCAACAGAGCCCAGCGACAGAAGCACACAGCTGTATTGAGGTAGCACCAGGTGTTGAAATTTTGCATCCCTAACAATTTTGCACTCAGGGCAACCACCCCTATGCCCCTCCATGCTACACCACTGCATATGAAGAGCTGATGGCAGCACCCACGCTCTGAAGCACCATGGTATTAATACTGGACAGTCCCCTTCACTGCACTGTCCCTGCAAAAAACATTTTAGTTTCAGGTAAGCCAACCCAGGCATGTAATTTTCTTATGCATATTTGCTTTTTGCATTGTTGATTTTACTATATTTTGACCATTTTATTGAACTGACCATTTTAAAAGAAGTTTGTTAATGTTATCAGCATTTCAATATTTTATACTGTTTGATTTAAGCTGCTTATAGATAAAGGTAAAGTGACCTCTGACCATTAGGTCCAGTCATGACCAACTCTGGGGTTGCGGCGCTCATCTCGCTTTACTGGCCGAGGGAGCCGACGTACAGCTTCCGGGTCATGTGGCCAGCATGACTAAGCCACTTCTGGCGAACCAGAGCAGTGCACAGAAATGCCGTTTACCTTGCTGCTGGAGCAGTACCTATTTATCTACTTGAACTTTGACGTGCTTTTGAACTGCTAGGTTGGCAGGAGCTGGGACCGAGCAACGGGAGCTCACCCTGTCTAGGGGATTCAAACTGCCGACCTTCTGATCGGCAAGCCCTAGGTTCTGTGGTTTAACCCACAGCGCCACCCGCGTTATACCTGCTTATACATGTTGTTAATTAATAAATATGTTATCGCCATGATTTTTAGATTTGTTTTGAGAATTGTAATAGAGATATAAAGACATTAAGAGAAAACCGAGCCCTCTTACTTATCAGTCGTATCAACAGAGGAATAAGGCTCCCGAGTTTGTCTGCATTTCACATGAAAACAAAAACACAAACATTCCTTGGATCAGATCTTCCCCCCTTTCCTAAATCTCACAATATTGGCCTGCTTTACGAAGAGTAAAGTATTCCAACCCTCCCTAAGTCAAAAATCAATAGAGAGCTCACCAATGTAACACTCTTTAAAAGTGCAATTATCACCAGAATTGCCACCACGTTGCAAGACTCACACATCTCATAACACAATTACACTCCACTTTAGGTTAAGTTGATCTACTCTGTTGTCGATATACTATAGAGGGGGGAAAACCAACAACATGCAAACTTCTATAGAGCCGTAAGGATTGGCACCAGGATGTAATGGATGAGAATTCTAAACAAGTCAATGCTTTGAAAACAACACAAAATGAGATGGATGGATAAACACATTTCTTCTCACCACCCATGGCCTAAAATCCACTTGGGAAGGGTCATAGCTCAGTGGTAGAACATTTGCTTGGTATGCAGAATAATAATAATAATAATAATAATAATAATTTATTTATACCCCACCACTCTAGGCAGCTCCCAATAGAATTAATGAAATAATAATAATAATAATAATAATAATAATAATAATAATAATGTGATAAAACATCAGATGGGAGGGCGTTCCACAGGGCGGGCACCACTACCGAGAAGGCCCTCTGCCTGGTTCTCTGTAGCCTCACTTCTCACAGGGAGGGAACTGCCAGAAGGTCCTTGGAGCTTGACTTCAGTGTCTGGGCTGAACAATGGGGGTGGAGACATTCCAGGTTCCAGCTTCAATCACCAGCATCTTAGGTAGAGCAGGAAGAGACCCCAGTCTGAAATTCTGGAGAGTGACTCCCTTTGAGTGCAAATAATACTGAACTGGATGGGCAAATAGTCTGATTTATATAAGGCAGCTTCCTCTCTCTCTCTCTCTCTCTCTCTCTCTCTCTCTCTCTCTCTGTGTGTGTGTGTGTGTGTGTAATCATCTGCACCATTCAGGCCTTTAATGTAATTGCAGGTAGTCCTTATTTACATACCAATGAATGACTGCTGGTTAATAGTTATGCTACACACTGTTCAAGCTCTGCCTGCTTTTCTGCTGCTTGGATCGGGAGACAGCCCAGCGTTTCAGATGGGTCCTCCCTGGTAACTTATTGCCAATTGTTTGCTCTTGAGCATTGCAGACGGCAATAAAAAAATAAACAACTCACAGCCTGTGCCCATCAGAAAAGCCATCGCCTTTTGATCAGCTGTGGATGAAATAAGATGGGATAGGTGCCCAGGGCAAAGTAACTACCAAGTGGCTAATCATGTAGTAATTGGTTCATAAGAATGCAAGAGGAGCTCTGCTGAGTCAAACTAAACAGCCCACCCAGCCAGGCAGCTTGCCTAGTGCAGTGAAGAAACTTATGCCTCCCCAGAAACCCAAAAGCAATAGCTCTGTCCCTCCTGGTCCACTCACATAATGATACTATGTGATATTGTACCTCTGATCCTGGAAGTAGCATATTTTAGGGCTGTGCAGGGCAATTTACCCTATGCCACCCTGGGTGGAAGGAACACAACCACCTCGTTCTGGATGTGTCTCTGAAACAATTCAGAGAGAGGGCCTTTTTATTATTACTAAGGGTTGAGAGTCCCATGGACTGCAAGAAGATCAAACCGATCCATTCTTAAGGAAATCAACCCTGAGTGCTCACTGGTAGGACAGATCCTGAAGCTGAGGTTCTAATACTTTGGCCACCTCATGAGAAGAGAAGACTCCCTGGAAAAGACCCTGATGTTGGGAAAGATGGAGGGCACAAGGAGAAGGGGACGACAGAGGACAAGATGGTTGGACAGTGTTCTCGAAGCTACCAGCATGAGTTTGACCAAACTGCGGGAGGCAGTGGAAGACAGGAGTGCCTGGCATGCTCTGGTCCATGAAGTCACGAAGAATCGGACATGACTAAATGACTAAGCAACAACAAAACCCTTTAAAAAAACTGTTGAGAAGATCAGGCGGTAAATGGCACCCCGCAGTATCACATTCTCCTGCTTTGCAGTGCCACTGCTAGTCCTTCCCAGCAACTTACTTTGTATGCAGGGATTAGCCGCTAGCACCATGCAGGGTAAGATAAGTAGTGGCCAGCCCCACGCAGGATCAGACAGCTGTTTTAGTAGGAGGATTCAATCCTGTGTATTGTTGCTTCAGAAGCAGGAAAGCTGCTTGAGAAGTAGCACCTGCAACCCACAGGACTGATGCTTCCACTCAACAGTTGTTGGTCCTATAGACATCAGGCAGGAAGAAGGCACTGGGCCTACCTGGTTCCAGGTAGACGGAGTCACCAGTCAGGTAGATTTTGGCCTTCTTTGCATCCTGCCTGCCTCTCCTTCCAACATGATGTCCTGCCTCCTGACAGCTGCTGACCACTCTGGGCCAACCCAACCCAACTCGCAGTGATCTATGGCTGCGTGTTCCCAACTCATTCAAGGCCCTCTGAATATGCCAGAAATGGCTTGGACCTTGGCTTTACCCACCATGACTGTACAAAATCCCTCTTCAGAGTCCATACGGTGACAACAAATTCCACAAATTTTGCTGGGGGGGGGGGGAGATTTTATTTCCTCTGTCCTAAATTCACTTCCATTCAAATTCATTGGACGAGTCAAATTTCTAGTGCTACTCTTTCACTGCACTTTCCCCACATTAAACAAATGAAGCAAATAAATAATTTTATAAACCTGGATCAGATTATTTTTTTAGGGGGTAAACCAATACTACTTACCTAGAAATAACTGCCACTGTCTTGAAACTGAACTGAACTACTGGTTCATGCAAGCAATGTGTGTTGCAATGATAAAGCATGAGGTTCAGTGGTGGCTAAATGAGCTTCAGTATGATGCACCATAAATTTCAACCAGGGGTAGCCATAATGGCTCCTTCCAATTATTGCAGTCTCAAATTAGGAATGGGCGAATCTGTCTATTTTGGTTTCTCTCAGTTTCATAAGTCTTAAGGTCAGTCTGCTACATTTCTGCATTACTTTGAAAATCCTCACGGAAATTTGCCATTTTAGTGTGCATTTATTCTCACGCAAACATTTCTGCAAGCATTTTATCATGCATTTTATTCTCACAAAATGTGCAATTCTAATTTACTTTCCCTCTAATAAATGCATTTTTATGCACAGGGGTTGGGGGCAGCTTGGAGAACTGCATTGCAAAATTCAGAGAAGTATGGATTTGGAAGGCTAGCTGTGCATTGTTTCAGGAAGCACAAGTGATGGAGGCAAACAAATTTCTCCCTCATCCCATACCCCAGTTCCCATCAGCCCCAGCCAGCATGGCCTATTGTCTGGGATGATGGGGGTTGTAGGCCATAACATCTGGAAGGAACCACAGTGGCTAAAAGGTAAAGGGACCCCTGACCATTAGGTCCAGTCGTGACCGACTCTGGGGTTGCGCGCTCATCTCTCTCTATGGGCCGAGGGAGCCGGTGTTTGTCCGCAGACAGCTTCCGGGTCATGTGGCCAACATGACTAAGCTGCTTCTGGCGAACCAGAGCAGCACACGGAAACGCCGTTTACCTTCCCGCCGGAGCGGTACCTATTTATCTACTTGCACTTCGATGTGCTTTCAAACTGCTAGGTTGGCAGGAGCAGGGACCAAACAACGGGAGGTCACCCTGTTGCGGGGATTTGAACCGCCAGCCTTCTGATCGGCAAGTCCTCGGCTCTGTGGTTTAACCCACAGCGCCACCCTGCCCTTATAAACCAAGCCACACAGGGCAAAGACAATGAGTCTTGGCTAAGCAGCTCAAACAAAAGCTCCCAGGTTGAAGTGAGATTTGGCTGAATGCCTGATCCACTTCTATGCATGACCTGCGGAAAGCATCCTCTTGTCCTCTGCTTCATCCATGGTGTGAAGAAGTGAAGAGGGAGCTTTCATCCCTCTCTCATTATCCTAGAGCTTAAGGGTCATCCAGTTAAGCTTAATAGTGGGAAATTCAGGAGAGATAAAAGGACATGCTTCTTCACTCAACACATTGTTAAACTATGGATTTCTCTAGTGATGGTCACTGAATTGGGTGGCTTTAAAAGAAGAATAGACAAAATCAATGGCTACTTGCCATGATGACTATGCTCAACCTAAAGTGCTGGAGGCACTGAACCTCTGAATCTTCTTCTTCTTTGGTGATAACTCGTAGCCAAGTAAGATTGTCTTCCATAAACACAGTTTTAACAATGAGCCTGTAAGTGACTGTGGAGGCCAATTCTGGATCCACATGTCCTTCCACATCTCCAACTCCTCAAAAGATTCCATCAACGGTGTTTCCTCTGCATATGAGCTGCTGAGAATTGCAAGTGAGGAGATTGATGTTCTGCTCAGGTCCTGCTTGTAGATAAAGGTATCTGGCTGGCCATTGTGAGATCAGGATGTTGGACAAGATGGGCATTTGACCAGATCCAGCTGCAAAACACTTATTATGTTCTGTGGAACAACATGGCTCATCATTATGTCTCCAGCGATGCAATTGGCACATGGTCTAATCCATGGGTAGGCAAACTAAGGCCCGGGGGCCGGATCCAGCCCAATCGCCTTCTCAATCTGGCCCGCAGGCGGTCCAGGAATCAGCATGTTTTTACATGAGTAGAATGTGTCCTGTTATTTAAAATGCATCTCTGGGTTATTTGTGGGGCATAGGAATTCATCCCCCCCCAAAAAAAAAATAGTCCAGCCCCCCACAAGGTCTGAGGGGCAGTGGACCAGTTCCCTGCTGAAAATGTTTGCTGACCCCTGGTCTAATCCTACACATTTAGAGCCATACTGCTTGATCAACAGGGTCACATGCAGGACTATGCAACACTTGAAAGTTTGTAGGGGGCTGAGAATTATGGGTTTGAAGTTCTGTGTCTCCACCACCCTTTTTTTAAAAAAAAGGAGATACATAATGCTCATATAACATAAGCATGGCAGGAGCATCTTTCTCCTCACTTTCTCCTTCACTTCCTACTTTTGTCCGTGAATGGAGAGCTTTCGATTATGTCTCCCTGTCTATATGGTCAGAAAACAGCACAACCCAATAACGGATACATCATTTGGGGCTAAGGATTGTTCATTTCTGCTGTTTGCCAACACAGCGTAAATAGGACTGTGGCATCAGCTCCTCAAAAAAGCTGCTAATTAAATGGAGACTCCAAGTTTAAAATTACTTTGTTCCCTTATAGTGGCATAGGAGGGCAACTTCAGTGACATCAGAAACACAGCTATAGTAGCGACTGTCAAGCATGAAATGAGACTAATACATTAAATACATAAAATTACAATATTTGCTCAGACAACAAGCTGTCTGATAAGTAGCAGATGGAGAAAAGGTGGTAAAACTAATGGAGGAATCAGCCGTAGTCTAATAATGAAGAACCCCAGCTAGCTGGTTTTATTCCTTGAGTGAAGCATAGCCTTGCCAGTTCTATTTATATAGAGATGCAAAAGCACAACATCAACAACCTGCTTTAAAATGGCATATTTCACTGATGGCATGAACCTGGTCTGGCTATAAATATATAAGCACGCAAACATTCTAGACATAAAGATTTATATATCCCTGGGGTTTTGACATCATTTTAAAGGGAGTTTTCGCAGCCCCATCGTAATCAAGAGACTCTATCTCTGCGGTGCTGCTGCATGCTTTTAGTCAACAGCAAAGTGATGATTTGGAATAATATTTAGGGAGCCCAAAGTAATCTGTAGGCCGCTGGTGGCCTTTCATTGTTAGTTTAGGCTGATGAAATGCTCGCAGGCCTCCATCCATCATCGCACAGCCACGTGCACCCTCTTTATTATGTGGTACGGCTCTCTTGGCAATGTGCAGAAAGAAAGTGGATTAAAAAAAATACTGCCTTTGATTTATGGTGGTCAGGAATGAGCCGTTCTTGTGGCATTTCTCCATCGCTTTGGATATATTTCATTGGGGAAAGAGGAGGGAGGCTTACCAAAACAATAATAAAAATAAATGTCTTTCAGTCTTCAAGCTGGGATGGGGGGGGGGAAGTAACCCACCACAGGCTGAAAATGGATTGCACAAGCTCACTGCAGCCACTGCAAGATGTTTCCAAAGGGGCAATAATGCAGTATCTCCTATGACCCTAATACAGGAGGGAATGGGGAAAACTGCCTCAAAGTTTTGGGAGATAGGATAGCCATTCTGCTGTTCCATTGTTGTTGTTGTTGATGATTACCCTACTTTACCCCAAGGTCCCTGGGCGGGTTAAGGGAAAGGTAAAGGGACCCCTGACCATTAGGTCCAGTCGTGACCCACTCTGGGGTTGCAGCACTCATCTCGCTTTGATGGCCGAGAGAGCCGGCGTACAGCTTCCGGGTCATGTGGCCAGCATGACTAAGCCGCTTCTGGCGAACCAGAGCAGCGCACAGAAATGTCGTTTACCTTCCCGCCGGAGCAGTACCTATTTATCTACGTGCACTTTGACGTGCTTTCGTACTGCTCAGTTGGCAGGATCAGGGACTGAGCAACGGGAACTCACCCCATCACGGGGATTCAAACCGCTGGCCATGAAACACAGGGGTGAGGACCTTCAGACCTGCTTGAAAGCTTCCCAGGGCCCTCTCTAAATGCTTTCTTCCAACAAACAGGCTGTCTGGAACCTTATCTCCTTAATGCCCTGCTTGTGGGTTTCTCATAAGCATCTGGTTGGTGAAATAGATGAAGCAGGGATTTTCTTAAGTTCATTGTAATGTAATATGTAATGCGTCATAGTGAAGACAGCCTTGATGGACAAATATGAACATACAACCATTTTGCTAGACTGGAACAAGATACATCTAACTCAGCAAGTAGCTAGAAGACAGTTTAAAAGCTTCAACATCCAGAAGAAGATATGATAGTAATAAAATAATTAAATTAAATTAAAAAGCCAAATACTGGTAATTAACTCTATCACCCACTGTAAGTCTTGATTAAATTTGCACTGATGTTTCATCACAAACACACACACACACACACACAGAGAGAGAGAGAGAGAGAGAGAGAGAGAGAGAGAGAAGGGCAGGCAGGCAGAAGCCATGAATTCTTCTCCAGCTTAGATTTTCCTCTGAGACAAAGAATTTGGAGGGGACTTTGAGAAGCTTGCTTCTCCTCTGGGAGGCCTGGCTTTTATAAACCCTCTAAGTTCATATCCATGCCTGGCCCAGAAGGAGTTCATGAGTATCTCTGCTGCTCAACAACTGACATTCAGGAGTATCAATAACGTTAAAATGAAGATTAAGCGGGAAGCTTAACATTTACATGTGAAACTTTAAAGTTATTCTTAAAGGACACCGTCTGCTGTGACTGTTCACAATCTGCTGTTCTCCTGAACAACCCCAGTTATAATGAACGGTGACTTGAACATGGGCACTGTTGCAGTCTTGTACATATGTCATTCCTTCATTTCATTCTAGCAGGCCATGTGCAAGAAAACATATTTATAGGAACATCATAATCTGCCTTGTACCAAGTCAAACCATTGGTCCTCAATACTGTCAATATTGTCAGCCAGTGGATCTCCAAGATTTCAGGCTCTCCTGGCCTTCCCCAGAGACACATGGGATCGAACCTGGGAGCTTTTACAAAAAAAGTGTGTGCTCTAACCACTAAGCCACAACTCTGCCCCTGAGGGGCAATTTCCAAATAAATAAGTCCAACAAATTCAGGTTGTCTCGTGAGTCCCACTTCATTGCTTTTAATGAGAAATACTCAAAACTTTGAATTGTGCTCTTGCTGTGGGACTTTGGGCACATACGCAACTATGTACAGTATATAAAGGGCCAACATACTAAAATATTGGAAAATCCCGAAATTAAAAAAGATAAAGACTGCAGTAGTAACTCAGGTATTGCACTTGTTGTTTCTATAAGCCAGAGAAAACAAATACATTACTTCCCCAAATCATAGTTAAAGCAGCTCACAAGAACAGTAAACAAATCATAAATATATACGTACACCAGAAACAATCCTAAATTTACTGAACACACGATATAGCAGTTATCTGAAATTTACTGAACACACGATATAGCAGTTATCAGGTATTAGCATGCTAACAGACATTGCAACATTATAATGTATGAAAAGCATTCCTTGCATAAATGACCACTTACACAAAAATATCTACTTTTAGTTAATGAACCTTTCACAAACTAAGTCAAATTACTAAGACAGCAGCAACAGCAGCAGAAAATATATCATTCGAAATGTTACTATTTAAAGCGATTTGAGGGGTTTTTTAACAATAAATTTTAAAATAAATTCAAAGACAATCTACAATGGCCAGATGTAAGTGAGGATTGAAAAAAAGGGGACTGGACCTCTGCACCTCTAATAATTGTAAAGAGGGAATTTCAGCAGGTATCTCTGGTCATGCTACCTCTCAAGGCATTGGCGAAGAGCCATAGCTCAGTGCTGGAGCATTTGCTTTGCATGCAGAAGGTCCCAGGTTCAATCCCAGCATCTCTAGGTAAGGCTGGGATAGATCCTGGTCTGAAATCCTTGAAAGCTCATGCCAGTCAGTGTAGACAATACTGGGGTAGATGGACCAATAGTCTCACTCAGTGCAAGACAGCTTCCTGTGCTCCTATATCTCCCTACAACAAGGGAGCAGAAAATGCAGGTGCATTCATTTCTAACATAAGAGAAACAGATGCCATGTTCACATTTTCAGTGCACTCAAGGAAAAAAACGGTAAAGGACTCCCCCTGGACAGTTAAGTCCAGTCAAAGGTGACTATGAGGTTGCGGCACACATCTCACTTTCAGGTCAAGGGAGCTGCCGTTTGTCCACAGACAGCTTTCTGGATCATGTGGCCAGCATGACTAAACCGCTTCTGGCACAACAGAACACCACGAAGGAAACCAGAGCGCATGGAAACACCTTCCTTTACCTTCCTGCCACAGCGGTACCTATTTATCTACTTGCACTGGTGTGCTTTCAAACTGCTAGGTAGGCAGGAGCTGGGACAGAGCAACAGGAGCTCACCCCGTTGTGCGGATTCGAACCGCTGACCTTCTGATCAGCAAGCCCAAGAGGCTCAATGGTTTAGAGCACAGCGCCACCCGCATCCATTGCAAAACCTACACTAAATATGTCCACCAGTGCTAAGGTATAACAACCAGGCAACCCCATCTTTCACCTGGGACGCTCCGTAGAACATTGCAGTGTTTTGCTCAAAAATACACACATCTCTCTGTTCTCTAGCTCTTCTCCAGATTCCAATAGTTATTAGGCCTGAGCAGACCCATTAGAATTTACTTCAAATTCAGGTTTCTGGAGAGGAGAGGAAGGAATCAAGAAATGTACAAAACTTCATTGTTTGAGTGTTTTCCTTTTTCTTAATCTTGCTAGAATTCGTTTTGCCTTCAGATGCTGAGTGATGGTTTGCTCTATCAATTTTGCCTCAGAACTTGATTTTGGTTAAATATTATTATTGATTTTATTTCATACAGATTACTGTATATATTGCTTGGTTATAAAAAGCACTGCAACAACCTTCAAGCAGTTTACAAAATGAATAAAGCAATAGAATTACCAGTGAAATTAACAACAACTGTTAAAAGCAACTGATGGCGAGTTGAAGGGGCAATCAAATCAAATCAAAAAATCTGCATTGTGGTCTTTAGTATGCGTCTCTGGATATAGGAATCCAATCCAAATTTCTTCAATGGCCTTGAGTAAATCACAGTTACTTAGCCTTGCTTCCCCATGTGCAAATGAGGATTCATGGTGACTTAACTCAGAGGTTTGTTCAAGACAGGCGAAACACAAATGATCAAGCACACTGTCAAATGAAAACTGCTGTTGGAATGATTGCTCTAACTGAATAACATTCTCAGTCATGCAAAGAAACTGAATTCAACCCAGGAAGCAAATCAAAGGAAACACAGGAACTGTAGCTCAACTGGTTGGTGAGTCATAGCAACAGAGGCACTAAACAGTTTCAAGGTGGGAAAAGATGCACACAGTAAATTTATTGATATGACACAATCTCATATGGATGGCTTAAGGACATTCACAACATTGAGGCAATCTAATGTTTGCTTACAGGGGAGTTACTGCCATTTGCACCGGATAACAACATCACATAGCAAGACACGGTATATCTGGAACACGATCCTATGCACGTCTACTCAGAAATAAGTCCCACAGTGTTGAGTGGGACTCACTTCCAGGTCAATGCGTACAGGACTACAACCTTATAATTATAGGGTTCAAAGAAGGAGTCAAAAGGTCCCTAAGAAGTATCTAAGAAGAAGACTCAGTGCCTTAGCCAAAAACATTGCTCCGTGCAGGACTCTCCGCCCATCACATCAGACTCGGTATGCCCAGTGCTCAGTGGCAGAGTGCATGCTTTGCATGCAGAACATCGCAAGTTCGGTCCTTGTTATCTCTTGTCAAAGAACCCCAGGTACGAAGGCTGGAAAATACCTTGACATCAGATACTGGGAAAATGCTCTTAATCTGCCTGTTGTGCCAAGAGTATCCAATATTCCGACCCAGTGTACAGAATGTGTTTCATATCAAACAGTACAAACCCAAGCTGTAAATAACAGGGAGCTTATGAACTCATCATCCCTAATTACACACACGCACACACACACACACACACACACACACTCTCTCACACACACATTACTTTTTCCACTATATAATTCAAGCTTTTGAGAAAGACTTTACTAATCACACACACACACCTCTCTGTCTTAAAAAATCTCAGCAGAATATTTTTTAGAGCAATTTAATAAACAGATTGGACACAGACCTGTATGGGTTTTCTTTCTTTTTTTCTGAAAAAGAATGAATGATTGCTATGCCAGCCCCTTCTCCAAGCTGCTGTCCACTTTTTATTCTGAAGCACTCAGCAAGAACCTTTTTTTCCCTTTGGATCCAACACATTGCGTCTCTTAATTATGTTCCCCCATCAACAACAATCAAATCCAGTCTTTCTCTCCCCCTCCCCCCCTCTGAATATATTTGTTGTTTTTAAGATTAAAGTGATGACGGTAAGAAGAGGAGGAGGGGAATCTCTTTTTTAAAGCAGGCATTGGTTTGTGGGGGGTGGGGAAAGGGATAATTTGGATACGTTCAAAATGGTTAGTAAATCAGAAAAGACATGGAAATGCAATTGAGACAATCAAGGGCAGAGAGTTGGCAGAAACAGGGAGTTGGGGGGAAATGTCCCTTACCTAGGTCTTCTCCGGCTCCTCTGCAGTGCACTGTCCTCAACTCTCTTTCCCTCCCTTCTTTTCTATCTGTCCATCTTCCAGAAAATGACAGAGTAGCGGTTGCTGCAGCTCATCACTGGTCCTGGTGCCTGAGCAGGTCTCCCAAGCCAGCTGGTTGAAATTGCAGTCAGTGTGCTACCAGGCACTGGCTTCTGCCCAGGCTGCTGCTGCTGTTCCTGGTACTGATGATGTTACGGAGGAGGAGGAGTATGAGTGGAGAGGGGGAGGAGGATGCCGCAGATGGTACTGATGCTGTTGCTATGGCGATGGAACTCAGCAGCACTACACAGTGCAACAGCTGCTAGAACTCCTGGTTCTTTCACAGGCAGGACCCAAGACTGGCTTGTAGCACAAGCTGCAAGGTAATGAGAAGGCATATTCTTCATTTTGACAAACACTCATCCGCAACTTGATGACATGTAGCTGTTATTGGCCAGTGTCTGAGCTGCTGTTAGGATCTTATATCTCAGCAAGATGCTGGACATGAAACAAAAGGGGTAAAAAAATGTGGCAGCAGCAAGAACATTACAGTTTGGAACAGAAAGAGCCTCAGGTCTTGAAGGAACAAACCCAAGTTATAGCTCACTCTTGTCCCTAGAGAAGAACGCCCAGGACAAGAGCAGAGATCATTCTCCAGAGTATTTTATATGGGTCATGCTCAGCTGAGGCCAAAAACCAACAGAAAGCCATGGTGAAGAGAAGAGCCAGTATGGGGTAAGGTTTTGGGCTAGGACCTGGGAAACCATGGTTCAGATCCCTACTCAGCCATGAAGCTCTTGGCTCTCACCCTAACCACATCACAGGGTTGTTGTAAGGTTAAAGTGGGAGGAGAACCTTGAGCTCCTTGGAGGAAAAGGGGTGTAAGAAATAGGAGGAGGAGGAGAGGACACATGAGGAGAGAACATCAGTAACCTATACAGTGCTTTTTCTTCCCCCATCACCTTCAGTTCCAGCTAACAGCAGTTGGATGATGCAGGAGATCTAAGTCTAGGCATGGCACAGATTGAAGAGCTCAGAATGTTTCTCATGCTACCATGGGACCTAAACACCACCTCGGGGCTGCTTTTAACTGAAGAAAAGTTTGTCTTCAAATCTTCGGAGTCCAACTCCCATCATAGAATCATAGCATTGTAGAGTTGGAAAGAGCCTTAAGGCCTTCTGGTCCAGCCCCCTGCAATGAACAATCACAACTAGAGCAGCTCTGGCAGATGACCATCCAACCTCTGCTTAAAAGCATCCAGTGAAGGAGCGCCTACCACCTTTGGAATGAGTCTATTCCATTCTCAAACACCTCTTACTGTCATGCAGGTCTTCCTAGTGTTTCGTTAGAATCTCCTTTCTTGTTGAATCCATTGGTTCAAGTCCTGTCCTCTGGAACAGCAGAAAACAAGTTTGTTCCATCTTCCGTGTGACAGCCCATTGCATATTTGAAGATTCCTGTCATAACACCTCTCAGTCTTCTCTTCTCCACACTAAACATACCTAAATCCTTCAACCATTCCTCATAAGGCTTGGTTTCCAGGCCTTACATCATCTTGGTTGCCCTCCTCTGCAACATACTCCGGCTTGTCAATATGTTTCCTAAATCGTGATGCCCAAAGCTGGCCACAGTATTCTAGGTGTGGCCTGACCAAGGTATTGTCAGCCAGCATGGCCAATGCTCAGGGATGATGGGAGTTGTGGCGATCAACATCTGGAGGGGCAGATGTTCCACATCCCTGCTATAAATTGTGCAGGAAGGATGAGTACAGCAGGCTTCCTGTTGCAGACATTCAGCCCCAGACAGGAGGGCTATGGTAGTGGCAACAGAGACGTGGTGAAGTAGGTGGAGACATGGAGCTGGTAATCATAAGAAGTGAAGAATTAGTAACTCAACCTTATTGTTTAACTAAAAGCACTTAAAGAGCTATGGGGCCCAGGTGAGTGGGTGGTATCAGATGCTGTTGCGGTTGCTCGAGAGTAACCAGGCAGGATTCCAACCTGTCTTTTACAGGCTTTATTTTGGTGCAAACTTTTTAAAGTGAAGAGCGTCACATGTTCATGTCTGGCTCAATCGCTAGCAGAACCCGGGAGTGGTCTGCTTTTGTACCTCCCCCAACAGAAAAGTTTCGTCACCCCCAGCCTTTTCCGCCTCAAACTACTGCGCATGATGGACAACGGCAAGGGCGTGCCTCCCTCCTCTCCGGCTTGCTCAGGTGTGGTGTTAAGGCTCTTACTAGCATCCTCTGGTCCTTGCACCTCTTCTCCACTGGAGGTGGGGCTTCCCTCCTTGCCGGAAGAGGAACTGCTTTACAAGATTTTCGGAGGCTCCCTGTAACACACCTGCCCCTCTATCTCGCCTCTGAGCCGATGGCAGTTCCCTGACATCCAGTATTTGAGTGCTGGGTGGGGGGAGGTCATAGCTCAGCCCCAGAGCATATGCACACATTGTTAATCAAGTAGGACCCTACATCTAAATCTCATCTGGCACCACGGTCAAAATAAATCCTTCCCCGGTGGTTACCTTAAAAGAAAAGAAAAGCAGTCAGGACAGCTTGCTGCTGATTTCCCACTGCTTCAGCCTCACACGTTCAATCAGGCCAGCAAACCCTGAGCTCACCCCTTTGTCATTAGACATGACCTCCCCACTGTTTTCTCCCCATGACGTTTCTGCTTCTGCCAGCATGGGCCGCCTTAATAAGCCATGCAAAAATACCGATGCACAGGAATGGCAGCTTCCAATACACTGAATCAGACCATCGGTCCATCTATCTCAGTGTTGTCTACATTCAGTGGCTGCAGCTCTCCAGGGTTTCAGACAAGGGTCTCTCTCAGCTGTGCCTGGAGATTCTGGGGACTGAATCTGAGACCTTCTGTATTCGACTGAACATATAAAAAGGCTTCAGATATACTGAATCAGACCAGTTAACCAGCTCAGTATTGTTTGAACTGACTGGGAGTGACTCTCTAGGGTTTCAGACAAAGGACTGTCCCTGGCCTACCTGTAGATACTTGGGATTGAATCTGAGACCTTCTCCATGCAAAGCAGATACTCTACCACTGAGCTATGGCCTTCAAGACTTTAAAAAAAGCACATCCACTTTTTTGTATTATGGAAATGCCTCTATTTTGTTATGAGCAAAACACATCACTTAAATCTATGGTCATGCAAAATCGGAGGCCCATTTTAACATTTATCTTTGCAACTAACCATGCAGTGCCACAGGCAAGACTACTGCTGTGCTATTTTCACCTTCATGGCATCAGAAGTGGTATCAGTAATAGCAGCCCTTGAGTCTTCTTCACATAGCACTGGTGTTGTACTTCCAAATTTTAGAGGATGCAGACTCTGGGTCATTTAATGCATGCATGCACGTCACTCACTTTATCTACACTTTATTATTGTTCCCTTGATTGGCAGCTGAATGTGTGAACCAACTCCACTCAAACACATTGCAGTCCAATACAAATGTTCCAGATATGTTGCCTAAGGATGGATAGATCTGTCAATTTGGGTTTCTCCTTTCTCCAATCTTAAGATCCATTATCTACATTTCTGAATCAGTCCCCATCTTCCCACAGCTGCCTAAGCTTCCTCCTCACCTGGGTCCTTCCCAAACAATATGAGAATCTGCTGGCAAGCCTGTCTCTGTTCCTTCCTCTTTTTTTCTGGTTCTGGGAGACTGGAGGAGTGGGGGAAGGAGCTAGTCACAGTAGGGGTGGGAGAAATTCTGGCTTCTTCACCAACCTGACTCATCTGTGCCTCTTGGCCTTCATCCTCTCCTTCTTCAGCTTCCACTTCTGGTTCTGAACTTCTCTCTGTCACAGACTCCCCCTGCTCACCAAAACCTGTTACCAACATCTCCTCCTCCCAATCTTCTCCCACTTCTCTCTCTAACCATGGATTGTCACCCTACCACCAATCTCTGGGTTCTGGGCCTTCATTCCTTGGGGGGGGGGGTTCCCAGTTGGTGCCATCCACCACTCCTCTGCCTCTAGCCAGTCCTTAACAGTTATCACATGCAATTAATTGCTGTAGACAGTCTTCCAGTAATGACAACACAAATGCATGTGAAAACTGTTAGAATTCCTGCTCCATGATTGCAGTCATGGAATTGTTGTCTTTCACATGACGGTATATGTTTTGACTCCACAGAGTGGGAAGTGATGGAAATAGGATGTTTGTATTACTGTGTTCCATGAAGTGGGACTATTGTCCTTTGTCCTTTTTTCTCTTTGCTGTCTGATGCTAGAGAGAGAGGGAACCATGTTGCAATGCTCCGTGTGTGTTTATATGTAAATAAAGTAGATTAGCCAAAATGCTGAGTTGCTGAGGTCTTTCACGCAAGTTGCACAAACTCTGCAGATCCCTAAGTGTGCCAGTGTCTGTTGGCATCGGTCGCTGTGATGTTCAGGCAGAAGAAAGCTTTTGAAGCTCTCAAACGAATTACCAGGAGGGAGAGAACATGCCAGTCGGGCATGTGTCTCTGCCAGGGACCTACTCAAGTGTAGGCTGAGCTCCTGACAATGTTCTGGGCCTCCAACATCTGGGCTTCCAACATCTCCTCCTCCCAACCTTCTCCCACTTCTCCCACTAACCACTGATTGTCACCCTACCACCAGTCTCCGGGTTCTGAGCCTTCATTCCTTGCGGGGGTTTCCCAGTTGGTGCCATCTACCACTCCTCTGCCTCTAGCCAGTCCATGACAGTTATCACGTGCAATTCATTGCTGTAGACAGTCTTCCAGTAATGACAATGCAAATGCATGTGAAAACTGGTCGGCCACCTAAGAAAACTCTGTAGCGTATCTCTTGAATTGTTTGTTTTCCCTCCTAGTTTGAAACAGTCATGGCTCAGTGGACAACCAGTGTTTTGTCAGTATGAAGCGTCTGGTTTTGGCACCTGAGCTTTTCAATTAAAAATAATGAAATAAGCTGGGAAATGTTTCTGCGTGAGACTGATTAGCTGCTGTCAGTTACAGTAGGCACGAGCTGTTTGGACAAAACAAAAACCCTCTTAATTTGATTTGGTGTCATGGCAGACAGTTTCTTATATTCTCCTATGATGGAGTGTCCACAGGTTCTCCTGATTCTGGAAACTAATTAAGGGGATAAGAGTGGAAGAACTATAGGTCTCAAGAGGCCAAATATGAACCTGAAGATCTGCCAAAAAGCCCATAATTGTGGGATATTATTATTCACAAAGTGCAAAAGCTTTACTCCTTTATTACTTTTCTAACCATTTATCTCAGCAGGAAAGTACTTTGGCTGGATTTCATAGAACATTGTGATGACCATAGTGGAAAAAAAGAAGTTTGGTATAGACAGTTGTTGCTGAGCTGGTCCCAGAAAATAAGATAGCTTTCCCAAGGATTCAGCTGGGTAAATTCTGTCCCATTCCGCAAATCTTTGCCTATAGAAATGTACTTTAAAAAAATGTGCCATTCAAAAAGCACATTGGAGTCTAATACCTACACAGGAAAAATAACTGGGATGATTAGGCTACAATGAAACCATTTCTTTTTTTCAACACAGGCTTTCTGCTGAAATTTTGAAAATGAGGAAGATTTTGAATTAGCATGGAATATCACAGTGCTGCTTGTAGATGAAACTACAAATGGTTTAGACAGGAAAGCAAGGATTCAGTGAAATCAGATTTAATTTTGCAGAGATAAATCCAGAAAGGGATTGGTGGAATAACTGCTGCTTATGATGGCTGCATTCTACCTGCAGAGACAGAGCACCACCCGCGTCCCTAAAAAAAACAAAACAAAACAAAACAAACAAAACCCTTAAATTACTTTAAATAGTAACATTTCGATACTGATATATTTTCTGCTGCTGTTGCTGCTAATCTTAGTAATTTGACTTAGTTTGTGAAAGGTTCATTAACTAAATGTAGATATTTTTGTGTAACTGGTCATTTATGCAAGGAATGCTTTTCATACATTATAATATTGCAATGTCTGTTAGCATGCTAATACCTCATATCTGCTATATCGTGTATTCAGTAAATTTAGGATTGTTTCTGGTGTACGCATATATTTATGATTTGTTTCCTGTTCTTGTGAGCTGCTTTAACTATGATTTGGGAAAGTAATGTATTTGTTTTCTCTGGCTTATATAAGCAACAAATGCAATACCTGAGTTACTACTGCAGTCTTTATCTTTTTTAATTTCGGGATTTTCCAATATTTTGGTATGTTGGCCCTTTATATACTGTACATAGTTGCGTATGTGCCCAAAGTCCCACAGCAAGAGCACAATTCAGTAAAAGGCAGTTTTGAGTATTTCTCATTAAATGCAATGGAGTGGGACTCACAAGACAACCTGAATTTGTTGGACTTATTTATTTGGAAATTGCCCCTCGGGGCAGAGTTGTGGCTTAGTGGTTAGAGCACATACTTTTTTTGTAAAAGCTCCCAGGTTTGATCCCATGTGTCTCTGGGGAAGGCCAGGAGAGCCTGAAATCTTGGAGATCCACTGGCTGACAATATTGACAGTATTGAGGACCAATGGTTTGACTTGGTACAAGGCAGCTTATTAAAAGGTAAAGGGACCCCTGACCATTAGGTCCAGTCATGACCAACTCTGGGGTTGCGGCACTCATCTCACTTTGTTGGCTGAGGGAGCCGGCGTACAGCTTCCGGGTCATGTGGCCAGCATGACTAAGCTGCTTCTGGAGAACCAGAGCAGCGCACGGATACACCGTTTACTTTCCTGCTGGAGCAGTACCTATTTATCTACTTGCACTTTGACATGCTTTCAAATTGCTAGGTTGGCAGGAGCAGGGACTGAACAACAGGAGCTCACCCCGTTGTGGGGATTCGAACCACCAACCTTCTGATTGGCAAGCCCAAGAGGCTCTGTGGTTTAACCCACAGCACCACCCGCATCCCAGAGACAGAGTTAGTGTCCTCCTAAAAACTGGTCACTTGGAAATATGGATGTGAAAGAAAGTTCCGTTTGCATTTAAAAGTGAGCTTTCCTAAACTGCACTCTCTAAAACACGAACCTAAGCATGGCCATACTTTGAAGATGCCATTTCTTGATGCCTTCAGCCTGGTATCGCTCCCCTTTATCACATACACAGCCCAACAAAACAACGACAAAAATCCACCAACAACATTCAAATCAATATGGCTATCCTGATTCACAAACACCCACCCCACTCACACATGAAAACAAAGTTCACCACAGCCAATCACAAACAAGCATCCACCCCCCAGACCAACCCCAACTTCTCTCACCACCAAAGGAACACAAGTGAATAGCAACGAGAACCTGCACAAGCAACGCTGACACAAAACCCCACACATACAATAAGTAAAACAGCAACTTTGCCACCCAACCCTACCCCCACTCACCATTCCCCCCTCTCCCTCTTCCTAATGTAACACTAATGTCTCAACAAATGAAACTGACCTGTAGAAAATGTGACTTGAAAAAAGAGACATTGCACATACTTTTGTAAACCGGGGAATCTTTAATAAAAAAAATACATTTAAAAAAGAAGTTTGCATTCCTCCTAATTTTGCAGTGCAGTTCGCCAGCCATGTACAAAAAAAATGCACGTTACTAAAAATAACGTATAAAAATGCATTATATTAGGGAAAATTTATTTCAAAACATGTGCATACTTGTGAGAATCTTTTTTAAAGATGAGCTTAAGTCTGGGGGCGGGGAGTGGAGTGGAAATGAGAAAACGAGACAAGCTGAAACTGATGGAATCACTCATCTTCTGAGCTTTACAGAGTGAATTGTTTGGCTGCTGTGGGTTGGATCATAGGCTGCACAAGACAGGCCTTTGGTCTGAACCAGCAGCCTAGTTGGGGGAGGTGTTTGTGTGTTTTGTATTGCTGATTCTTTTATGTAACTACAGTGGGCACTTAAAAGCATTCTTTAGCCTTCTGACTTATAGTCCTGCAGGGAAACATGCTCTGATGCCTTTTCTAAATTATTATTTATTTGCCAAGCAGTAGGAAATATACATATAAATTGGCTAAGCAGACAGATGGGGCTGTTTGTTTAAGGGTTTGTTTTCCCTGGTGGTTTTTAACTGCTTTTAGAGTTGACAATGCAAAAGTACCAGTTGGCGCTGTATAATTATATTGTTCTTCCCACCCAAGGAAGTTTGCAGTCGAAGCAAGGCAATTTGCATCCCTAATTTCCCACCACCCTGCTTCTACATACCCATCGCATAGTAAGGAACAATGACTGCAGTTCAACAGGTTGGGGTCTGTTATGTACTGAGTTGAATAGGATCCAAAAGGCAGCAGTCTGATTGGTCCTAGAACAATAGATTCAGAATGCAGCAGTCTGATTGGTCCTAGAAGAATAGGGTCCAGAATGCAGCCATCTGTTTGGTCCTAGAACAGTAGCGTCCAGAATGCAGCAGTCTGATTGGTCCACAGGAGCCACCCAATCCAGCTCCAGGTGGAAGTGAATCCGCAACCTGATTGGCCTACAGGTGAATCCCGTAATTAGCCAATCACATGGGGCCCATTGTGTAAATAATGTATATAAAGCAGACATTCTGGGGGAACTTCCATTCCGCCTCACCACTATGAGCTGAATAAAGAGCATGAAATCCACTCTCGACTCCGAGTATATTTCAGGGTCCTATCAGGGCACTATTGAGAAATGAAAGTGGCATGGGGGGGGTATTGATAAAATGAAAAGGCCCTGAGGTTTGCAGAAGTACAAAAATGAGCACTCACACTTTACATTGTGGGTGCCGTTTGCAGGATCGTGTGTGGTGCTACAGTTCTCAGGGAGCTTTCTGGCAAACAGGGGCTGGCTTCCCTCTCAGTGTTAATTTTTGGAGGTTTGTGCCCAGCCTTAGTAATGCTGGGAGGTGCGGCCAGCCCCATTTATATATAGGGGGTGGAGCTGACAATAGCCAGGCAGTTGGCTCTGGAGATTCACCCTCCCTTTGTTTAATGTTTCTTGCTTGCAAGTTAACTTTTTCTTCCTGTTTTGCGGGTGCTGCTGCGGTCTTTGGCTGGTTGCTGTTGAAGGACCGTGAAGAATTTTTCCTGCCTTGACAAGTTTTATCTTCCCCGTAGCAATTCGTCACAACTTTGATGGTTATGGCCTTGGGTGGAATCCTTTAGTCATTTCTTTCCTGTGTCTGTCTGTGTGTGTGTGTGTGTGTGTGTGTGTGTGAGAGAGAGAGAGAGAGAGAGAGAGAGAGAGAGAAGTGGTGACTCACCCCCCTGCGGCAGCAATTCCAGGGTCCCCCTCTTAAAGGGGTTATATATATGGGTGTCACTGGCCATTCACTGAAAGGTCATCAGTGAACTACCCTGCATGTGGGGATATAGGCTTGGCTGCCTGCTACACTTACGTCTCGCAGAGCATCCCCATATCCCAATTACCTTGATGTGCCCCAGTTCCCCCCAGCTGGGGGGCTGGGAGGGATACGCGCCCAAGGCCTAAGCCAAGGTCTTCCTACATTCGTAAATTTAATAAAGTTGTGGCCTAATTTTAATTCCATATAACGTTGTCAGAGTCTTTATTCCTTCCTTATGATCCCTGGGGGCTGGGGCTGTCGCCGCCTGACCACACAAAATCATTTTTGCAATGAGTGAGAGTGCAAAGAAACAACTTTTAATTTATTTATTTTTTAAAAAGCAGCCCATTGCAGATTGAATATGCTCAGGAACCAAAATCACACACTGAGCTTCATGGCTGAGTGGGGCATTGAACCATAGCTGTCAACATTTCCCTTTTTAAAGGGAAATTCCCTTAGTCCAAATAGGATTCCTCGCAAGAAAAGGGAAAAGTTGACAGCTATGCATTGAACCCTGGGTCTCCCAGGGTCTAGTCCAGCACTCTAACCACTACACCACAAGGGCTCTGTATGCCAGCATACTGCATCCAATGACTTTCTGGGTTAATGGAGTAGTGAATGGATTTTTTCTTGAAGCAAAAAAACACAGAAATGAGCACTAAACTTCCACTAGATTCTGCTAGGTTTCTAGAAGTGGCCTTTACATCATATGAAATATACATAAAATGCCAGATTTATCCAATAAGCAAACATCAGGAAAAGTGGGAAACTGTTCAAATGCAGCTAATGTCTCTGTTCAAATGCAGCTAACGTATCTTTCATTTTCACACATATAATAGTCATCCATCTACCTATCCTCATAGCTCCATCTACCTATCCTCATAGCACATCTTTATATCTATAAGCAGAACATAATCTTTAAAAGATGTGCAGGTGTCGAAGACCAACTGGCAAGGGGGGGGGGGCATAGTTTCTGGTCTTTCCGCATGAGGGATGTAGTTTCTCCCAAAGTGGGGATATATGCATAGTATTTTTAATTCTTCCTCAGGGAATGGTAAAGAATGAATATGCATAATACAAGCCAGCATGGCATCATTGTTCAGACATCGGATTGAAAAAACACCATCACAATTTATCTCTTTCAAAAATAGCATAAACTGAAAACAAGACAGAGAGATAGAGATACTGCAAAGGAGAAACCTGTTTGAATGAAACATGTGATCTGGATGTAATGCCAACAGAAAACGTTGTTGGAACAGTGTCTCCAGAGACCACAGTTCTCCCTAGCTGCTAAATTATGGTACCATTTAGCAATTATATAATAATTGCTCCTCTGGAAGGATGAGTAGAGGTTTCCTTTGATTCTCCAAGAGCTGGGAATAGTTAATTTCTGCTGCAGATTCTCTTCTCACCCCAGCGCTGCAAAAAGAGGTTGGAAATTTGCATATTACACAAATTTATGCAAATGTATATCCTCATTTGTGAGTAGGGCAGAGGGATCGGTAAACATGCAATGAGCTGGGCTCTGAAGAGCCTATTGGAAGCCTTGGTCATTAGCCTTTAATCAGGAGTCAGCAAAGCAGGGGGCCGGTCCACTGTCCCTCAGACCTTGTGGGGGGCCGGACTATATTTTGAAAAATAAATAAAAATGAACGAATTCCTATGCCCCACAAATAACCCAGAGATGCATTTTAAATAAAAGGACACATTCTACTCATGTAAAAACACGCCATCCACGGGCTGGACCATCCATGGGCTGGATTTAGAAGGCGATTGGGCCAGATCCAGCCCCCGGGCCTTAGTTTGCCTACCCATGCTTTAAGTTATATACTGGATTCTAGCTTGTATAGACTCTCTCGGTTAAAAAGGTGTAATCATGAGGTATCATCAACATTTGTTGTGGTTATTATTATTTCGTTTATATTCCACCTTTCCTCCAAGGAGTTCTAGGTGGCGGGCATGGTTCCTTCCCCCAATACCTTTTACTCACAACAACCCTGTGAGGTAGGTTAGGCTGAGAGGTTGGCCCCAGGTCACCCTTCACGAGGATTTGAACCCTGATCTCCCAGGTCCTAGTCCAACACTCTTAACCAGAGCACCACTGTTTCCTTGACAGATGAGGAAAATAGCCACAACCGCAAGCTTCATTAACACAGAGGCACTGCAAAGTAATTACAGTGCTACCTCGGGTTAAGTACTTAATTCGTTCCGGAGGTCCGTTCTTAAACTGAAGCACCACTTTAGCTAATGAAGCCTCCTGCTGCTGCCACGCCACCAGAGCACGATTTCTGTTCTCATCCTGAAGCAAAGTTCTTAACCCGAGGTACTATTTCTGGGTTAGCGGAGTCTGTAACCTGAAGCGTATGCAACCTGAAGCATATGTAACCTGAGGTACCACTGTATTCTGATCGAGCCAAACAAAATTGCTGCAACTTTTTCAAGGGAGGAGAGTCAAGGGGGATAAACTTTTCTTTTGCCTTACCTTTTCTGAGGTCCCTGCTGTGTTTTTCTCTGTCCTGATGTAAAAGCCTTTTCCTACAACAGGGGAGAAATGTTCCATTATGTGAGGGCAGGGGTGGGATTTAGCTGGGGACAGCAGTCCGAGGAGAGAGGAACAATGGTCAAGGACAAGGCATGGAGGCAAGCAGCTAAGCAGAAAGGTGAGTGGATGCAATGGAGAAGCAGAGTCAAGAATGGAGAGGTAGGGAGGCAGAGGCAGAGAGAATGTTCCTCTTCCACTGGGGAAGACTGAACGTCAGCAACAGAAGCCAGCAACCGCAGACTCTAGGAGCTATGGATGCAAGTGTAACTGGTCTAGCAACAGTAACTAACTGTGCCAAGCAATTAACAGCTTGTGATATTTGTGTTTGCTCGTTGACGTTATTACTTGCTGAAAAACTAAACAATAGATAGCTTTATATCCATCCATCTATCCATCCATCCACCATAATTGCCAGTCTGTAATCCTCAACCTTTTCATACATATATAATTGAACAATTAATATTTTTTAACAGGCGCATAATTAAGTGTGGCTTGGAGTTATCTGTGTTTGATTCTCTTCATCCTAGCTGAAATTCAATTGATAGTGTTGCCTGGTTAAATTCTATACAATGCATAATTTTGTGTCTGTCTATCTGTATCAGTTCAGCAGAATGCAGAATGCTTTACGTTAGATCTAAATTTATTAAATTGGTAAAACAAAGTCCCAAAGCGATTTACAAGTATAGTGGACGCTCAGGTTGCGAACGTGATCCATGCAGGAAGCACGTTCACAACCTGTAGCACCACATCTGCGCACACGCGGGTCACAATTTAGCGCTTCTGTGCAGGCACAAAGCACAATTTAACTCATCTGTGCATGTGCAAGCACCGAAACCCGGAAGTAACCCATTCCGGTACGTCCAGGTTCGGCGCTGTGCGCAACCCGAAGCATCTGTAACCTGAGGTATGACTCTAAAGAACACAATAATAAAGATACTTTTAATACAGATATAACAATATAATTGGGGACGCGGGTGGCGCTGTGGGTTAAACCACAGAGCCTAGGATTTGCCGATCAGAAGGTTGGCGGTTCGAATCCCCGCGATGGGGTGAGCTCCCGTTGCTCGGTCCCTGCTCCTGTCAACCTAGCAGTTCGAAAGCATGTCAAAGTGCAAGTAGATAAATAGGTACCACTCCAGCGGGAAGGTAAACAGCGTTTCCATGCGCTGCTCTGGTTTGCCAGAAGCAGCTTAGTCATGCTGGCCACATGACCCGGAAGCTGTATGCCGGCTCCCTCGGCCAATAAATGAGCGCCGCAACCCCAGAGTCGGTCACGACTGGACCTAATGGTCAGGGGTCCCTTTACCTTTTTAAACAATATAATACAATACCATTGGGCTGCCTAAATCCCTGGGAAAACCAAAAATGCTTTCACTGTCTGTCTTGGGCAGAGTGGGCCTGTTCTCTTGCAGCCACCCTCTGGACCTGCCTCCGAGGTGGCATGAAGAGAAGCATCTCAAGATGACAATCAGAGGTTTGAGTCAAACTAATAACATAAGAAGAGCTTGCTGGATTTGGCCAATGGCTCATCTTAGTCCAGCATCCTGCCCTCACAGTGGCCAACCAGATGCCAGCGTTATACGTAGGGTTGCTTCGGAAGACAGTTCAGAAACCTCAGCTGGTGCAGAATTCAGCGGTCAGGTTGCTCACCGGTGCAAGGCGGTTTGAGCATAATACACTGATCCTGGTCTGACTGCACTGGCTACCAATTAGTTTCCGGGGCCAATTCAAAGTGCTGGTTTTGACCTATAAAGCCTTAAACGGCTCAGGACCTCTATACCTCAAGGACTCCCTCTCTCCATATGAACCTACCCAGACCTTGAGATCCTCTTCTGAGGCCCTCATTTGTGTGCCCCATCCTCTAGAGATCCGGAGGGTGGCAACACAAGAACGGGGCCTTCTCTGCAGTGGCTCCCCGTTTGTGGAATGCTCTTCCCAGGGAAGTTCGCCTGGCGCCTTCATTATACACCTTTAGGCACCAAGCAAAAATGCTCCTTTTTAACCAGGCCTTTGATTGCCCTGATGGACATCCTATACCTTTTATATATGTCCCTCTTTTTGGGGTGGGGAGGGGGTGGTTATTGGGTTATTTTTATTTTCTATATTGGATATCGGGTGGTATATAAACTCAATAAATAAATAAATAAATAAATAAATAAACAAACTCAGAACCGGGATCCAAGCACAAGAACCCTCTCCCCTCCTGTGGTCTCCAGCAATTGGTATGCAGAAGCATTAAGAAGCATTGCTGCACAGCCATTATGGCTATTAGCCGATGGTAACCTTTGCCACTTTGAATATGAGGTTAATACAAGGAATTAAAAAGCAGAGACATCACCTTGCCAACAAAGGTCTGTATAGTTAAAGCTATGGTTTTCCCAGTAGTGATGTATGGAAGTGAGAGCTGGACCATAAAGAAGGCTGATCGCTGAAGAATTGATGCTTTTGAATTATGGTGCTGGAGGAGACTCTTGAGAGCTCCATGGACTGCAAGAAGATCAAACCTATTCATTCTGAAGGAAATCAGCCCTGAGTGCTCACTGGAAGGACAGATCCTGAAGCTGAGGCTCCAAAACTTTGGCCACCTCATGAGAAGTGAAGACTCCCTGGAAAAGACCCTGATGTTGGGAAAGATTGAGGGCACAAGGAGAAGGGGACGACAGAGGACGAGATGGTTGGACAGTGTTCTCGAAGCTACTAGCATGAGTTTGACCAAACTGCAGGAGGCAGTGGAAGACAGGGGTGCCTGGCATGCTCTGGTCCATGGGGTCACGAAGAGTCGGACATGACTAAGCAACTGAACAACAACAACACAAGGAATTGGAAGGTCAAGACCAGAACTTCCTAATGCTAATGGAGGGCATCAGATTTGACAGAGATTGCACCTGTGGATGGAAGGTTTAAGCCTTTGCATCCTATGTGCTATAATCCTGATAACCGGTAAGCACCCTCCCATGTCTGCTAGATAATATTGTTATAGATTTTGGGGTGGCGGGCTAAACCTTATAAATTAATAAATGGTAGGATTTGATTATTTAGGACGTGAAGGAAGGTGCAGAGATTGGAGATCTGGAAGGTTGTCAGGGTAGCTGGGTGTGAGATGACAGAAAAAGAGAGTTTTTAGCAGGGTTTTGTGGGAAGAAGGGAGAAGGAAGACTTGGATCCATCTTGGGCAGGCTGGCTGAAGGTTGACTGCACTGCTGTGGGAGACAAGCCCCTCTTCAGATGACCATGCTGTAAACTTAATCTTGATGCCCTCCATGTAGACTGAAGGTGTAAAAGCTATGGCAGTCTCATTCTCCAAAGGAATTGCTTTGAAATGCTTAATTTGCCTGTCTGCTACCCACCCCAAAGCCCCGCACAAAGAACCCTATGTGGATTTTGCAATGTTTCACATTTTGAAAGGCCTGTGATTGTTGACCCAACAGCTTTCGGCGTAAGATAGGCTAAACAACTTGGAAGAAAACATAAGTAGACCTCTTTCTCTCTCCTTGTCCCCCTTACACCCTGTTGGTGCTATCTCTCTAATAAATGAAGTGAAGACAGCAGCAACCTTATCTAGTTCATCAGCACAGCATGTGTAGGTCGAGCTGATGAAAGGGATAACTTAGCCCTGCAAACAGAATTTAATTTAGCCACCAATCACTTAAACAAATACACCCATCCACAAAGACAAGCCACTGTGGAAAGCCTGAAATGGAATAGACAGTACAAGGGACACGTCCATCTGGGTGAACTGCTCTCTTTTGCTTTGTTGGCCTGTGGGGGATACAAAGGAAATTAAGTGGTAACTTTGGAAGACGTGGGTGGCACTGTGGGTTAAACCACTGAGCCTAGGACTTGCCGATCAGAAGGTCGGCGGTTCGAATCCCCATGATGGGGTGAGCTCCCGTTGCTCGGTCCCTGCTCCTGCCAACCTACCAGTTCAAAAGCACGTCAAAGTGCAAGTAGACAAATAGGTACCACTCCAGTGGGAAGGTAAATGGCATTTCCGTGTGCTGCTCTGGTTCGCCAGAAGCAGCTTAGTCATGCTGGCCACATGACCCGGAAGCTGTATGCCGGCTCTCTCGGCCGATAAAGCGAGATGAGCGCCGCAACCCCAGAGTCGGCCACAACTGGACCTAATGGTCAGGGGTCCCTTTACCTTTACCTGTTTTGATAACGCGCCCATCACAATCTGCTGACCATATTTATTTATTTATTTATTTGTGAAATTCTGTTCTTTTAGGGATGGGTGGTTGGTTGGTTGGTTAGTTAGTTGTATGGGATGGTCGGCTTTCTCTGTGGTCTAGGATCTGAATAGGGGATTAATTTGATTCAGGTCATATTACCATAATGACTGGTCACTGTGAGAACGGGATGCTGACTAGGTGGGCCATTGGCTTGATGCAGTAGAGCAGTGTTTCCCAGCTTGGGTCTCCAGCTGTTTTTTGGACTACAATTCCCATCAACCCTAGCTAGCAGGACCAGTGGTCAGGGATGATGGGAACTGTAGTCCAAAAACAGCTGGAGACCCAAGTTTGGAAAACACTGCAATAGACTCTTCTTAGATTCTTTGAAAGGCAGACCTTCCTAATTTGCACTTTCAGAAAGAATGTGCAAACTGAAACACACCCATCTTTTGAAGTTTGAAACGGGGATGGTTACATCCCTTGATACAAGGGGTGGCAGGCTATAGCAACTGAAGGTGAGGACATAGAAAGCTGCCTTATACTGAATGAGACCCATTGGTTCACCTAGCTCAGTATTATTTATGCGGACTGGGAGTGACTCTCTTCAGACATGGGATTTTCTCAGTCCTTCCTGGAGATTCTGGGTATTGAACTTCGGATCTTCTGCATGCGAGGCTGATGCTCTACCATTAAGCTAATTCTCAGTTCTAGGGTGCTAACTGTAGGGGGCTCTGGGTGCCTGAGAAGCCACAAAAAATGTTGTGAGTGCCCAGCACCCACACCACAGGGCCCCCAACTCAACTTCTGGTGCCTCGAGAAGCACTGAAAGTCACGTCCAAGGCCTCGCGAGATCTCCGAGGTGCCACTGGAAGTCAGGTTCTGAGGCCTGGGGGGACGTGCATGTGACATTATGACATCATATACACTGGGCACCCGTAACCTGGGGCCCAAGTCAGCTCCCCTGCTCAGTTCTCCAAGGGTGCAGGAGTTCTGATCAATTTGCACTTGGCCATTCCAGGTCATGTGACTTCAGCTCCTATTAAGAGCAAGAAGGCCCAGCTTTATTGATATTTATTAGGAGCCAGGTAAAATGTGTCACCGTTGCTTTGACTAGACATTTAATGGTATTTGATTTTAACTGAGTTATGCACTTCTTATGCTGGCTCCACTGTTTTCATTTATGCTGGCTTTTGCCTTTTTCTTTTGCTTAATGCTTTTTAATGCAAATACTTAGGAGCTGGCATTTCCACCACTCTGTAGATATTATTTTAAATTGTGGGGACCTTGAGGTCAGGATTAATGCAGGCTGTGTCAGAACCAGAAGGTCTGGGTATACCAAGAGTTGGGAACCTTTCTCAGTCCAATGGATGCATTTCCTTGTGGGCAACCTTCTGGGAGCCACATGCCAATTGGTGAACATTGCCAGAGACTAAGATGGGTGTTGACATAGATGTGACTTAGACCTCTGTACATTGGGCTACATTCCAGTCATTCAAAAGTCATATCCCGTGAGGTTCAGTGGGACTTCCTTCCAGGTGAGTGTATATACGATTTCAGCCTGAGTTAGTTGCACCTGAATCGCCATGGAATTAAATGCAAACAGTTGGGTAACCCCCTGACTTGCACCCCATTGATTGCAATGCTGTCTAAGTGACAATGCACCCTATGTGGGCCTATTTTTGAAATTGACTTGGAGACTACAACTAATCCAAAATGCAGCAGCTAGACTAGTGACTGGGAGTGGCTGCCAGGACCATAGAGCACTGGTCTTGAAAGACCTGCTTTGGCTGCTTTGGCTCCCAGTATGTTTCCAAGCACAATTCAATGGGGTGGTGTTGAACTTTAAAGCCCTAAATACCTGGAGGAGAGTCTCCACCTGCATCATTCAGTGTAGACACTGAGATCCAGCTCTGAGGGTCTACTGGTGGTTCTCTCAATGTAAGATGTGAAGCTACAGGAAACCAGGCAGAGAGCTTTCTCGGTCAAGGAAAGAAACAACTATCTGACTTTTAGAAGGCACCTGAAAGGAGTCCTGTATAGGGAAGTTTTTAATGTTTGATGTTTTACTGTGTTTAATTTGTTGGAAGCCACCCAGAGTGGCAGGGGCAACCCAATCAGATGCATGGCATATATTGTTGTTGTTCAAACATTATGTTCATCTATGGATGTCCAAGGGCATTAGAAGTGCAATAGTTACTCTCGGTAGAGTTAATCTCACCACCACTACCACCCGCATTGTGCAGAGGTTAAAAATTGAGGGAGGCAGAGCATTATCTGAACCATTCCCACTTGCAATACGATAATGCTCTGAAGAAATATGTGATCTCATTGTTAAAGAACCCAATGCATCACAGGTACAAAATGTGGTCTTGCGAAAGCCAAATTTGTGCCAGACAGAGAGGAGACTCTTTCAGTCATTGTGGTTTTTTTTTTGGGGGGGGCGGGGCAGGGAATAAATCATTAGTCAGCATCGGCCTTTGTGGACAGCCCCAGTGAACTGACTTGTGCATTGCCTTGGCAGACACTCAAGGTCGATTTCAATTGAGTTACTCCCTTGGCTAGCAATATGGGGCTATGTTTACATCAAGAGCAATATTTTCAATCTCAATGAGGATTTTGTCCTGCCAGCATTGGCAGCTGTGTTTTAGAGCAGTCTTTGTGGGGTCATTGCAGATACTTGGCCTCATCTGAATAAGAACTCATGATAGGAAAGGAAGGCTTCTCCTACTGTCTTGGTCAAGTATTTTTTTTTCCAGCTGTGGCAAACCAGATGCTTCTGAGAATCACATGAGCAGGGCATGAGGGTGACATCCCTCTCATTGGTCCCCAGCACCTGTTGTTTATTGTGCTCTAGGGGGCTTAGTTTGGTCAGAATTGAGGCTTAACTTTGGTCAGAATTGCGAGTTTACACTTAACACATTACTCCTTGTAAATGAGCCACTATAGCTGCTAGAGGGCTGTGAAAATTTGTGCCCTGGGCTTTTTAGACTTGTCTACCCATGTACTGGGACACGGGTGGCACTGTGGTCTGATCAGAAGGTTGGCGGTTTGAATCCCCGTGACGGGGTGAGCTCCCATTGCTCGGTCCCAGTTCCTTCCAACCTAGCAGTTCGAAAGCACACCCCAAAAAAGTGCAAGTAGATAAATAGGTACCACTTCATCGGGAAGGTAAATGGCATTTCCATGCACTGCTCTGGTTTTGGTGTTCATTGCACCAGAAGCGGCTTAAGTCATGCTGGCCACATGACCTGGAAAAACTGTCTGTGGACAAACGCCGGCTCCCTCAGCCTGTAAAGCAGATGAGCGCCGCAACCCCAGAGTCGTCCGCAACTAGACTTAACTGTCAGGGGTCCTTTACCTTTTTTTTTTACCCATGTACCATATGAAACCAGATGGTGATGTACCATCACCAGTAGTGATGTATGGAAGTGAGAGCTGGACCATAAAGAAGGCTGATCACCAAAGAATTGATGCTTTTGAATTATGGTGCTGGAGGAGACTCTTGAGAGTCCCATGGACTGCAAGAAGATCAAACACATCCATTCTTAAGGAAATCAGCCCTGAGTGCTCACTGGAAGGACAGATCGTGAAGCTGAGGCTCCAAAACTTTGGCCACCTCATGAGAAGAGAAGACTCCCTGGAAAAGACCCTGATGTTGGGAAAGATTGAGGGCACAAGGAGAAGGGGACGACAGAGGACGCGATGGTTGGACAGTGTTCTCGAAGCCACAAACATGAGTCTGACCAAACTGCGGGAGGCAGTGGAAGACAGGAATGCCTGGCGTACTCTGGTCCGGGGTCACGAAGAGTCGGACATGACTAAACGACTAAACAACAACAACAACAACCATGTGATATGATGTCCTGCAAATGTTATGAATTACACTTCTCATCAGCATCATTCAGGATGACCATTGCTCAAGGATGATGGGAGCTGTGGTCCAAAAATATCTGGAGGTCACCGTGTTGGCTACTCCTGCCTTAACAGAATAACAAAAGCATGAAGGATATATGACAATGCACATTCCCCCTCAAGATTGCTCTGAAACACAAGTTTATTTAATGTAGTGGCTGTAAAATAATAAAAAGACAATGGAAACTGACAGTCTACCATGGGCATTCATGTTTGGTATTAAAAATTAAGTGAACAACATAGAACACAAGTGAAGGGCTTGCAGGAATACAGGGACAGCAATCTTCACTGTACTGTGAACTGGCCTGAAAATGAGTGAAATGGGAGAGAAACCTCTAAGGGAAACTCAAGTGTTGTGGAGAGCGTTAGAAACATGTCTGCACATGATAACTTTGCAGAATGTGCAGTACAGGGCTTTGTAATTCGGAAGAGAAATGATTAAGAAGAGACATGATAAGAGGCTTGTTAAAATACAAAGAATATGGAGAATGTGGACGACAATGACTTTTTCTTCCGCTTGCCTAATACTAGGATAGAGTCACTCAATGGAATTAATTAGTGGTAGATTCAACAGGGACAAGAGAAAGTACTACAAACAACACATGATTAACTGAAAGAATTCAGCCGCTTCACAAGTTATTCACATCAAGAACCTAAGAACAGGCTGGCAGTTGGTTTGGGCCATGTAACACTAACCTGAGATTTTGAATTAGAGCCCAAAAGGCTGACATTTTTAAGTTAAACCAAGATTTTGTTGAAACTGCAGATGGAGGAAAAAGTCATCCCCAAGGGTCATCCAACCCCCTGCGATGCAGGAATCTCAACTAAGGCATCCATGACAAGTGGCCACCCAACCCAACCTCTGTGTGGAGTTTGCCCTCCTAGGTGTGTGACATCATACTGGGTTCATAAGGAAAGGGTTAACTAATTGTAAAATGACTCACCAATGGGAACCCAAGGGGAGGAGTTAGGAATTAGAGTTGTTGAAAAGACAGTCTGGAGTTAGAAGAGAGAGAGAGGATAAGTCTGTGGGTTGGGCTAGTCTGATGTGAGAGAGTGAGAGAATTTCTTTAGAGGAGTCAGTCAAACAGTTGAGATAACCAGTCAGAAGGTATCAGGAAGGTATAGGCCAGTAAAGAAACTAAAGTGAAGATACTGGCAGGAATATTATCTGAGAAACCATAAAGTTGTTAATGTTTATAAAATAAATTTGTTTATTTGGTTCACTTTTAACAACTGTCTGGACTCAGAGTTTTACCCGAGAGTAAAGGGTTGGCGGCAGCAGGGAAGCAATCACAGTGGTGGCACAGGGATCAATAGACCATTAAACGTCCAGGGACCCTGTTTGATCACCACACTCTGCTTAAAAACGTCTAAGGAAGGAGAGTCCACAACCTTCCAAGGGAGTCTGTTCTACTGTCAGAAAGTCCTGCTTTCTAGTTTCCCTCACGTATCAGTTTGGCCACTGTGAGAACAGAATGCTGGACTAGGTGAACCATTGACTTAAACTAGCAGGTTTTTCTTACGTTCTTAATGGCTGGAGGGCATCAGGTTGAGGAAGACTGCACTATATCTTTTACTAAGCCTTCATCACCATGAGCATCACTTGTGTATAATGCGTTAGGTGCTATACAAAAGCAGAAAATACAAATTGCTGGCCGCAGGATCACCATCTAAAGGAGGGGGAGCCAGAGGTAAAAGACCTTTAATTATACAACAGTGGGTGGCATTCTGCCTTTCAATTCTTTTTTTTTTTTAAATGATATCTATTGAAAAAAAAAATTTTTTTACGGTTACAAAAGAAAAACAAAGTAGAAAAAGAGAAAAACAAACCACTTATACAAATTCAAAATAGGAAAGAAAAAAACAAAAAACAAAAAACAAAAATACACCACAAACATTTAAAAACATTTAAAAACAAATCCATTATTCTCAACTCCTCAACTGTCATTACCCTCTTTCCTTGACCTCCTCCTCCTCCCCTTCCTTGTATCCTGTTTGTTAATTGTCACAGCAAATCCTTTCCATATTTCATAATATTCTGTCATTACATTACCTTAAACTATTTTAATCTTATCTTACTATAAAAAACCCCTCAAGACTTAAAACTTAAATCTTATTTTTACCAACTTCTCATAACCATAATATTCTTGCACAATTCTTTAAACATTTTTACTAAAGCCAAGTAATTTCATTCCAACATTTTTCTAACATTCATCAATTTTATAAAACAGTCCTAGTAGTGAAAAAAGAAATAAAAACAAATCCAATCTTCATCCAGCGTCCCTTCCTCCTGGTCCCGGGTTTTGTCAGTCCTTATTATCCCATCAATCTGGCGCATTAACCTGGTAATCTTATATCCGAGGCCCTTAAGTCCCTTCCATGTCCCTTCCGCGGCTCTTCTTCATATTTATAGCTGTATTTTCCTTTGTCTCCTGCTCCTTTCACTCGTGGGAACTCCAACTTAGCAATATTTTTGACCCTTCTCGACAGATCAGCCCCTTTTCCATAATCAACACTAAATTCCATGTGGTATTTAAAAACATGTTTCAGAATCCCTCCAAAATTAAGAGCCCCCACAATCCCAAACATCTCACGGCCCATTGCCAGACTTGAAAAGTCCAACTTTCATAGGAGGGTCTATCCAACCCCCATTTCCAAACCAAACCAAACTTTTTCTTTCCAAATCTGGCTTTTTCCAAGTTCATTTGTCAAATCCAAAGCTCATATTCCTGTAGGGCCTGTTCTGTCAAGACACACTCCTGATTTAATTCCTGGGTGGGCTCCACATATTTTCCCACTGCCTGTTCAAAATTTCCACTGCCTGTACAAAATTTCTAATCGAATCAGCCATCAAATTCGTCTTCTCATGTAACTGTTCCAGTAGGGCATTTGTTTTATAGAAAGCACACAACAGAGCTTCTGAATACATTGTCCTGAAGGTCAGATGTCTATTCCCACGATTGTAATCTGTAACAGGTGCCAGCTCCCAGGAGTTGGTTACAGTTTCACAGTCTCCCTCTAGGGGGAAAACTTCTGTTTAATCTTTCTTTTAAAGAGAAGTCTAGCAACAGAGTTTCCTTTTTTCAGATATTTTGTCAATATTTGTTTCTTTAAGGTGCAAAAGGGAACAATGGAATCACTATGTTCCTCTTCTTTTAGCTATCTGTCAAAAGCGCTTGTTTCTGGTCAATGAGCTTCAAACGTCAGTCCTGACACCCCGCTCCAGGATCAGGACGGTGGAAAGTTACTTTACTTTAAACTCACTTCTGCAGGTTTAAACAGTCCAAAAAAGATCCCCCTTCTTCTCCTGCTACCGAAGGGGGGTTCAACAATTTTATATGATGAAAGCCAATCCTTTAGAGGCGATTTTCTGAGCTCTAGTTTACGTTGTCTTTGCTTTATTCTGTCTACAAAGAAACGGAAGGCTGACTTCCTGTTTAGACCTTCCCGTTCAGTACCAAATTGAAGTAAAATTTTTAAGTCCAATTCCTTTCTGCTCGCAAGTCCTTATTTAAAGTCCAATTGTTCAAAGTTTAAGTACTCACGGGTGCTTATTTTAGAAGCCAATTTGTCCCAGGAAAAAGGCAGCGCTCTCCGGCAACAGCTGTGCAGCTTCACTCCATGGAAATAGCAGTTAACTCACAGCACCGCGCCACTTCCCCCTCTTCGCTTCGGAGCCCATTAGTGGGTTCCTTTGCGGGTTGGGGGGCGCTAAGGGTGCCCGCCGAGTCCCATGGTCACAGGCTTCATCCGCCTGTGATTTTTAAAAGGGTCCTCGCTTCGCCGTAGCGGAGAAGACCCATTTCGCGCGGAGCTAGTCCCTCCAATTCAGAGGGAGTCCGCCATTGCCGATGGCGCCACCCCGGAAGTCCATTCTGCCTTTCAATTCTAACCAGAAAGGATGCATATGCTTCCCGCTGAAAGTTCACTCCCAATTGCCAATAGGGCTTGTTAAGTGAACTGTGTTTTCTATGTTGATTTGAACTTTCATTCAGAAGCATTATGTACAGGCAGTCAATACTGAGCAGGATCAATGAGAATGCACTTAACTTCCAGGCAAAACCAACAAGAGGTAAGGATGACTTTAACAAGCCTTTAAGACCAAGTCTTATCCTTGGCCCTACGTCTGCATGGAACTCAATTTAAAGCCACGCTTTGATGCAGCCATATGCCTGGAGGTCAGTCAAGCTCTGCTTTGCTTCACAATTATAAACTTGATGTTGCACTTAATGAGAACTATAACTGATGGAAATATTAATTATAGATGCAAGCAGTCATAATGAGAGCTGCGCAATTCATACATGCAGACACATGCAATTTAGAGGAATGTAAAACCTTGACTGAGTTGGCGATTAAAAGATATACGTGCAGATATCTATTATGCCTGCCCATGACTGCAGCACAAAAGTGTTGAACAGGAGATCTTGCAAAGAATTTGGCATCCTGAGTGTTTCATATTTCATTTGTTTTTAAGTCAGACAGGCCTTTAGCCTCACGAATCCACAAGGAAATTTGACTGCATGCAGGGAGTGTCTGGGGAGACTTCAGACTCTGCAGGGAAGGAGGTTTCAACAGAATTTCAGGGATTAGTGTGAAATTTAGTGCTTTGAATATCTTCTTAATACTCCTCATGGACAACAAAAGAAAGTACATGATTCCAAACCAGTAGAAGTTATGGAAATTTCCTTTACTTTAATGTTACAGAATTATTTTTTGCATTTCACATTTAGTTAGAGTAGGGTTACTTTCATTTTGTAATTCAGAGTGTGCAAACATTAATCCTAAATGTCTAGCATGAAGTGAGTGAATTTTCTACTCAAAATAGCAACTATAAATCCTGGACTCTTCTGAAAGAAAGATGTGCCACTGGGTAATATATTAGGCCATCCTGAGACAAAAATCATGGTTCTGAAGACCAGCAGGAAACAGAAATGAAGCCTATTATCAAAGACCTTCAAATGTAGCACATTTTGATCGTGGAAAGTGTCTGGTTTAATATTGTAAGTTATTCCTGCATTGCAAGGGCGTTAGACTGAATGTGAGGAGATTTCACCCCTCCCATATCCAAGAATCTCCTGAGGAGTCTGCTGATTCTCCGGAGAGGAGGAGGCGTGTTCTGCTCTCTACTTATTCTGCTCCAGCACCGAGTCAGTCAGTCAGTCAGTGTCGGAGAGAGAGAGAGAGACTAAGTGTTAGAGATCGTGTGTAGAGATAAGGTTGCTGCTAAGAGCAGCTGCAGACACTCAGTGCAGTGCAGCATTCATTTATGCTTAGACCTATTAAGCTCTGTATATAGTTGTATAATAGTTGTAGATAGAATAAAGAAGATATTCTACAGAGCTGCTCTCCGAGTTGTTTATATACTCTGCTAGAGTCTGCTGTACTCTGCTGTGCGACGACTGTCTTCTTGTTGGAGTGAATCCGGTGCTCACAACACTAAGCTGTGAGTCCACAGCACTTTGACCTGTTCCTGTGTAGAAGGTGGTCTCTGGAAGTGCTACCCCAGCTCGCCTGGCCCACTCGGGGCTGAAGTGGATGAGTCCAGTTGGTGGCACTGGCTCAAGGGCGATGCTGACAGAATGACCCTTTGGGTCCCTTCCCACTTTACAATTTTGTAATTTGCACTTGGAATCAAACTTCGCACGTCTAGGAATTTCCAGATCTTGAATAATCTTGAATAATCTTAAATTTCAGATCAATGTTTTATTCACTGGGTAGGTGGGTGTGTAGGTGTTTTGCCATTATGAATTGAGATGATTGACAAGTCAGCTGCTCCGCCCACCTGTCACATTTGGCCTATCAGAGGTAAGGGAGATAAAGATATGGCCTGCTGACTAGATCCAGTTCTTCACACCTGTTGTTGTTCAACAACGTATGGGGACATATGTTCACTCTGCTAATGGCTCTGTATAGTTAGCCAGGACAACCATCACTCAGATTTTGTGTATGTGGTTAAAAGTGTGAGGAGCAGGAGGGGAAAAGTGAATTTGAAATTGCCTTTGGAATGAACCAAGAAAAGAGGAAATATATTTTCATCATGCGGCAAGGCAAAAGCCCAACGGGGAAAGGTAATTAATGGAAACAAATGTCTCTGCTTGAGGCTTTGACACCAGCATATATATATATATATCCATGAAAGGTGAGAATTGGAACATCAAAATAGAAATTACGCCACAGGGGACTTTTGCAAAGTGACAGAAGCCTTAATGAACACAAATAAGTTTTGAAGTGGAAAAGGGAGCGGGGGAAAGAGACTAAACAAAAATTAAAAAATGAAACTTTAATCACTGCTGTTTGAAATTGATAATAATAGAGTAAGTCTGCACATTTCTTTCTTAACCACCAAACCATACATATACCTGTAGTCACATGCAAGCCATCAAACCAGGAACAGGGCGACCAGGGTTCAAATTCCAACTCACAACCATGAAGCTCACCTGGTAATCCAGGGCCAATCTTCCTCTTTGCCTGCATACAGACTGGGACATTATGTCACAAATGGGTTGTTCAGATCTGATTTGTCTGTGTGGGTGATTAGCACATAGGAGTCTGCACACTCCCATTTTTTCCAGCCGCCATATTTATTTCTGTTCCACAGCTTGCTATCTGCACCAGTAGGCAGAATTGGACAGGAAAAAGACTTCTGTGTGTTTGCTGATATTTTTTGCCCCCTCCCTCTACCACTCCACACTAGTTAGCTCAGAATTAAACTGCAGTTTGTTGATACCTGGCATCTACAACAGGATTCTGAATGAGGGCTGCCCAGTGCAGAATCTTGTGCAGTTATTACTTCTGGTGATTTGGAATCTATCTGCATTTCCATACAACCTGTTTGTTGGGGATTCATCCTGATTTGTTTTCAGGGAGAGTAGACAACGTTGGCTATTTAATTAGCATTTGTTTTGATTTGTTGGCAAGCAAGTTGGATGATGTAGCATCCAAGCAAGTGTCATCCTGCATTTCTCCCTTATTTACCTGATCACAAAAAGCCTGAATTAGAGGAAGAGGGCTTGTTGCTCAATCAACTATAAATGTGCAACATGGATTTGCCAGTATGTGATTGAATTCCACCTGCAAAATTGGAGTTTTGGAGGGAGTGCTGGGAGAGGGTTGTGGAGTGGATTGGGATTGAGGTTGGGAGGATAGGTAGGAAGATAGGGAGTGAGAGCTGGTTCTGAGTAGAAACATCCACTGTGGAAAATATCACAAGCTTGAGAAAGGAGTCTCTGAGCTTAGGGTGAAGGACAGTGTGTGGTGTCCTGTAAGAGTAATTAGGCCAGGAATTAACTGGGAGGCTGAGGTTGAGACAGGAGAAGTAGAAGCTGTAAAGAGACAGTCTACTTAGGTCTCATTCCAGTCAGGAGGGGAGAGATGTATGATGTGAAACACAAGAGCAGTCAAGTACAACATTCCTAGAGTGAACATGTTTGCACATGGGGAGGAATGTTTGTCCAGCCAGCAGGTAAACTTCCTGTTCCCTTCTGGGCTGGGACAGACTTCCTCTGCATGTGACTAGAGGTGGGTGTGGCCTCACCTGTGCAGGTAATGACAAAAGCACAGGGCAGGGCAGCCATCTCTCTCTCTTTCACCACATGCATTGAAGAAACATCTACTAAGCCAAAGATGCCTTCTTGGCTTCCAGCCAAGAGAGGACAAAGGGACTGTCTTCTTATGAGATAGATTCCAAGTGTATGTTACTTCATTAAGCTAAGTCTGCCTTCTGGGATCTGATTGTGAACAGAATGTGAGTAAACTCTTTTTATACTTTTGTAAAAGACTGTCGTCTCTTATATTTTATGAGGGAATAAGGGGGAAATACCAGAACAGTTATTATAGAGGCTTCAGCGAGCCTGAGCAAACGCATCCGTTGCAAAGTTTAAAATAAGGGGAATGTTACTCTGCTGAAATTGTGGAACTTGTTAACACAAGTTGGATAAGGATATAATCAGACAATATATCCTCTCCTGCATCCCTGAACATTCCCACAAGGGATTCTTCTAATAAGAGAAGCAGTGAAACCTTGGGTCCATTACTTGGAGTACTGCAGGAGTAGGATTGTCTAAGGGGTGTGTCACTGACAGAAAGTACCACCTTGTTAAGAACCAAAACATTAAGTTAAGAACCAAGGTATTAAGTGTGAAACAACTGAGAAAACCTTGAAGTGAAATAAGTATCCTAAGTTTTATCCACTCGTGTCTCAAACCTCCTTGTTAAATAAAACTGTTATTGTCAATTTAAACAACAAAAAAGAATTCCACCTGCAAATAGCAACAATCTGAAGATGCCCTGAGGTTCTATTACCACAGCCTAAAGTTTTCTGAGCCTCACTTGCCCCCAATTGTTTCAAGAACTGACTTTAAAAAACAAAAAAAAAGCCTTCCCTCTCGCAAAGCCAGGAGCGTTGTTGTTCTGCTTCATCAGCAGAATCAAACATTTCCATTTCCTTTTTAAAAGCTCCAAAGACTTGAGCATTTTGCTAGCTGTCAACAGATGAGCACTGCAGTCGGAGCGAGCTGCAGAACTGGTGCACTTGACCCAGTCAAATGTTACGGCGTCAGGGGTCGAGAAATAACCACAGCAACTGACTCGGTGCCAAAGCAGGGGGGTGAGGATAACAGCTGGACTAATAAAGCGAAAGATCTCTACAGTGTAACAAGGGTCCAAGCGTTGTCGCTTTGCATGGTGTATAACTCAGATGGCATTTCGGAGGCACCCACCGTGAGCTGTTGCTTCAGGGCACTGGGTTAACATGCATCAGTGCTGGTGGAAACATCTTGGGGACCCGTGCGAATTGCTTTTTGCCTTAGGGCTGGGAAAAGATGCTGTATTTAAGCGGAAAGCAGGAACTGTGGCTGTAACTTGAATTCAGTGAAGCTTTCGACAAATTCCCCCATGATATTCTGGCAGAGAAGCTGGCCAAATGTGGGCTAAAGAATGCTACTGTTATGTGGATTTGTAGCGCTTTTACTAAACAAACCAGAATGCTCGCCAATGATTCCTTTGCCCTCCTGGGGAAAAAGTGGAAAGTGGGATGCTGTAGGGTTACGTCCTGGGCCTAGTCTTGCTCAGCATCTTTTCTATGCCAGTGTGGTGTAGTGGTTAAGAGCAGTAGTCTCGTAATCTGGTGAACCGGGTTCGCTTCCCCGCTTCTCCACATGCAGCTGCTGGGTGACCTTGGGCTAGTCACACTTCTCTGAAGTCTCTCAGCCCCACTCACCTCACGGAGAGTTTGTTGTGGGGGAGGAAGGGAAAGGAGAATGCTAGCCGCTTTGAGACTCCTTAGGGTAGTGATAAAGCGGGATATCAAATCCAACCTCCTCCTCCTCCTCCTCCTCCTCTTCTTCTTCTTCTTCTTCTTCTTCTTCTTCTTCTTCTGATAATAATATATTATTCTCTCAGAACCTCCAAGTGTCCCTGATTTAGAGAAGCTGTCCCAGTTTCTGATTTGATCCCACAATGTCTGACTTTGCCTTAGGATGTCCCTATTTTCAATGGAAAAATGTTTCAGGGTATGGAGTTATTTGAACCCTGAGCTGTCTGAAGGCAGGCCTGTACAGGGAAGGTTTTTTTTTTAAATGTTTAATGTTTTATTGCGTTTTTATATATGTTGCAAGCTGCTCAGAGTGGCTGGGGCAACCCCATAAGATGTGTGGGGTATAAATTATCATTATGGAAGGGGATGTTCTTATTTTCATCAGAGAAATGTTGGAGGGTATGTTCTCTTGCTAATTGTGCTGTTTTATATTTGACTTCCTTTAGTAATGCTTTATTTTGAAATCTTTTAGTTAATATTTTAGTTTCCTGTTAACTATGTTGCTTTAAATGTATACATTAAATATCACATTATATTATATATACATTCTTCAGCAATGTTTTATTCTGGATTCTTTTATTTGATGTTTTAAGGTAGGTTGTAAACCATTTTGAGGTGTCCCCCTCCAAAAAATGTTAAGAAGTATAGAAATGAAATAAATAATAATAATAATTTTCAGATGACACCAAACTAGGAGGGGTATGTAATATCTCAGAATATAGAATCAGGATTCAAAATGACCGTAACAGATTGGAGAAGTGGGCCATGCCAACAAGATATAAGCTTTTCTACACAGGAATAGGCAGGAATAATCAGATGCACAAATATGGGACACCTGACTTGACTTTTGGAGTGATGCTTCATTTGAAGAATGCCAGCTCCCGGAAGTCTCTTAGGACTGCGAGTCTGGTTATAAATTAGACACAAAGGTGAGAACATCATGATATATGTGGGCTGTTGTATGAAATGGCATTGACTCCTGAGGCTTTCAAACGTATGTTTGTCTTCATTTCCTGCTTGTGTGATTTACGGAAGCATCTGTTTTTGAAGACAGGCCAAAATGAGCCCTGGGTATGATGCAGCAGACCCCTGTTTACATACTTAGCTGAGATAGTAAAGGCAAAGAAGGCACTTCGCTGGGTACTTGTGGGCTCATTCAGAAAGAATGAAAGCTATGTGTTCCACAAATTGCAATCAATGGGTTTTTTTCAGGATGTGTGCATGGGTTGCTTTTATTTTATTTTTATTATTTATTTATTATTATTAACTGAGATGCAGGTGGCACTGTGGTCTAGACCACTGAGCCTTTGGGGCTTGACAATCAGAAGGTCGGCGGTTCGAATCCATGCGAGGGGCTGAGCTCCCATTGCTCTGTCCCAGCTCCTGCCAAGCTAGCTGTTCAAAAGCACGCCAGTGCAAGTAGATAAATAGGTACCACTGTGGCAGGAAGGTAAATGGTGTTTCCATGCGCTCTGGCTTTCGTCATGGTGTTCCGTTTCACCAGAAGCGGTTTACTCCTGCTGGCCACATGACCCGGAAAGCTGTCTGTGGACAAACACCAGCTCCCTTGGCCTGAAAGTGAAATGAGCGCCACAACCCCATAGTCACCCTTGACTGGACTTAGCCATCCAGGGGTCCTTTACCTTTACCTTTTACCTATTATTATTATTATTAGTCACAGAGTAAGCCGGTCAGTCAATCACACAGTTCAAAGCTGGAGTCAACATTTTATTAGCTAAATATGATCTTCACAAGCTTGGCTGAGTTCCAGGCCTAGTGAGCACAGCTGCTCAAGCCCTATAGGTCTTACTCTATGAACCAGGTTGCCGGGACTAAAATCTCCACCTCCTCAAAGCTGCCTATATCTCCTCTTCTCCTGGTCTTCTTCCAAGCAATCAGAGACTGTGTCTGCATGCCACCTGTCTTTGCTCCTCCTGTTTCATACCTCTCTTGGTTCTGGGGGACAAGGAGGGAGAGGAGCCTGTTGCAGCAGGAGGGGAGACACCTGTAACTCTTCACCAGCCTGACTCATCTCTGCCTCTTGGCTTTCCTCATCCAACTCATCTGCTTCAGATTCTGCCTCTGATTTTGGACTTCTCTTTGCCACAGACTCTCCCAACTCACTAAGTCCTATTACCCCTTCAGCTTCCAACACCTCCTCTTCCCAGGCTTCTCCCTCTTCTCCCTGTGATCACGCATTGTTGTCCCACCATCGCTCCCTGGGCTCTGAGACTTCTTCCCTTGGTGGTTCCCCAGCAGGTTCCTCCAACCATGCCTTTGTGTCCAGCCAGTATGTAACATTTAAGAAATTTCTTCATCTCTAGATCTCAAGGTGGTTCATAGCATAAAAATACAATGAAAAAAAAACGCACAAAATGCATAATAAAGACAAGAACAATGGGTTAAGAGAGGGAGAGGTGAACACAAGGGTGGACAACATAGTTTCCGACAGCTGCTTTTGGAGAACAGTTTTCATCAGTCCCCACTAGAATGGTGAAAGACCAGTTATGGTGGGAATTGCAGTCCAATGACATCTGAAAGGAACACATTGGCCATCCCTGGGTTAACAAGTACCACACTAGCTATTTTCTATATATAACTCTGGTCTCCTTCATGGATCACAGCCTTTTCATGGTGAAGGGGCTTGAATAACTCAGAGAAGCTATGAGCTATGCTGTGCAGGGCCACACAAGATGGACAGGTCATAGTGGAGAGTTTTGACCAAACGTGATCTACCTGGAACAGGAACTAGCAAGCCACTCCAGTATCCCTGCCAAGAAAACTCCATGGACAAAGACAACAGGCATATAAAAGTTATGAAGCTGGACAAGATGGTTGGACAGTGCTCCTGAAGCTTCTAACATGAGTTTGACCAAACTGCAGGAGGCAGTGGAAGACAGGAGTGCCTGGCGTGCTCTGGTCCATGGGGTCACGAAGAGTCAGACACGACTAAACGACTAAACAAACAAACAAAATAACTCTGGTAATTTTGGTTACTGTAACTGGTCCATTTACGGTATATGAATCCTTCCTTTTGCTGGCTATTTTGTTGCTGTTCCATTCCAAGGTCAAGGAGAGGGGATGAGAAATCTGTGTTAGTAGAGACAGCTATGCATGGCTGCTGCTGTGATTAAGAGTCCAGAAGGCAGCACAAGCATAGCCCACAGGCTGTATTGTTCTCTGGGCTCATAAATCACAGCTCTCGCTGCAGCCATCGTCGTGCTGAGACCAAGAACTCAAGTTGTGCCTCTGGCCTGTTCTAATTTGTGTCTGTGGCATCACTGATGGTAAAATCCATCAGTTTCATACCCAAACGGACTAGGTAAGTAAAATATGGTTGTGTTTGTTTTCAGTACTATTGAAAACCATCCAAGCAAGGAGGGAAAGGAGAATGATGATGCTGTGCCCTAAAAAGTTTTCACTAAAAAATCTGAAAAAACTAAACTTGGGAGCCAGACATTGGCCTGAGGCTAAAATCCTGTGCAGACATACCTGAGTGTAAGCCCCACTGCAGAATGTGGAACTTATTTCTGAGTAAGCATGTACTGGGTTTTATTTATTTATTTTATTTTTAAATACTACGATTCTGTTTTTATCCCAGTTTTCCTCCAAGGAACTCAAAGCAGCATGCATTGCTTCCCCCCTTCTCAAGCTTTGTCCTCAAAACAACCCTGTGAGGTAGGTTGGGATGAGAGGCGGTGACTGGCCCAAAGTCACCCAATGCGCTTTATGACCAAGTGAGAATTTGAACCCAGCTCTCATGGGCCCAGCAGTCTAACCACTATATCACAGTGCCTCTCTGTGCTGCATTAGGCCTGTAAAACTCTACCCCTGAGACCTGTGAGTATAGGGTGGTATATTATTATTATTATTATTATTATTATTATTATTATTATTACCACCCCTGTGCACCTTCTAGGTTTGTCAGATGCTTTGAATAAACTCCTGTTTCTCTTTAATATATTAAAATTGAGCATGCTGTCATTATTTTATTATGCTTCATTTCTTGAATGGTTGTTCATCAGATACAGAAAGCTGACAATGCAGGTGATTAATAGATATTTGTTTACTAATACACACTAATACACATTTGTTTTGAATTGCTGCATGGAAAGTGCTTTGCCTGTCTGTACATCTGCCCTTTGTTCTCTAAAGGTTTGGCTGCCTCTTGAGATATTGGTCGCCAGACTTGACTGGAGGGTTCCTGAGATGGGGAGTGGCAGACTTCATTGCCATTTGGATGCTAGCTGCCATTTTGAATCAAGATGGTGGACTGAAAGGTTACATCACAATGTTTTCCAGTTTCTAAAAATTCCTGGGCAGCTCTGGGCACTCCCCACTAGTATTTAAGAAACCTGAATTGTATCACTTGTCCCTTTTGTGGCCTGGAGATCCACGCTTGCTCACACAATTTGCAGTAGCCCAGTAAACTATCACACAGACCACATTCACACATTCATATAAAGCACTATGATACCCCTTTAAACAGTCACAGCTTCCACCAAAGAATTCTGGGAGCTGTAGTTTGTTAAGAGTGCTAAGAGTTGTTTAAAAGGTAAAGGTAAAGGACCCCTGACAGTTAAGTCCAGTGAATGACTCTGGGGTTGTGGTGCTCATCTCGCTTTACTGGCCGAGGGAGCCGGCATACAGCCTCCGGGTCATGTGGCCAGCATGACCAAGCTGCTTCTGGCGAACCAGAGCAGCACATGGAAATGCTGTTTACCTTCCTGCTGGAGTGGTACCTATTTATCTACTTGCATTTTTGGCATGCTTTTGAACTGCTAGGTTGGCAGGAGCTGGGACTGAGCATTGGGAGCTCACCCTGTCATGGGGATTCGAACCGCCAACCTTCTGATTGGCAAGCCCAAGGCTCAGTGGTTTACACCACAGTGCCACCCACGTCTTGAGTGTTGTTAGGAGACCCCTATTCCCTTCAGTGAGCTACACTTCCCAGAGTTCCATGGGAAGAGGATTTTACTGTTAAACCACACTGGGAACTGACGATTGAGAAGAATGCAAAGAACACCACCTTTTCCTGCTTTCTAGGTTGGTGATTTTGCCCATGCATGTAAGAAAAGGACACAAAGATTTGGGAGGTGACCGGGGCTAAAAATGGCACAAGGCAATGGGATGTCAAGTCATGGGTGCCCAGTTATTGGGCCCACTGCCTCCAGCCTTGCAGTGTTAGGCCACCTCCTGGCATTCTGGACATTGCACTCCAGAAGTGGTCCTAAAGGAATCAATGGGGGGAGATATTGCCCCAGGGATTCTTGTCATCCTTAAGCAGACACTGAACATGCCCTACAGGGAAAGCTAACTAGGAAAGCGCTTTGCAATAAAGTGCCGAGATTGAAAATGCAATTAAGTTGAATCTAAATGGACAGAGCTTCTAATCGACACATTAAGGATTCCCAAATGAGTTCATTATGAATGCCTCGCCCGATAATGCAATAACGGGGGAGAAGGGGCAATTACATTTTGGAAAGGGCAAAGGTGGAGGAGGTAAAGATGAACTCAGTGCAGAAATGCTGAAACTCAAGCGGAGCGTCTGCTAATGTCCCTTCCCCCTACTTTCTCTCTTGGCTTTGTTGTGCTTTTGTTCCCGCATCTCCAATATGCAGGATGGCAAAGGAACTGCTGACACTGGCAGCTTTGATGCCCATCTTCAACTCAGCAGGCTGCACCGCATTATACAAGGAGTCACACTGTGCCAGCCCCATGTTTCCCAGCCAACAACCCAGAGGCAGATGGCAACAAGGACCAAATCTGCTCGCATTGCTCCAACTGGCACCCCCCCCGTCCCCCACCCCTAGTGTGCTTTTCTGCAGGGAGAATTGCAGCTCTGCTTTAAACAACGAAAAAGGAAGGAAGGAAAGCAGGCTATCTTGGAGATGATAGAACATCAGGAGAAAGAGATGTTGCGTCAAGAACAGGACCTTGCACCAAGCCAGGACCTTGGGCTTTAAGGAGCATGTAGATGGTCCATCTGGACTGGACACAGCTGGGCTGTAAATGTCATTTATTTATTCCGTGTATTTCAAGAATTTGTATTCCACTCATCAGCCCACCTGAAAAAGGCTGCAGGAGCAGCTTGCAAATAGAATTGACAAGATAGTCCCAGCCTATAGGCGTATATGTATTAAAAGACATGACACAAAATGACTGTTATCTCACCAGCCCTAAATTAGGAGGCCATTATTGTACCAAGCACTGATTGACAGCACAATCCATTGTATGTTTGCTCAGGAGTAAATGCTGCTGAGGAGGGCTGTGGACCAGATCCAACTGAATCCCGAGCCAAATCAGGCTGATTCAGGGTGGATCCAGAGTTTGCCCAAGTCCACAGCTCAGGATCTCTTTGTGTTGGGAGTAACCACAGGCTGTCAAGGGTGTCTAGTGGAGAAGAGAGGTAGGCAGCCCCTTGTGAAGCAGCACCCAGCAGTAATGAACCCGACTACTCACAGTGCAGTCAGAAGGAGGGGAATGATACAACAACTCATGCCTCCACTCCCTCTAAACATCCAAACCCTAAAAAATAGGGTTTAAAAAAACCCTAATTAAACATTAGTCTCACTCATCCTCAAATTCGTTCAGGGTCAGATCCTGTCCAGGTGTCTCCTGGGCCACTCTGAGCGAAGGCACCCAGCTTAGGTAGCAGAAACCATGCACAGTCCTGCTGTGGATTTCAACAGAATGAATTCCCAACTATGGGCAGATCTACACTCATGGTTTATAATGTTAAAGAAGGCTTATGGATTGGTTCTGCTTTCAATGTTCTTAATGCATTATTAAAATATGACATCAGAAGGCGCTGCAGAACAACCAACAACCAGAAGCAGGGAGACAGAAAGAAACCAAGGTAACACACACACACACACACACACACACACACACACCAGGTTAATTTGCAACTATGCCCTGTGACGTTTTAGAACAATATATCTAATATTGTCCTAATAACGTTAAAGGGGTCAGTAGATCCAGTCTATATCTTATAAAAATGGCAGCCTAGCTTAAGCTGCCAGTGGTGGTGGTGGAAAGATGAACCACCTTCTACATCAGCTCCAAGTTTTAAGCCAGCTCTGTCTACCCACAAACCTGCCACTCTCCAGATTTTGCTGCACTACAGTTCCCATCATCCTTGACCACTGACCATCCTGGATGGGGCTGATGGGAATTGGAACTCAGAACAAGTCACTAGGTTGGGGAAGGCTGGAATACATAACTGAGAGCAAGTGTCGTGTGCAGTAAACAGCTTTAGCAGGGGATGTGATTGAGTCATCCTTACATCAGCTAGAATTTAGGGCAAATTTTGAGGGACTGAATGGAGAAGGATCTTTTCCAGACAACAACAGAAACTTATCAGACTCCTTTGTGTTCTCGTCTAAGGCAGTGAAGGGGAAGAGGAGGGAGGAGGAGGATAAAAGGCTTATTTCTTCATGGTAGTAGGGGAGAAGTGGGAAGGGATTAAGTCGTGGCAGCAGGAGGGAGCAAACTAAGAGAAGACACTCTGGTTGCTGTGATTCGGGGGAGTTGACTTTACTGGCAACTTAGTGTTGCCATTAAAATCTATTGGACATTTTATAACAAATAAAACTATTCAGTATCACTCAGCTTATTTAAAGGGTCTAATATTTCTAGTATCTGGTATTTTGTGAGAGGGCGAAAAAGTTCCTTTCCATTCAATTCCCGTATTCAGTTTCCCCACATCACATATTCCATGGGATGCAATTATCAGCAAAAAGGAATTTGTGGCCACACAAAGGAGCTTCGAAGGGGCTTGTCCAGAGATGGTCGAAGAGCTTTCAGCACCTTGGAGAGCAATTGGGAGAAGATGCTCTTATGCAGAGTGGGACTGGGTAGCGGTAGAAAGAAGGGCTTCAATTTGAACACTGAAGGATATTGTAGAAAGTAAGCAATACTAAAACATGTTCAGAAATGGGTCACATAAACACGGAAATGGACATTGGGATGACTGGTTGGAAACTAGTTTTTATTCTAGAACAAGGATGAGGAGAGGGAATAACCTAAAGGATAAAAAAAAATTGCCACTCTTTACAGGACCACAATTAACAACTGCTTTGAGGTTTTATTACAATCAAGTGGTATATAAATTTTCATAAATAAATAAATAAATAAATAAATAAATGCCTAACTACATGAGTTTTAGGTGTTTTATAGCTCCACCATGGAATTTATTTATGTACATCATCATAGGATAAACAAGCAGACATTCACTGGGGTAACATGGTCCATGCTGTTGGGTGGCATTTTCCTCACCCCAGTCTTTTCTAGAGATTTATGCTATATTTCCACCACCCCTTCCCTTATTCAAGACAGTTCTCTCCCCTAGGGACAAAAGGCTGTACCTTTGTTAATGTGGGGGTGGGCAGAAAAGCCCTTCCACCACCAATGACTTCTGAGGTAACGGACAAATGGCATCTTCCTGCTCCACACTGCACCTAGCCCCTATTATTTCTGGGAACACCTTTGACTGTCCGGCTGAACTAGGTGGGTCTCAAGCCCTCAGTGAGTTGGGACTTCCTTTGCAAGTGAAGACAGGCTCTGGTGGATTGAGCAGAAGAGACCAGTAGTGGGTCCAACAGCCAAGAAGGTGATTTCTGCACATGCTATAGAAGGAAGTGAGGGGTAGCTTCCTATGTTCCTAATCACCCAACCACTTTAAAAAAATAAAATAAAACAACTCGGGGCTAAATATGCACATGCATACCAGGTCCCTTGCCCTTCCTGCCCTCTTGTCAAGGAGTCCCCTGAGAAGAAGTCAACTGAGGTGCTGGTGGGGGAAGTGGCTCATTACATCATTGCATGGGTTGGATTAAAGGTGTCATTTATGAGTCCCTCCAACACATTTATCCCATGGACCAAATCTCAAACGTCATACAAATTCCTTTCCCCTTGGGAAAGGGAGAAGTTGCAACCATGTAATTAAAAATAGAAAATGACCATCCTCTGCCTTAGGAAGGACTAGAATACTTTAGCACCCCCTAATGTCTCAGTGTGGTGTTGAACACTTCTTGGCTATTGTTTCTCTTGCTGCTGTCAAATAATTGAGGACTAAACTAGACATGGAATTATTTGTGTCTTTGCACTATCTTAACATGCATTATTTTTTAACAAAGCAAATTTGATTTGATCCTGGAATTTCCCGCTTTTCCATAAAATGTCCCTATTTTCATTGGAGAAATGTTGGAGGGTATGGAATAGGACATCCTTATTTTCATGAGAGAAATATTGGAAGGGATGCAAGGGAGCAAGGTCAGAGGGGGCAGAAAAACAGTGCCTCTCCACTCTGGCTTGAAGTGGCTAGGAGACCGTATGCCTGTCCACATGTCCCCTGGGCTGCTCCTCCTCTCCCCTTGCAGGGTCACTGATGCAAGTGAACCTATGTAAGTCTCTGCTCAAGGGTCATCTAGTCCAACCCCCTGCAATGCAAGAATCTCAGCTAAAGCACCCTTGACAGATGATCACCCAACCTCTGCTTTAAAAGCCCCAAGGAAGGAGAGTACACCACCTCCCATGGGAGTCTGCTCCACTGTCAAACAGCTCTTACCTTCAGAAAGTTCCTCCTGAGGTTTAATTGGAATCTCATTTCTTGTAACTTGAATCCATTGGTTTGGGTCCTACCCTCCAGAGCAGGAAAGAAAACAAGCTTGCTCCAACAACCATGTGAGATATGGCCCCCATCTTATATTAGTGGAGCTGGTCATCCCTGCCTACTGTAAGTGCAAAACATTACATTTAACCTTACTGAAATTCATTTTCTTAGTTTTGGCCCAGTTCTCCAATCTATTAAGGCCATCTTCAATTCTGATTCTGGTTTCTGCAGAATTGGCCACCCCTCCCAGTTTGGTGCCATCTGCAAATTGGATGAACATCCCCTCCCTCTTTTTTGCTAGTCACCCTTTCTGGGGGCTGATTAGGAATTTTGGGGGAAGCCCTTGATTGGCTCTTAGGACCTTCTTCTTCTTCTTCTTCTTCTTCTTCTTCTTCTTCTTCTTCTTCTTCTTCTTCTCTTCCTTAGTGAATGCTAGACAGCCATGTATGTCAGTGCAAGCTCACCTCCCTGTGTTTACATAATTTGATGATTGCTTGGGAGGTCTTCTAATATTATAGTTGAATAAATAAGGCCTTTCCACCATGACTCTGCCTTCTGAGTCTTTTCCCCTGGTGAGCTGTTGAAAAACAGCTCACGTGAGGACTTTTGTAGCAGTGCAGTCCCAACGCAAATGCCACTATTATCGGAGAAAAACATTGCAGGCTATCCCTGACACAATGGGGGCTGCACTGAGATGCAAACCAATGTTGATTTCATTTACTTTAACTGAGGATGAGAACAACAACCAAGTGGAGCAGAGAGGAACCACAGACAATGTAAAGCTGCAGAGAATTGATTAAGGAAGCATGGCAGAGGGAATTAACCTCCAGAGTAAACAAGCCGTGCTGGGATTAAACAAGCCTTATTAATAATGTGAACTTTTATGAAAGCTGAAAAGTTCTTAATTAAGGAAACAGTGGAGCATCCTCCTTCAGCAAATAAGTATCCACTGGAGATACAAGGATAATAGAAAAATAAGGAAAGCTGAACTCTGAACAGGGCACAAATGAAATGCTGAAATGTGTTCCCAAATCTCTCCATCATTAAAGGTGTAGGGATGTGCATAGATGCTAGGAGAGGATATATTTTTTAGAGATTACTCTAACGTCCTCACGTTTGTGAGTTCAGCAGAGTTCATCCCTAGATGCATTAGCTTTTTTTGCTACTGCATCACACTGTTGACTCATGTTAAGCTTATGGTCTCCTAAGAGGACAAGCCTATGAAGATCTGTTCATCACAATGACTATATGACTCTCCTGTTACAAAAGACAGCATTCCTCTGAATACCAGCTTCTTGGAGCTCAATGCCCTGCATATTGAAGTCCCAGACTGAACTCTCATTGGCCACTGTGGGGAACATCCATGAGCTCTGGCCTTGCTAGCTAGGGGTGGTGGGAGTTGAGGTCCAACAACATCTGGGGACCCACAGGTTGAGAAAGGCTGGTCTATGGGATAAGATCCTAATGAACATTTCTCTTCCTTTGGCCTGCAAATGATGGTAATATAGCATGCATCTCCGTGAATGTGACACTGTTAGGTTATTCATCTTTCCTGATGGTATTCAAAGTATCCCCCCATTGTGGAACAGGATGAGCTGAAGAGCTCCTACTCTTAAGTGCTCTTTGTGCAGAAGGCGCTCTCGTTTCATCATGCTGATAGTTTCTGAGCGTCTCATCGTTTTGCTCCTGGCTCACTTCAAGGGGAGGAAAGGGAGCCATTGACGTTTTAAAATAGCAAGGGAGGAAGAAAAGGGTGTCAAAGAGATGATGGAAGCAGCTGAGTGGCAGTGGGGGGGGGGGACTTCTGGAATGCAATGTATGTTGAACCTGAAAAGGAAAGGAAAAGAATGAAATGCTGATGAGATTTTTTATATCTATAATTCTTGTGTGAAAAGGAACAGCGGAAATGGCATGATGGCTCTTTGAGGCTAAGTTTGGAAGGGAACTGAGAGAAAAGAGAGTAAATCTGGGACACTGGGGTGGGGTAGGGGGAATAACTCAACAAAAACCAGGTCAGTTCCAGTCCTATCAAGTAGAGGCCAGTCAAGAAGTTTGGCCAGTGGTGAGAGGTGTAAGGAATCCATGCATTACTACTGAGGTCATTTCCAGATAGGGTTGCAAGATCAGTAACATGCCAGACTCTGAGATGTTGGGGCCCAAACCTAAGACCTAGGGTCAGTCCCTGGTGATGTCATGGGCCCCAAAGAGGTTGTGCAATAATTTGCACAGACAAAGGTTAATTGGGAGGGAGAAAGAGGAAGGGGATGTGGTCATACGCATCCCAGAGAGTCAATGCAATAATAATTTGCAGCTGGCTCCTGCTGGGCTGAAGCTTCAAGCTTGTTTTTTGTGTGCTCTCACTTACCTGGAGATTCAAGTCCCTCCTCCCTCCCCTTCCCCCCCCCCCCAGCCACCTGGAGTGGGTCAAACAAAGCTGGAGACTTCAGGTCAGCCCTGTAGGGTCTGGCAACCCTATTTCCAGATGTCCTGCTAATTGAGCATTCACCAATATATATTTGCAGGGACGTTTTATGAGGTTGCATCAAGTGAGTGCTGTTGCACACGTTCCAGTGTGTTTTCTCACCAGCTTCGTTACTGCAAATCATATGATCCTTGGGGAAAGTGGACTTGCTGTGCAAGACCTTCTGATCCACCATAGGTGTGCGACCTTATTTGTCAGCATGCGACTGAATCCCACCCTCCAAAATAGCAACAGTCTGAAAGCCTTGCAGCTATGAAAGCACCTTTAGTGAAACACTAAGCCTGACGTTTCTTTCCTTCCTTACTCCTATAGCTATTTGGTTTGATATCTTAGATCAAAATACATTGGTCTACCATCACAACATGAATGATGAAGCCATCTAGACACAGGAAGCAGCTTTTGTGGGTTTCTAAGCCAATCAGCACAGCTGGACTCAGAAACAATCACTGCCAGTGAAATTCGGGACATCGGAGGGCAAAGAAAAAAGGGTTTTTCCTGGCCATCTTCCCATATGTTGGCTGAGGCATCAAAGCAAACCTCACAGGATGTGAGATGAATGCCAAATAATCAATGTAGTCTCATCACACAACTTCTTGTTTTGGATACACAAACATATTGTCCAAAGCTTTATCAAGAAGAATCCTTTCAGCAGGTGCCCCCATTCTTCTTCATGTCACCATGCCTTTAAGAGTCCAGTAACAGAGATGGATTTAGGGGAGCACAACCGGTTCGGGAGCACAACTCGGTTTGCCAAGCCACAGGAGGTGGTGGTGCCAAATTTTGGCATTGTATAGGACGCCACTGAAATTTTAAAGCCCAAAGTCCGCCACTTCCTGAAATAGGCAGTGGCTCAATAACGGAAGGTCTGTGTGTTCCTTGATATTTTGCTGTCATATAACCATTAAAAGGCCCATTAGCCCTGCCAGAAAGAACGAGTGAATAAATAAACGAAGGAGTGAGCTAAAACCCCTGCCCCGTGATTTGGGAGCCTGACACTTTAAGTGGCAACCCGCAGCGTAAATTGCTCCAGAGTAGTTAAAGGAAGCTCTGTGCAACTCACTCAAATTGTCAGCGGCTGCAGGTTGAGACTTTTCACCAGTGTGGACCAAAAGTTGAAATAAACAAGAGGGAACAAACACCACAGTTCAAGCGCAAGATAACCGAGAGAAGATTAGATTTTAATGTTGTGGCAGCACCTCAAGTTAATGTTCGCTCTGCGTAATGGTGCCATTAAGATATATAAGGCATGGTTATGTTCTCATCTTTCAACATCCAGGTCTTGTAGGCCTGAGGCAAAAGGACTCTGCAAACATTCAGGATGGAAGAAGGGAGGGAGAACAGTGGAAAGAAGCGTGCTTAATGGGCAGCCTGGGAAGGACAGCCAAATATTTCATTGGTGCTAGGCCTGTACCTCATGCTTCCTTCTGGCAGCGGTGGTGTGGGGATGAGTGTGAAGTGGGGGGAGGAGACTTCATTCCCCTCCCCATCACCAGTGGCAGCAGCAACAGGCAGCTCTTAGGATTAGGGTGAGCTGTGAGGGGAGGAGGGAGTTGGGGATGAACTGTGGAGAAGAGGGGACTTTGGGGTGAACAGTGAGAAGGGTGGATTGGCCACAACGTGCAGAGTTTGGCTGGTAGTCTGGGATGGGGGAGTTGAAGGAGCTATGAGGGGAGCAATGCAAGCAGGGATGGCAGCCCCTATTCCCTACCTGTCCATCTGTGTATCTATGTCAGTGGCTCCCAATTAACTCAATACTGTGGACCCCCTTGTTTCTCAAATTCCAAGCCACTGACCCCCTACTTTTGTAAATGTTGGTATCTCTGTGGTAGTCTTTATTATGTGAATGATGCCACCATACCCTGCAAAGGTACGGGCCCCCAAAGTGGAGTGTCGCAGACAGCTGGCAGGTACGTTTCATAGAACCCTTGGGTGGGGTCCACAGAGCCCCCAATTGGGAAGCACTGATCTAGATATTGGGCACATTTGGGTTTCTGCCTGAACACTCAAATTCTGTTTCTGTGGAGAGGGGCAGGATTGTGCAAGCAATTCCCATCCCGGACATTTGTCACACGCTCCATCCTGTGCCCCCCTACCCGCTACTCTTCCCAATGCTCTACAGGGAAGGCCTACAGGGGGCTTCTACTGACAACTTACTTGAGTGCAAGTAGGACACTTTAGGCGACCGGGAAGCCTACTTTATCAGTGTCCTTGATTGCCTAGAGAGTTCTACTTCAGTACAAAGCAACGCTAGCTCCTGAATGCAGACAAAAAAGTCTCCTTCCCCCCTCTCCCCCATTCTCCACTGGTGGTCCCCTCTAAGCTTACATGGCAGCAGGCAACACCAGCGGTGTAAAGGGAATGGAATGGCTGTGCCCAGCCAACATTTTAACTGCTTACAGTTTGTCCCGTATAGCATCTGTTTCGATCATGGTGGGGAATTAAAATAGCAGGCAGACCTAACTGCCTGGGCACTGCTCAGCATGCTGGATCAAAACTTGGTTTTAAAATTCATGAGCCGTAACCTGCTGGGACAGAGGACAGTTGCTGACATTGCCTACGTGGGTGACCTAAATAGAGATGCTGCAACCTCGTTTTGCCCCACAGATCCAGACACAGGCTACTTGCTTCCTGCTTCCTAATAGTAAGGGTTAAGCATGTTGCAGTTAGAAAGTCTCTATCACCCTCTGCAGAGCTTCTTCCCCAAAACATGGCAGTATTGCACAGTTGTTGTTGTTGTTGTTATTTAATATTATATATATTTACCGCTGAATGGCAAAATTGATTTCTATGTGATTTACAAGAATGAAAATCAATTAAACAAGCATTAAAATATAAACATTTATACTTACAATGTGTAATAAACAAATACATCTTCATCATCATCATAATCATCATCATCAACATTTTAACTTAAATGCCACTTAATGCCGATCAGAATTCTAAGTGTAAAACCAATTACAAGAAGCATTAGGATACAGGTATCCAGAATTATAATCTACATAAAAATAAAAATGCACGGCTTACTGCTAAGAGAGCAATCCTTTTCACAAGAAGCCAGAGTAAATCAATCTGGTGTAAAGTTGCACCAGAGTAGAGGCACTACTGCTGACGGAGGCAAAGAGAAGCCTGGCAAAAGGAAAACAACCCTTTAAAATAGTACTAGAGTTACACCATCCATTTTGTTGGGTTAGTTTACACTGGGGTGCCAGGTCACATGCTCAGCCTAAGTCCTGCCCCCCCAAGTCCTATGTCCCCAGAACTGTGTTGCCATATTTTGAAGAGCCAAAAAAAAAAGATGCTATGACGACTCTCATTTTAAATACCCCTACTATATGTAGTAGTGGCACTGTGGGTTAAACCACTGAGTCTAGGACTTGCTGATCAGAAGGTTGGGGTTTCAAATCCCCACAACAGGGTGAGCTCCCATTGCTCAGTCCCTGCTCCTGCCAACTTAGCAGTTCGAAAGCATGTCAAAGTGCAAGTAGATAAATAGGTACCGCTCCAGTGGGAAGGTAAACGGCGTTTCCGTGCACTGCTCTGGTTCACCAGAAGTGGCTTAGTCATGCTGGCCACATGACCCGGAAGCTGTATGCCGGCTCCCTCGGCCAATAAAGCAAGATGAGTGCCACAACCACAGTGTTGGCCACGACTGGACCAATTGGTCAGGGGTCCCTTTACCTTTACCTTTACTATATGTAGGCTGTAGAGGCTGTGGTATGTTGCTGAGGGGGGTAGGAGAAGATAAGATAAGAGGAAAGCAAGTCTTCAGCCAGCAGTTATGTCTATGTCTTCATACAGAAAGTATAGCCAGAGACATTTTGTCAAATTTTAAAAATCCACCCAAACAGAAATTTTACCTCTGAAAAAGAGGGTGTGTCCTGGAAAAAGAGGGCACATGGCAACCGTACCAGAATACCCTCTTCTCAGGGCTTACACCAGTTTCAGATCAGCCAGGTTTGGCTCAGCCAGCTGCATGCTGTATGGGTGCAAGGATGCAGGATTTAAGCCAGCATAGCCCAGCTGCACCATGGACCTCTCAGCTCAGCAAGAGATCATCTGGATCCTAACCAGCTCCTCCTGGTGGATCTTGCTAAGGGCTTGCTCCTTAGGTTGTTTGCAACAATAAAAACCAATTATACAAGCCTCAAGATATAAACATCTATGATTAAAACACACAATAAAACAATCTAATTAAAATATTAAAAAATACATCCATAATTAGAACATATGCAATGCAAATTCAGAGCCAATGCATAGGACACATTGCAATGAACCACATGAAAATGAGAAACATCTATCCAGCGGAGATAGGATCCTGGTGGCATCAGAGCCTGATTGCCTAGCATAGATCCTACCCTCCACAATCTGGATGATATGAGATCGTCAAAAGGTGGATTTAGGAACTTCAATTCAACATGAAAACACATCAGCATTTTAATATTCATTTCTTCTAAAGTACACATTTGTATGCAATTTCCCCCAATATGCACATTTTTTTGCAAAGCAATTTCGCCCAGTATAATGCATTTCCTCGTATAATGCATTTTTGGATGTCATTTTCATGAATGTGTGCATTTCTATGCATACTCAAATCCATAATAGATAGATAGATGATAGATAGATAGATGATAGATAGATAGATAGATAGATAGATAGATATATTGCATATGCATTATTTGAAGAAGTGTGAATTCCGAATGATGGCTGCCAAGTGTTGTTAGAGGAAATGCAAATCAGATATGCTTCCCTGTAAGTGCTAACTTCTCTCTCAGCTCTACTTACCCTACACATAGCTTTCTATCCCCTAAAAGAGGCAAAATACTCCCTGATCACAACAGGCCCTTCACTGCACACTTCAGGAGGTGGTTGCACCAATGGATTCCCTTCAAAGCTGCAGGAACAGTAATTTGAACCCCAGTCCAAGTTTACCAGCTGACCAAAGTTGGATGGGAGAGCCTTGAGGTTGTTCTGTCCTAGCCAGAGAGTCTTCAAGGCCTTTAAGGAACAGACTCCCCGTGGCAGATGCCTGAGAGAATTGAAAAGCAGCAGCAATGTTTCCAGTTTCTGCAGCTGCTGAATGGCATCTGGGATGGTGCTGATGTGGTTATCGGTAGCATCTAAGAAAACCAGGTTCCTCAGCTGACAAACAGGTGCAGGGAGCTCTGCCAGGCTGTTGTTTGCCAAATGGAGACTATGAAGTTTCTGGAGGCCTCCTATTTCCTCAGGCAGAGAGGTTATGCTGTTGTTGCTGAGGGTGAGTCTCTCCAGCTTGCCTAAGGAGCCTATCTCAGCAGGGACCTCTTTCAAGTTGTTGGAGTCCAGGTAGAGGAAGGCCAGGTTTTGCAAGTGGCCAATCTCACGAGGGACAAGATCCATCCTGTACCTCAGGCAGCTCTCTCGTTCCGGAGTCATCTCCAGAACTCTCAATCCTTGCAGTGCAAAGATCTGGCGAGGCACTGACATCAACTCTTTGCCTTCCAGTTTGAGCTTTTTCCCACCTTTGTACTGGGGATCGTGTTCTGTTGGAATTTCCATTGCTGGTCAGCATAGAGTAGGGGCAGAGGGAAGCTGCCGGCTAGTTTCATCCTCCTTCTTGGTAAAACAGGAGGAAAGGGGTCATGGTCCACAGTCAGCTGCTTTTGAGACTTCCCTCAGCCTGGCTCTCAGTCCACCTGAATTCCTCCTCGTTGTAAATACAGAGAGCTTTCAGGTTGCTCAGCTACATCTGGTAGGTAAACACTTGGGTCTCTGGAGAGCAAAAACTTCCTCATCTTTTGTGCGGCTCCTGACAGAAAGTACACAGCCCAGCCCACACTGTTTTCTTTACTTAAGCAAAGCCAACTTCCATTTCAATGTAAACTGAAACTACAGTTCTGTGCTATTGATTACCTTCACCATCTGTCAGTCCTCACCTGTTACAACCTGTTTTTCTTTTCTTTTGCAGTCGTACGTATTGCAGTCGCTTTCGCCCAATTCAAAAGGCATTGATATCACTGGGAATGCCGGTGATGCAAGATGGCTGTCTTTTTCCTCCAGTGGTCTCTACACCACAGACCCACCAAGTATTCCTATTTTCCAGGGATGGTTCTGGATTTGCAGAAGCCGTCCCAGTTTTTTATTTGATTCGGGATTGTCCCGCTTTTCCTTAGGACGTCCCTATTTTCATCAGAGAAATGTTGGAGGATATGACATCATCCTTTTTTGTTGCTGCTGTTGTTATTTAACCCCATGTTCCTTTAACCCTAAGTTCCTACGGCGGATTGTGATAATCAAAATGTTAAAAACAGTTTGGAATGACTTTGAATCACAGAAGCACGTATTTTTAAGGTGGGACTTAAAAGTATACCTCTCAGCTGCAAATGCCAGGGAAGAAGATGATGAAGAGTTTGGATTTGATATCCTGCTTTATCACTACCCCAAGGAGTCTCAAAGTGGCTAACATTCTCCTTTCCCTTCTGTTATGTACTGAGTTGAATAGGATCCAAACTGCAGCAGTCTGAATGGTCCTAAAACAATAGGATCCAAAATGCAGCAGTCTGATTGGTCCTAGAACAATAGGATTCAGAATGCAGCAGTCTGATTGGTCCTAGAACAATGCAGCAGTATGATTGGTTGGCAGGAACCACCCAATCATGCTCCAGATAGAAGTGAATCCACAACCTGATTGGCTTACAGTAGAATTCCGGAATTAGCCAATCATGTGCAGCCCATTGTGTAAATAATGTATATAAAGCAGATACTTTGAGGGGACTTTCATTCATTCCTCCTCACCACTATGAGCTGAATAAAGAGCATGAAATCACTTGGCGACTCTGAGTATATTTCACCTTCCTTCCCCACAACAAACACACTGTGAGGTAAGTGAGGTTGAGAGACTTCAGAGAAGCGTGACTAGCCCAAGGTCACCCAGCAGCTGCATGTGGAGGAGCGGGGAAGTGAACCCGATCCGCCAGATTATGAGTCTACTTCTCTTAACCACTACACCACACTGGAAAAGAGGTGTGTTTTCAGCATTTTCAAAAGCTGCATGATGAAGATGTCCTTTCCTAGGTTGCCACCTCCAGAGCTTCTGAGGATGGTGGAACAACTAAGAGGACTTGCCTCTGCCTATTTTAACACCATAGCGGGGGGGGGGGGGGTCTGTAGTGAAGGAGGTGTGAGCTTCTTGAAATGAGCCCAGAAATGAACTGGTAACCAATACAGCTGTTTTGAAACAGGGTTTATGTGAGAGTGGAACATAATCTGGCCACTGCATTTTGAAACAATTGAGGTCTTCGAGTCATCCTCAAGGGAAGCCCCATGCTGAGTGCATTGCAATAATATGCTTACCATATAATGCTAAATGTCAAAATAGGCTTCTAAGAAGTTTGCAAGGACAAAGGACAGTTACACAACCATTAGAATATAAACCTCTACAGTGGTACGTCTGGTTATGGACTTAATTCTTTCCGGAGGTCCGTTCTTAACCTGAAATTGTTCTTAACCTGAAGCACCACTTTAGCTAATGGGGCCTCCGGCTGCTGCCACACCGCTGCATGATTTCTGTTCTCATCCTGAAGCAAAGTTCTTAACCTGAGGTACTATTTCTGGGTTAGTGGAGTCTGTAACCTGAAGTGTATGTAACCTGAAGCATATGTAACCCGAGGTACCACTGTACAATATAATCCTCTCAATACATTAAAATAGAAGCATTCATAATAATAAAAAAATGCAATAAAAGGCATTCCTTGAAAACATAGCAATTAAAACTTGGGACTTAGGTGGAGAGATAATGTCTGTGTCACCAAATGTGTATTTAACATTATATGAAATATTTCATTTAGCAAGTTACAAAGGCTGGTATTTTATTAGCGAGGATGGACAAATACATCCATATCGGCTTCTTCTTTTTCAAACCTTAAGTTCCATTGGGCCCAGTGACATATCCATTTGTGATTTTTTTTCTTTTAAAAAAGTGTGCATGAAAATAAATAAGCATTTTTTTATGCATGCCTCTGGCAGCCTACCCATAAAGATAAATGGTGCTTTTTGAATATTTAATTTTATTAAATAATGCAAAATAACATGTATATACATTATAGCCTGAAATTATTCTGAGAGGGAAGGGTTTCAGATGCCTGCAATCTTTTGTGCCAGAAATTCAGCACAGCACACAAAAGCAGTGGGCACGTGGGTGGGGAAGGGTTTAATAATCCCACTGAAAACAGCAGCCACCGCCTTAGTCAAATAGGACCATGAGGCAGTGTTGCAAAAGGGACCACTTACAAAGGACAGGAAACAAAAACTCATCACCAGCAAAATGCCCCCCTCCCCAATATTTAGTCCAACAATAAAGAGACAAAGCTGCAAATCAAACTCCCTTAAAACATTTTGGCTAAGATATTTATTTGCCAGCAAAATACTTCTGAGATTTCTCCTTCAGAGACAACACAGGCATCATAATTATCTGGAATAGAGCCTGCTTGCTACAATCACAATAATTTAGACACTCCACAGATTATACTGTTGCATTTCTTCAAAAAAATGAAAGCACTGATGCCATAAACCCACATAAAAATAGCACCTTTAAAAATATATAAATAACATTTGTCTTTAACACTAAATCAACAGCACAGTCTAAGAGCTTCTTCCGTTGAAATGATGAACTTATTGCATGGGCTTGTTGCCTGCTCCTCCACCACTACTCTTGTATCCATTGTACTTGGCTGCTTCAGAATCCGCAGGTTGAAAAAGCCAGCTCACTTAACAAAGGGGAAAACAAAAGCCCAACCACATGGCTGCCCCTTGGCTTATCTTGGCAAAGAAAACATTTGTAAACAAGAAGGCAATGGGTGCCAAACGGTATTTGTGAGATTTGTGCCATGGCATAGCCATGTGAGCTCAAAGCTCCATTATAGAACAATGGCCTTGCATGCATGAGGTTTCAGATTCAGTATTTCCAGTTTATATATTTTTCCAAAAGGATCTTAGGTACCCAAACTGGGAATGATTATCTGCCTGCAGTGGGGCTCTGGTGAGCTGACAGTCAGAATTTAATGGATCAAGAACCAAGTAGCATTGCATCTTCCTAGAGCTGTGGAATTGACCTGGCAGATTTCCCATTGACTATATCTTCTCTCAGCATCCCGGATGCAATCCTGATTGCAGTGCCCCAGCGCAGGGATGCTCTGATCCCACCCAGGCAGTTCTGAGGTTGATTCCAGCATTGGAATTCAACTTCGGCTGGAATGGTTTCCTCTACCAACCACAACCACCCAGCCAGCAAAATTAATGCCAGCTATTTCTCTGCTTTACATGCTCTACAACAGGCATTAGCAAACTTGGCCCTCCAGATGTTTTGAGACTACAATTCCCATCATCCTTGACCACTGGTCCTGTTAGCTAGGGATGATGGGAGTTTTAGTCCCAAAACATCAGGAGGGCCATGTTTGCCTATGCCTGCTCTACAAGGACCTGGATTCAGATACCAGGCCCTTTGGCAGACCAACTCTGCATTACAAAGATGTCTGCAAACATAACATGAAGGCTGGCAACTTCAACCCCACCATGCGGGAATCCCTCACAGAAGACCACAGTGCCTGGAGACAGACAGGTTGTGCATCCATAGCAGTGACCAGAGGAGGAATGACCACTGGGAGGGGTGCAGAGAGAAGAAACCATGGTGTATCTACAGCAGCACAACCCAACACCTTCATCTTCCCCAGCTGCAACAAAACATGTCTCTCCTGTATCGGTCTCAACAGCCACAGCAGGCTCTGCAACCTTCCAACAGCTTGACTCCTCCATTGTCTCCCAAGACAGATGGGTGCCAACCTTCAGGAAAATCTTCCAATATGCTGCGGTATGTGATATTAAAGACGCAGTCCTAATATCCCAAGTTCGTTCTTCGAGGATCACAGGTAGGACTGCAGTGGGACTGACTTCTGAGCAAACAAGTCAAAGATTGCACTATTAAAATGTGTGTTTTTTTCAGCTCACAAAATAACCAATTTACAGTGTTACCCACTCACCCTGAGCCTTGGGGAATTGAGCCAAATCAAGGCAAAAAATTAGGTTTGGACTGATACATTTTGCTGAAGAAGCAAATACTTGTTACATATATCCCCTCACTTTTATGTATTATTTATTTTGTTATTTATTGAATTTATATACCCGGAGGTCTCAGGGCGGTTTAAAAAAAAAAAAGGCTTTTCCTCTGTCATTTTGTTTAATAATGACTGGATGCAGGTGTGCTGGGGAGACTCGGATGAAAATAAAGCAAGAAATATTTAGGAGATGATGAGGGCAAAGACAGATTTTCAGTTACAGACCTCATTCTTTGATTCATGGGACATTGCTTAATCATTGGAAAACGGAAGTGCCAGCCACTTTCCCTTCACCCTAGACATCCCCCCACAGCTGAAACCTTCAGACGTGGGTGAGAAAAGCAGGAGGCCAGGGAGGAATGTATGGGAAGGTGAATGGGCAGGTGACAAGCCAAAGTCCTGTAAGGGGAGGGCTGTAGATCAGATGGTAGAACATTTGCACTCCATGTAGAAGGTCTGAGGTAATGACATCTCCTGGGACAGGCTCCCTGTCTGAAACGGTGACCTGCTACCAGCCACCGTAGACAATTCTAAGCAAGATGGACCAACGGCAAGACTTGACAGAAGGCAGATTCCTACGTCCACATTTAATTAGATCCCATATTCAAATCCATGAAGACTAGAGTCTTATTTTATTCTTAGGGGAAGGGCTCAGTGACAGAGCTACTGTTTTGCATGCAGGAAGCAGGGTCAGTCCCAGATTGTGCTGGGACAGACGCTTGATGGAAATGCTTGGCAGCTGCTCCCTGACAGAGCAAGAAATGCTGTCTAGATGGACCAAGGAGAATCTGAGGCTCCTAATGACAAACTTATATGCAAATTGTAAGATCGCAATATAATCTATCACACTGCATCCATGCTTTGTAAAGTGGGTATATTCCCTCTCCCTATCATACCGTG